CGTGGTGTAACAGTGCGGACGATTTCGGGCAGTGGACGGTGGATATTGTTTCTTTTCTGTGGACGACTCGGCTAGTATTGTGGACTTCTGGTGAACGACGCGGCTTGTGATTTGGACTTGATTTGGTTTTGTGGAGAAAGGGAAAAGGGTGACGAAGTGTGGAGTGAGGAACGGAAGAGCGAAAGGGTCGTCAGCCGAAGCGGAGGACCTCTCACCCAGACCGGCCCCTTTGGATTCCTGTGAATTTCTCGTGTTTTTTTGGATACTAGGAATAAGCCGCTACACCGGTAAGTACCGCCGAGAGTGCCATTGGCCGGCGTACGTCACAGTAACTAATTGCTAAGCAATAAAATAAATAAGTTGGAAATTAATGATTGGTTGGTGTAATTTATTAATTCCCTTCCCTTATTCGAGTACATACTCGGTACGTCGCTTAGATGATTGCGCTCTAAATCTAGGGACGGTCGGTAACTGGCTTGCCGATTAGTTGAATATTAATATATGTTCGATACTAATGACAATTAGAACTAGGTGGCAGTCAATGACCGGAAATGACGTGTTATTCTAACACTCAAGGTTTTGACGATCTGTAAGTTCTAAAATGACGCTCCTAACTACGATAGACAGGAAATAAAGATAGAGAGTAGGAATATGCGGATGATTTACTTAGTTAAAAGCCCACCATCCACGGAAAAGTCTAAATAGAGGAACGTTCGTTTATATTTTGACAACTCGGACCAAACAGACTCGCAAATGTCTGTAGTTGTGAAATTGAATCTAATCTATTCTAATTAACTGGTTCTAGGGTTATTAGGACCTCGGAATATATTTAGAGTGGTTCCAACAAATTTTGATAAACTAAAAAAAACTAGATGAAGTCCAACTCTTTTCCTATCAACTTCTAGGTGGCGTATGGTGATAATACGTAGTAATCGTGAAAGCCTTCAGGCCCCAGAACACCGTGATAGCAAGAGTTGCCTCAGGGAACCCGCGACGAACTAGAAGATGGACCATCAACTACGGATGAGGTATCTGACCCGTTGCACTGTATGTAGGAGCTATCAAATGAAGAAGCTTGCAAATCTGCATTGAAGTCGCCAAGAATAATAATGTTTTGATAGGCATAAGAGAGACGAGCAAAAGTTTATTCAAGCTCATTTGACCAGCCGACCTTAGGAGGCCGACAGACAACTCCCAGAAGCACTTTTAAGGCGCCAAGAAATTGTAGTTCAACGAATAGTAATTCTGGACGGGAGCGATACTCCCCTTCAGAAAACGCGAGTATGAAAGAGTTTAGAGAGGCATGAACATATATAGCCACACCACCACCACCTCTATCAATCCTGTCACAACGAAAAAGATTGTACCCAGATAATTCCACCAGACATTCAGACATGTGTGGTTTAAGCCAGAACTCAGAAATAGCGATTAAGTGAAAGAAATGCGAGTTTAAGTAAATGCGGAACTCATCTATATGCTGCAATAGCGACTGGGCATTTATGTAGCAAATCTTTAAGTTTTGACATGGATTGGCAGTGGAGTAATGACGTTGAGTCGGTTTAAGTCATGATGGTATCTTCTGCAGATCGTCTAGATGGTCAATTCGGATGGATGAGAAGGAACCGATGTTTTTGACATAGATGCGCCCACGCCGAGACCACACACGTAGATCACGTAGACACCGAGTATTTAATGTCGACATATCCTGAGTAAGTTTATTAACTACATTTCAGATATTCAAGGAGGTGGTAGATAACTTTTCGACCAAGAGATAGAGTCCATCAATATTTTTTAACGACCGGGACTGGTTCCCCGCAAGGCGGCCCAAAGGAAGGGACGGTGGTCGGGTTAATGAATCAATGCCCGGTCCTTTTGATTGTACCAATTGGTGATTTTATTTAATGAGTACGTTCGCGCTCGATCGCTGGGCCGTTTTCCGGAATTTTCACCCTCTTCATCGACAATCGATGTTCACGTGGTGTTTCGTTCCTTCACGACCCGCCTTTCCAAATCGTGCACTCGCAGGAGGTATTCTACAAAGCCGAGCTTCCTTCATCTCTCTCCATGGTTGACACTTTCTCTCGAATTCGCGAACGCGCAGTAGGGGGGGTGGGCGATCGGACGGCACCAATGGACCCATCGACCCATCAGGACCATGCCCCGATACAGACTAACTCCCCCATCCCACGTGTGGCCAACTGGCCCTCGAACAACAAAACAAAAAAACTGTAACATCAACAATTTACCGGACTAGCGCCTTCTCGCTTTCGTCCGCAACAGACAGACTTTTTCTTTTATTGGCGGTAGATCTCTCAGCTGTTCGCTTACATTACAGAGAGTACCAATAATTGTCGCAAAATCAGAAGACGGAAAGGCTCCAGATTGAGCCATATTGTATATGTTTGGAGCTGAAGATGAAGATTCACTAGAGGCTTATCCTGATAATGAGACTGCTGATGCACGAGACAGTAGAGAGCACTGTTCTTAAGAATATGTGACTTTACAATTTGCACAGAGGAAACAGGAGTTTGACGCCCCAAAACGTGTCACGCATTTCTCATGCCCATGTACTTCACATTCAAGACCAATACATTTGATCCCATGCTCGCTCTTCATAAATTGCTTACAGGCGAAGCAGATTACCCTGGTCATCCGTGATGCCAAGTCAATGATTAGTAATAGCCGGCCAGGAATGGAACTAACACTGCTTAGCAGGTCGGTATGCCAGAGAAATGTCACTATGACAGCTTACAGTCAATGTTCGCCTTCACAATGTGAGTAAATAAACAAACACGCACAGCAATCAATGGTTCAATAATAGTTTCAAAAGTTGGATGACACTTTTACTAATGTATTTCAGAACACCGGTTTTAACCGATCATCAGTATTCTGCCTATTACGTGATACAGGTGCATCAGAAAGCAACACGCAACTAGGTGATGAGAAGAGAGATCAATAACAGCAAGCAGATAAGAAGGAATAAAAATATCACGATGCCAAAACTCCCTGGAAAGGCAAGTCAACACTCAAGACGCAGTACACTCTAGATTTTAGACACTTGTAGGCGCCAATCACCCGGTGGGCAATCGCCCACAACTTCCTGGGGATGCCGTCCGGACCCGGGGCCACCCTGCGGGCCCAAGGGACCCTAGAATTTCACCAGGGGTCAGCTCGGCGGGGCGTAGACCCCTACCACCAGTGTCGCCTCCCAGTCCACCGCAACCTAGCTCTCCCCCCTGCCGACTAGGGTGAGGGGAGGCGAATTCGCTCCCCACACAACCGTCACGGAGCCGTCGACGCCTCCAACCCAGGCAAGGTGGACAGGGACGCAAAACGACTCCGCGGCGATACAAAATCCCGCTTCCATGCGCGCCATGTTCTGAACAAATAGGTCCTAAGCATGGCGGACATGATTCAGGACCTGGAGGACGAGAGAGACCATTTATATGGCCTCGATGGGAGCCTCCTCCATAAGACCCTCTCACTCGCTGCTAACGGTGGCCTTATGGGTGATTCGCGCTAGATGCAAGTGAAACGCTCTTATACGCGCTAGGCCACCGCTGGCAGCGAGTGAGAGAGTCTTATGGGCGACTCGCACTGGACGCAAATGAGACGCTCTTATACGCAGTGCAGGCTATCTCTGGGACTCCACTAACTGCGAGTGAGAGGGGCTTATACGGATTCGTGTTGAAATTCTGTGAGAGACTCTTATGCGGGACGCCTGGACTCGAGACAGAAATGCCGTCCCGAGCGAACGGAATAGGCTACCCCCTCTACGCGTCGGCCTTGCTTGCTCACCACCAGTCGCCACTGCCGGCCGCCCCACTCACGCTTCCTACTAGCTCCACCTATGGACGGCATTAATGTCCCACAGTGTACAAGCCCTGCAAAAGTGTTGTCCCACCGAAATATCAGTGCCAACCGTGATGCGATAGAAGGAGCACTCAAATACAAGAACATATAAATCCTATCTAGGCTCCATGATATAAATATTGAACCTTATAAAAACGATAAAGAATATTTAGCAGTATTCGAAATAAAATATATGTGTGTGCCGCTATTTAAGGTTGTTATGTTGGCTTAATCCTCCCCACGCGCATTGCTTTATCCCAGCTTAAACTTTTTTAGAGACTGTACAGTGTGTGATACAGACAGCCTACTACACTACCTGTGTCCTTGCTATCTCTCTTTACGCATCCCCCACTACTACCGTACGAGTTCCAGTATGGTTAATTTAACATCACGACCAATCACAATATGCCTGTGCGTATGTACGTTGGGAAGATGTACAACTCTATTGTAAAGTTTTAAGCTGCTTGAAGATGTTGAATTGTAACTAGAGTAGATGTTAAATTGTAACAAAGGAAACTACATGCGTGTAACATACAACGAGGCTATATCACAGGTTATACACATTTCGCCTGATGCCGAATTCAAAATTTATTTCAAACATGAACTATGACGTGAAGTAGGGTTGTCATCATCTTTTTGCTATGTCGCTGCTATGAAAAGTTGAACGTTCTTCAAGTTTCCAAAATCACAGTCCAAGCATTGGAATCTACTTAGTAATGAGGTTATGTTTTAAGGGAAATTATATATTACTACTTTTGATGTAGTATACTTGACTGCATACACTTAATGAAGGTAAAATAACTTATTTCTTCGTATTTTCATACGACTAGCTAACATAAAAAGGCAGAAAATGTATTTTCACAGCTAAGATTCCGCTACTCGCTTCTCTCTTCCCACTGCTTTCGGTCTGAATGAGCCCTTAGAGTTCAGTGGTTTTCCGATAGATAATAGAACGGAATTGCGGATCGCGATTGGCTGCGCAAGTTACGCGATACGAAATTGACATCTCGTCAATTTTTAACAAATCAGCGTGATTTCTTCGTTGTCGCGGTCGCTTGAATGAAATAGTACCTTCATATGTACACTCTTTTATACATTACAGTACACTATATACATGTTACAACATGGCCGGTGCTATTGACTGCGCAGTAAGTTCGAAAACGCGTCTCGAGAACCACCACACCTTGTCTACTTCCACCATGCTTTATACGATCAGCCAACCTTAAGGAGCAAAAGATGTGTGGTGGATGCACATTTTGCAATGGCAGTCATCGGACTTTTGTTTTTGGCTCGTAATTAGACAGTAGCTTTGAAATTAATGAAAATTCACTGAAATATGGAAGACAAACGATCACCGCAATGGTCATCAGAAAATACAGGTTTTTTTAAAGAATATTTTCTATAAAAAAATACAATATAACATAACAGTCTTTCATTGTCATTTCCTTACAGATGTCAATCAAGATGAGTTAATCCTTCAACAACAGAGACGTATTGAAAGAGAGGTAATATTTTACCTACATAAAAATTACATGATTTTCTGGAAAAATTAATATTAAAAGTGCAAATCAATCATAGTTACATATAGTTTACTTATCAAAATAGTTTGTTATGATTATTTTTAGGTTAAAAATTAAACTTTGCATTGACATCATTTTAACCCTTAAATAGACAGTATTTGATTATTTTAATCTTGATTATTTTAACAAACATTAGTGTGATATAACAAATTCTAAAATGTTGTAAAGTTTAAATGGTACTACTATTATTTTTCATTATTGGTTTGAAATATTCCTTTTGATTTTCAATTCCTTTCATTGCCTAATTAATTCAAGAGTTAATATAACTTTGCATTCTCTAATAAACATAAGGAGAGGATTCATAGATAATATACAAATGATAAATATAAAATTTATTATTAAGTTAATATATATACAAATTGGAGCTTATACATATATTATATTTATTCCAGATATCCGAGTCAATAGCTCTAGTAGGTGAAAAAGAGTCTTTAATTAGCTTAGAACTTGAATATGCTAAGGATGAAGTATATCTTGCAAAAACAAAAGTTTTGGGACAGAAGTACTCATATATTAGAAGAACAAGGCCCGATGGGAACTGTTTCTTCCGAGCATTTAGTTATGCTTACCTCGAAAGACTGATTGATAACAAGGAGGAATATGAAAAATTTAGAGAACTTGCTCTGAAGAGTAAAGACAACCTTGTTGCTTTAGGATTTCCACAATTCACTGTCGAAGATTTTCATGACACGGTAAGTAACTTTGATAGTATTACTTTAACAACTTTGACAAAATTATAAGAATAAACCAAATTGTTACTGACATTTCTTTACAGTTTATGGAAGTGATTGACAAAGTTGGTGGGGATTCAGAGGCCAGTCGTTTGGAATTACATAAATTATTCAATGAGCAAGGTTATTCAGATTATGTGGTTGTATATCTTAGATTAATAACTTCTGGCCAACTACAACGAGAGGCAGATTTTTATCAACACTTTATAGAAGGGGATCGTACGATTTCAGAATTCTGCCATCAGGTTGGTTCTAAAACTAGATATACGAAAATAACAATTTGTAAAACGAATAATTACGTTAAAAATAAAAAACAATACATTAATTGCAGGAAGTAGAACCGATGTACAAAGAGTCTGATCATATCCACATTATAGCAATGAGCACAGCTCTTGGAACTGGAGTCCGAGTACGTTACATGGATCGAGGTGCAGGTACTGAAGTGACAGCACATGATTTTCCTGAAGGAGCATTACCAACTGTCCATTTACTCTATCGTCCTGGCCACTATGATATTCTATATCCCTGATAATTCTTGTCTCATCGTGTCATCCATCTCAATATTTTACACCTTACAAAAACCTGTTGAGCTCGCCATTGTTAATTCTTATACGTAATTGGATTCTACGACATATTGATTGTTTATTATTGAATGTGTAATGATAAGATTATCTGTATCCCAGACTTCTTTTAGGTAATGCAAGGAAATAATGTTTGTTCTTTTAAAATGGATTTTTTTTTCAAAATGCAATAGATTTTTAACGCTCGACTTCATTTCTCTGATTACTAGCAAAAGAATAAAACAATTGGCAACTCGTTCTACATAAACATTATTTGAGATAATGCAATAATATTAATTAGTAATCGAAAAAGCCCTGATTCACTTAAAAGTTCTATATGATACACATACTATGTCTTCATTGCAACTAAGCGTAAAGCAAGTGCTTTCAATTGTTAACGTTTTCTGTTCCATCCAAACAATAAATTGAAATGATTTAAAAAAATTTATATCTATATCCATCCTATGTATATGTGAATAAATTAACTGTTATTTTTTCATCATTTTGTTGGTAAGATATACTTTATTGTTTTTCTTGTGTTATCTGAACACAGAAAGTAATCAACGATTGCTCTGAATAAAAGTAATTCTGATTGGTCTATCAATTGTGCTACAAACTTAATAGATCCAGCACTATCACTAAACAACTATTGATTTTCCAATATTTGTATGTTCACTTTCTATTTTTCTGGCACATCTCCTCATGGGAGGAATCAGCCATAAGGAAAGGAAGGAAGGACTTTCTATTTTTTACATACTGTTTAAATTATTATATAAAATTTATACGTATATGTGATATCTTCGTATCAATTTAAGTCTAGTCTTATTTTACTATAAAAATATCACTATTTCATTTTTAGAACCCAATTATTAAGTGCACCACCTGAGTTTAGAATGTATAATCTAAAACAATACTTCATAAGAAATGAAATTAATTAAATACAAATCAATCAAGTGTTGCAAACTATTTATTGACAATCAAAAACCTGAAATGAATCCTCACTCCTTTGGCATTTTTTTTGTTTCTCTTCTTCTTACATTGCCTAAAAAAGTCTGGTGAAACATTCCTTAGATTTTGCATTCATTATAAAATGGTGTAACGTCATCTTTTATATTTGATTTATTTATACTTTAAAGGAACTGGGAACTTACAACGACCATCTTGAATCCTCAATGATAAACACGAGATAGTCTTCATTTCAAAGGACTACACGTATATCTTTTTAAGTTTTACAATTACTCAGATGCTATTTTCACAAAATATAGTTGACAATTAAGAGTATGCAATGCATACAGAATTATGACACAAGTATGTTATACATCGACAAATTGCAAATGTCTCGCGCCCTCATATCATAATCAATCCATATCAATTTATCGAAAATATTTGACCTTCCAAAAACATGTGCACACAAGTGCGTGTTTTCATTAGAATTACATATATTCCAGACACCACATGACGTCCTCGGAGTATCCCAATTATTATATCATGAACGTCCCAAAACTGTCCTGATAACCTCGGGATATATCTCTTCGAATACATATTTATGAGTCTTGGCATAATCATTAATGGATATAAGAGGATATTCCGAAAGTCCTATGGATGTCCTGATAAGGTCTCGGTGCAAATGTCCGCATATTCATTATCCTACGGACATCCTGGGGAAAATCCGGTGGACATTATTAAGTAGGCGTTTTACAGAATTTTTACAAGAGGTTTTTAATACGTCTTTCGCATGTCGAACTGTATATTATGAATGTATCATGTACAAACTTCAAGTTGAGTTAGAAGACGGTACGTACGTATGCAGGGTGAGTTTTCCTACACTTAGAATGTAGGAGGAGTCTCCGTATATATTAGGCATACTATTCTCTATCAAATTGGTTCTACTATCCGGTTAAAGTGATATACTATATGCTGATTCTAATTTAATGTATATTCCGTAATTGAACCACGTTGCGATTAAAAAATTCAATATATAAAAATAAACTTATATAATGTTTACAGAACATCCTGTCGATCCTGAGAATATCCTAAGGATGTTCTTAATGGCTTATGCCAAGACTCACAAATTGTATCCGAAACAGGACATCCCGAGGTTATCCTAAAGTTGTCAGTTTTGGGACATTCGGAATACAATTGGGATATCCCGAAGACACCATGTGCTGTCTGGCAATAGATAACGTTTTAGAAACGACTAAAAGTCCTAAACTTTATAATTAAATATCGTCTATGTAAAATAGTTATCTTTTAGAGATATGCAAATGCCTATTTTGGGAGGGACATCAAGTATTCCTTTTTGTAATGTCAAAGATGACTTTTAATACCAAACATTCATAAGCAATATATTTCGGATATCTTTAAAACATCAATAAGTTGACTTTACACCACTTAGGTAAACATCCTTTGTAATAACATTTCAATAACTTTTCTAATATGCTATTTTATTAACATTATTTTGGCATATTTTTGATAATTTTTTAAAACTAATTTTTTTATGATTACTTTTTTTATCTGTTCGTCAACTTTTCGACTGATCGAAAAGTCAACTTGGAGGAGGCAACTTAAAAATATCAAAAAGGAATCATGTGCCACTTAGGGAAAGAAAATGATCTATTTACGTTTGAAACATTAGAGATAAAATCGATCGGTATAGTTACTGATCGTTCCATTCAGGACTGAATACAGTTGACCAATCACATGCTGCTTTTAACGACAATACTCACACATGATTGGTTATGTTAGGTCACAGTTTTGTGTGAAATATAACATTTTTTAAGCGTGGAAGCGATATGCAGTTATACAAATTTTGTATATGACGCGCTTTGTTTCTCTTGCTTTTCTGTTCTCGTTATCACCATTCACAAGTATTGATGTCTGTTAGCATTGAAAGAATAAAGCGGCTTTAAGAATTTGACTGTCAGCAATTTAGTACAATTTCCAACTACTTCTGAGGCATATATAGTTTGTATATTTTTTGAGAGGATTTGGTATAAGAGTGAGTATAAGAATACGTAAATAATAACTAAATTTTCACACAATTGTCTGCAAAAATAATTTTTAATTTATTTTCCTGATTTCTTAACTAATGCTATATTCACAAAAAATCAACTAGATCAAGTTCAAGATTTTTAGGTTATATAGAGGCAATATATATGTTCTATAACTTATAAGTAAATTCAGCACTGAAATCGTTCAAATATGATATTGAGTTAACATTACATCTACCGTTGAATAATTGGAATCTCCTGATAGATTATAACAATGTCCAGCACATCACAAAAACATAAAAACTTTGTCGCTGAACCTATGGGTGACAAACCAGTTACTGATCTGGCTGGCATCGGTGAAGTATTAGGAAAAAGATTAGAAGCAACAGGATTTGATAAAGTAAGTAACTCCATATTTACTTGAATGTATTGTTATTTTCTTTATCATGTATATTAGATTATATATATACTCGATTTTAAGCATGTTTTGTATATTTTTTAAAAGAAATTTGTCTACTACATTTAATTCTATTCTATTTTTCTACTAATTTTATTATTTAAAATTCACTTTTACAAAGATTTTACTATTATTTATATTGATATAATACATAGATGAATGAATACTTAAGGGATATACAGTTTTTATATAATTTTTTAAAGTTCTAACTTTGGAGTATCTCATATGCCAGGTGAGTCACAAAGAATTAAAAGAGAGTATAATAATATAGTTGAAAAACGTTTTCAACACTACTTTTTGCAAATTAAGTCCATACTATATTTTTGATACAACTATTTTTTATTTTCATTGTGAGATAAAAATGTTTTAAAAGAATATTAACTACAGTATATAACAAGAATATGTGCCACCAAGTTTTGTAGCATAAATGTTCTTAAAAATATTTGAAAATATGATATTTAAAAATTAATTTATGAATGTAGTACCAATAAGGAAATAGTTTCAAAAAAAAGAATGTTTTCACTGTATTACGCTCAACTCTTTAAACCTAAAAATATTTACTAAGTATTAAAGGAAAAATAATGTCTATAAGTAGCATGCTCTACATAGAATAAAAGTTATAACATTTTCATCAGTTTTAAAATTATAGTCTATTAAAATTAAGGATCGATTAAGATTGAGAATGTATTCAAAAACCTTAAACCATTTTATTTTTTATTTTTCAAGTAATTTCTTCAATTTCCTATCATCTCATATGCAGAACTAAGTCTTTGCCATTATAAGTACTTTCCCAAGTATTTATATAATTTTACTTTTTTTATTCCACTCATTATTGGTAGACCCCAATTCTATATTTAATTATTTTCTCTCTCCACATTCTGAAATATTTATTTTTTTCATTGAGTTGTCCCTGCCGAATATAAGTTTTTGCTTTTTCGGTTACGTTCCTAATCTGTCTATAACTTATTTTATTTTCCATCCCACCAATGCCAATAATCTAATCGTCATTTAAGATCAGATACCTATGTGTATAAATGAAGAGGTTTTTCTTCATTTAATCTAAATTAAAAGTGAACTATGGTGTTAAATAATTATAATTGTCCTCGTCCAATCTACTTGAACATATGTTGTAAATGTTTTGGACATGTTATATTAGTCAGATGCATGAGAAAACGAAAACACATAACAAACTTGCAGCCTCATTATATTTTTTTAAATGCACCCTACATGATTACTTTAAAGTTGCTTTTATTTTTATTTATGATGTATTCTCTCTTTTTTCTGCGTATGTTAAAATATTTTTTTCCCAATTTAACTAAATAGACAGATGAAAAAACTAGACAATTATGATAAAACCTCATATAAAAAGATTAAACTAAAAATCATAATTTTCTTAATGAATTTAATAGTTTTACAGATCTTGCTAAATTTAAAAAATAGCTCTTCTGACGAAAGCAGAAAGAACTAAGTTTTGAATGTCATGAATTCAATTTTAACCCTCCATTATTGGATGAGAATCGTTTTTTCTTCCTATCACATTGTATAAAGAGATTTTTAAATTTTCTATCGTTTATCTAAAAAAGTTCTTGGATATATTTTTTTATGAAAGAATCATTGTGATTTTTATTTATTTCATATCAAGAAATCTCGACTTAAGAATTGAATTTTTGGTAAAATAAGAATAAATAACTATATAAAACGTTCGCAGCTCTGACAGAATGATAAATGGAAGTAAACATAAAAAAATTGTATATTAACATTTCGAATTTTTACACGTTAATCCACGTAAAGGATTTTATTGATTGTTTGTATGAAACAGTAGTTTGCATGTAGAAGTATTTGCATAACTGTAGAACCCGATCAATAGTATGCGACACAAAATATCCTCCGATAATGAGTCTCCACGATAAAATACCATAGCATTGAATTGATCCTCGTGATAAAAATATCACAACACCCCATTCAAAATATGTGGATCCTTTATTTAACATTTGTTTGAATAAAAAATTTCTTTTTTTTAATTAAAGATTTTGTTCGACAAGCTACAAAATTTTTTTTGTTTAATATGAGAGTAGGCGCATGGGGCTGTCTGATTGTGAAACACCCAAATTTAATCGTTTTCAAGTGGAAACGAAATCGCATGATCATTCCTGGGTTAATCATGGGGCGCCCTTGGCATTTGTACTTTTAAATTAACAATGATCCTTTGCTTTGAAGGAAGGTACGATATAGAGAAATATCTGTCGTATTTATTCAAGAACTCCCTTTATTGTGTGCTATTATAAAAATTTTGTTAGTTTAAGTAATAGTGTTACTTTTTTAGTTCTAACTTCCGACGGTTAGAATTTGTATTTTATCACGGAGATCAATTAGATGCTGGGATAGGGGTAGAGGTATCAGGAATGCCGATAGGATTCCAATAATTTATTTGACATTTTTAAAATAGAATGCCAACTTACTGGTAGTTTTGTGATTTACTTTGCTAGTCTTGCTATATAATGTCCCACAACCCTTTTCTTTAAAATTTGTTAACTAGAGTACATACATATATATAGGCATTATTGAACCCAAAATAAATCAAAAGCTTTCAATATATTTTGGACACATCTTGATTGAATACAAAAAATAGATAAATTTCACAATAGCCCGATTGGATAAAATGAAATAAATAATTGAGAAATTCTTGGGCAGCTAACCTAATCTAACCTATTGTATCTCGGTTAATTATTTATCTTGTGTCTAATCAAAATGTGTTCAATAAAAACTTTGACTCATTTGTGTTCAAACGAGGTTCTCTCACTATTTTTACGATAAATGTTACTATCCATAACTCATCAAAACGCATTTTTGTCCTTTTATTTAATTTCATTAATGAATTGTGATACACTTGCTGTTTACGAAAATAATTGATGTATTATGTTGACAGGCATATGTCATACTTGGGCAATACCTCGTTTTGAAAAAGGACAAGGAGCTATTTCAAGAATGGATGAAAGATCAATGCTCTGCCAATGCTAAGCAATCAAATGACTGTTACCAATGTCTTAGCGATTGGTGTGAACAATTTTTGTAAACCAGTTTTGTGAACGCCTACAACGTTAAGACTAACTGCAATTTTTTAACATATTTTATATTTCTTATTAGAATATGCAAGTTTTACTATAACAATTATCGTGATTTAATATCATTGTACCGATACACTGTCATACTAAATTGTTAACTTATGTTAGTCACAATATTATTGAAATTGTAAACTTTTTTTTTGTAATAACTAAAAGTTTCCTTACGTTCGTTGAAGTTGTGATACAGAATTATGCCACCTTGATAAAATGGTTTTTAAAGTGAGAGTATCTATTATAACTTCCATAGAATTCTAACCAATGTCTATTATTTCACACCTGACTGATTTTTTGTGGTATTTCCTTAGTAATCTATGAATTACACTTTACAGTGATACGCGTCAAGACAATAGAATTCTTTTTTATTGAAACTTTTTCCATCTTTGCTTTTTAAGTTTATCAGAGATATTAAATTTTGCACATTAATAGGTAACCCATTATTGTTCAAAATTTGTACATAGGTGATGACCTACGTCGAACAATCTTACAAAATGTGTAGAATTGACTCATATCGATATCCTTGCTTGTGAAAATGTTATAATAAAAAAGTTCTTATATTGATGTTGTACATAAGTTATTCATACAAAACCAGAGTTGTCATTATACTTTTAAAATATATACGGTTTTGTACAAACTACGTTTTTCGGCTTCAATCATTGGCATCTAATGGCAATTGGCATACACATGCTTCCATTTTAAATAAATAGAATAGAGGGTGTACTAAACATGAAATAATCTTCTTTTTGGTTAACAAAGTTATAACTAAAACGACTTAAGAGACTGGATACTGTCTCACGCCAAGTACACCACAATAGACTCCACAAAACCCAAATAATAAAATCAGTTTTCCTGGATATGTGATCCGATTATTGGTTAGAACATTCTGTACCCTTCAAAGAAACAAATGTAACTATGTCTATTTGTTTTTCTTTTTCATTATGGCCCTTTAACTGTTAACAAAATTTGGTACGAAATTCTTCCCAGGATTTATAAAATCATCAGGATCATTAGAATTATCCGCTGCGATACTGGAAGTGCTCGGGGAGTCAATGCGCCGAGGAACATTGCTGTGCCGACTAGCATATTCGATCACAATTTGCTGCAAGGGCAGTCGATATATGCTCTTGGTCCTGCAGATAAAAATCAGTAAAATTACTATAGCCCAATACTTAATATGGAATAATTTAATTAGACGTACGGTACCGCCTATGAGTAATATGCGGCAACAGGAAAACCATACTCTGGTATAGCTCCCATTCTCTGACGGGAATTCGAGCCGAACCCGGTGGCACATACTCCGTCCTCTTTCTGTGCTCGCGGCTGAAAGTGTCGCGCAGCGTGGTCCATCGTTTCTCCACATTTGCAGCTGTGTGTATATACATATATATGTGTGTGAAATGTAAAATATATTCAAATGTGTATGCCCGGTATGATTATCTACCTGACAATTGAATGTTGCATAGTCTTCCGATTTCGGAAGAAATCTCGAACCACTTGTCAAGGCTTCTTAGCATCATTTTTAAAATCACGATGACTTATCGTCTATACATTTCGCCATATTGACAGATAATGACATTTTACGTATGAAAATATTGGCGGGGCAATTGTTTTTTTCACGTAAGCCGTTACGGTGCACGGAGCGAGGCATGCTCGATGCTACTCATCACGTTCCGTGATCCGTAAAATACATAATGACCCTAGCAACCGTTTTCCGTATCGTTGCTATGCCCGAGACGTAGCCAAAATCGTAGAGATTTAGTAAACGCTTCTTAATTGGAAGTTCCAATGGAATTTTGCAAATATACAATTGAATACCGCGCCGTTTACGTGTTCCGTGTCGCGTTGCACTGTAGAATGGACTTACGTAGACATACGTCAAATTATTTGGTTCAGTTGTTCAATATACAGGGTGTTTCCTAAGTCCCGGACAAGAGACAACGGATACCGTTAGATCCGGCGTGAGAAAATAAAAATGTTGGCGTTAACAAAAATCCAAAATTTTAATTAGTTTATTAATTATTAAAGATTAAAGTAAGCCAAACATAAGCGCGTGAAAACTGGTAATTCCTCAGTCTCCGCCCATTGGGGACAGCCAATCATTTATTTCCCTACAAAAACAGTGACCGGTGGATACGTAAATATAGTAACGTAAATAAACAAAAGAGTAACGGAAATAAACAAAAGAATAATGCACAATGTTTTTTGTGGGGAAATGAATGATTGGCTGTCCCCAATGGGAGGAGACTGAGGAGGAGTTACCAGTTTTCACGCGCTTATGGTTGGCTCACTTTAATCTTTAATAATTAATAAACTAATTAAAATTTTTGATTTTTGTTAACGCCAACATTTTTATTTTCTCACGCCGGATCTAACGGTATCCGTTGTCTCTTGTCCGGGACTTAGGAAACACCCTGTATATTGAACAACTGAACCAAATAATTTGACGTATGTCTACGTAAGTCCATTCTACAGTGCAACGCGACACGGAACACGTAAACGGCGCGGTATTCAATTGTATATTGTAACGTTTATCGATAGTGCAATTTCGTACGCTCATAAGGAGCGTACGAAATTGGATGTAGGTAAGTGCTCGAGGTTGGCGTCTTTAAGAACTTAGCCGAAACAGGGTTAAATGGTAAAATAAAATAACAAAAATTTATTAAATTATCTATGACAGGTATAACAGTTTCAATGTGCGTCAATTACAATCGTCCTATATAAACGTCGGTAGTGTAGGAAAGGATTGTCAGGGAAGCGTCCTGTATTTGTTGTCTATTTCTATCTCTCTCTAACCTATCTTTGAGGAAGAGAGGATGCGCCTGTGTTAATACGGTAGCCCTAGTGGCGCTCTGCCTATCTATTGGCTATGGCACTTCGTGCAAATTGACTAATCACGGCGAGGATAATAGATCGAAATCAATATGGCGTCAACTGAAGTTTCTGAGGCAGATCGCAGTGCTCTCTTCAGAACTTTGATAATATTACTCTACACGGCGGGCTCGGCGGAATAGCGAGTGCTAGTATTCCGTAGCCTTCGACAAAATTATTAACGATGATTTTATTTAATTACTATGCTCTATCTCAGAGGGTATAAATCGAGCTCAAACACTTTATAACGATTTTAATATGCGTTATCCTTTCGGATTTAAATCACGCTCACTTTATTATTACTCACGTTTGCTGTACAGTTCTAATGTTGTAGATTTCGAATATTGAATTTGATTGGAAATGCATTATTTAACTAATGAAAATGCTAGATTGATTAGCGAAAAGTGCTAATCTTCTATCAGATTTTATTTCTATTATTTTCCGCAGATCAACTTTCGGGAGATGTTTTTCATCTATCGGCTATTGTTGACACTAGCAACGCGTCCTTATTGTTTGTTTGTAACGAGTACGCTCTCAGTACATGCAGGAGTACTGAGAGATTGATCGATTTGTCACGTTACAATAAATGGCATTTAGTATTATTGAAACAATTGTATAATAAATCGAACACAGCACATCGATTTATTGCAAACTGCGTATACACGTATGTTCTACATTTCAAAAAATGAGGGAAGACAAACGAATCATAAAATCCTAGCAGATAGCTAATCAAATATTTAACATTAAAAGAGTTTCAAAAATAAATTATATGTTACGAAAATAAACATATAAAAAATCAATTAACTGTTATTGGTCACATAATTTGTTGTTTATAATTTGTTACCATTATATTCTCCTAGATCTCACAGTCGAAAAAATAAAGGATAATTTCAACACCGACATCTCTTATGTAAGTACAAAATCAAAAATTCTGCTAAATGCAACTACGACACTTATAGGGTTGCCATACTGTGTTATTTAGCATTAAATATACGTGTTAATGGCTGTTATAGTCATACTTGTGATGTATACTGCATTGGTGGATGAAATCCTTCCTCTGGCAGTCAAACTGAAAATAGGCAAGTTGTTAACACGCTATAAAATAGAAAATTTTCTTTATTTTATTTTAAACCTCGGTCATTTCTAAAAAATATACAATTTTGAGAAATATAAAAGTTACACGCGTTAACCCTCTGGGATTAACGAAAGTATGTATGTACATACACACCTCAGTGTGTTTTCAACGACCAAGAACATCTCTAATAATGGACAAGACGTGATTTTTTCGATTTGCAAACATTTTTTTTAAATTTTAGATATGGTATAAACGAATTTTGAATCCGATTATATACAGTAACGTCCAATTGAAGTGCAACACTTGAATTTTTTTATATAACTGTGAAAGTATCACAGATTTCGAAAAACCAAAGACATATTTTTTAGGAAATTTTCTTCCCGTTCGAATGGTAAATGTTTTATCCCGATCGGATACAAAATGGCCGAATGGCAGGGGTTGGAGTGAAAAAGTGCATTTTGGAACTTTTTGAAAAATTCGAGATCTAGTAGTTCCGGAAAAAACTTTATATTTCTAATTAGGGCACGAGAGAGAGCATTCTTCGGCATTAAAAAACCCCCCCATTGAACCCCTGTAGGATCACTCTAGGGGGAGTTACACCCCCTTGAAGTGAAAACACTTAAATTGCCATAACTTCCGAACGTGCCGGCTAATCTGGTCCAGTTTCTGTGTGATATCATCTTTAATGATACTGCAGATTCTCACAAAATTATTGTTCTCGGAGATGATCTGGTGACGCAGATCTCGAGATTTCGCAAGCGCACCCGAAGCTTCCCCGCCATTTTTCATTAGGAAAGCGATGAAATAGAAGTTTCATTTTTATCCACGTTGTAGCTGAGATTTCAACGATTAAAACGCGCTTTTAAACATCTAAATACGAGTACGCTAAGGGGTTAAATTATCCATTTGAAAAAACGCCTAAATTTTGCGAGTTCCGCTCGAGGCGCTCGGGGGACAATTGCTTGGCGCGCGTGGTAGGGTAGTAGTCCCCTTTCCTAATGAAAAATGGCGGGGAAGCTTCGGGTGCGCTTGCGAAATCTCGAGATCTGCGTCACCAGATCATCTCCGAGAACAATAATTTTGTGAGAATCTGCAGTATCATTAAAGATGATATCACACAGAAACTGGACCAGATTAGCCGGCACGTTCGGAAGTTATGGCAATTTAAGTGTTTTCACTTCAAGGGGGTGTAACTCCCCCTAGAGTGATCCTACAGGGGTTCAATGGGGGGGTTTTTTAATGCCGAAGAATGCTCTCTCTCGTGCCCTAATTAGAAATATAAAGTTTTTTCCGGAACTACTAGATCTCGAATTTTTCAAAAAGTTCCAAAATGCACTTTTTCACTCCAACCCCTGCCATTCGGCCATTTTGTATCCGATCGGGATAAAACCTTTACCATTCGAACGGGAAGGAAATTTTCTAAAAAATATATGTTTGGTTTTTCGAAATCCGTCATACTTTCACAGATATGTAAAAAAATTCAAGTGTTGCACTTCAATTGGACGTTACTGTATAATCATTTTTCCCGGGCAGTTACATAGCACAAGTATAATGTTATAATATTAAATGTTCCATGTTATATTACTGCAATGAAATTCTTTTATTGGGTTTCTGATGAGTTTCTATAACATTTCAAAAACGTGAAAATGTATTATTTTATTATTAATGGCTTCTACCGGTCCATGGAGACATCTCCGTCAGGTACTCTCCTTTGCCGGGCAACTCGGTACGTCGATACTATCTCCCCACCGCAGATTCGAGCACCTCGACCTCAACTAAACAATAACGAAATCTTCCGAGAGTATTGGCATAACTATACGAATCAACCCGAGAGCGTAGCTTCTGAGCAGAGTGACGACTCGAAGGGAGCCGGAAAGCAAGAACGTTATTTGTATCGGTAGCCGGAGTTGCCTTGTGACCGTGAATCGAAAAATCACGTCACAGTATGTATGTGTGTGTAGCCGTGAGCAAATAGTACATTATGATACAAGTGTGGAAAGTTGGTGATTCCTGACGAGTGTGACACAAGTCAGAATCGTGGCAAACGTCACACGAGTAGGAATCACCAACCCGCACGAGTATCATATACTATTTTTCTGCGCTCACGTCCGTAATCGGGCGAACATCGTGCAGAGTCGGGTAAATGTGTAAAGCCATTGACTCCCGCTCCTGCGCTGCAATGACGCTAGATTTGTTCGTTTTCTATCTAGTGCACCGAAATAGCAGTTATTGCAGCGCAGGAGAGAAGTCTTTTGTCATTGCAACGCGGCAACAGCAGCGCCAGAGAGGAGCAATGTAGGAGAAGGAGAGTGTAAGAGGGGAGAAGGAGAATGGAGAAGGAGAAAGGATCGCCCGATACGGCCGCTCGCGCAGAAAAATTGTTAACGTAACTTGAGCGAAACTCTCGCTTGTTTTCGCCTGAGCGTCTACAGTAGAGAGAGGGGGAGAGCAGCCGAGACCGCGAAGCGACCGATACACACTGCGGCGAAAAGAAGCGAGGTTCGCTCAAGATACATAAATAACTATTTTGCAACAATGTACGGAAAGTTCGCAGAATATGCACCAAAAAGAAGCACGAAATGGCCGATTCTTGATGAGTTCAGAGTGTGCGGAATCATCAAGAATGAACCATTTTGTGCTTGTTTGTTGATGCACAATCTGTATACTTTCCGTAGAGCGTTGCAAAAATGTTATATCTAAAGCTCCAGGCAAACCGCAAACGCATCGACATTAAAATTTACAAGATACATTTAGTTCCGGACATAGATGACACTGTTTTATTAGCAGATGCCCAATGCTTCCCGGTTTCAGAAGACGCATATGCGAAGATCATATAAATTAACTATCATAAAATTTTTATAAAAAATTCCGGGCGAATTATTGCATTGATCGGCTTGAAATTTACATCAGACATTGATTTTCGGCTGTATAATAGATGGCATTGTAATATCTGTAGATGTTTAGCTCTTCCCGTTTTAAGAATCTATATTCAAAATTTGGTTTGAACCACTTAATCAATCGCAATAAAATTTACAGGAAAAATTAACGAGATTCTAAATGGCATAATAACATTCACAAATGTCGAGCACTGCCAATTTAAAAGTTGCGTGCCCGCGAATATAATTTGTTTGCAACGGAAATGTATAACATGAGAAAGCATGGTTCACGCGGTTGTATCTCACGACAAACCTCTTTGTTCTCATTTTTTTAAGAGAAATAGATTACTTAGAGTCTAACGTTTCCATCGATATACAACAATAAAGTTAAGACTCATTGGTTAGATACGAAATAACAGCAGAAAACCAAATGGAGTTGTATACCACCTTGTATACCACCTTGGTAGTCCTGAGAGGTTCAGGAAACTTATTAGTTCCCAGAGGGTTAACACATATGTATGTTTCACAAAAAGGAATATATAGAGTGATGAACGTTTCAAATTATTGTTGTCGTACTCGTATATCTTATTAGGAAAAAAAAAACATTCTCCCGCTCCTGCGCTGCAATGACGCTAGATTTGTTCGTTTTCTATCTAGTGCACCGAAATAGCAGTTATTGCAGCGCAGGAGAGAAGTCTTTTGTCATTGCAACGCGGCAACAGCAGCGCCAGAGAGGAGCAATGTAGGAGAAGGAGAGTGTAAGAGGGGAGAAGGAGAATGGAGAAGGAGAAAGGATCGCCCGATACGGCCGCTCGCGCAGAAAAATTGTTAACGTAACTTGAGCGAAACTCTCGCTTGTTTTCGCCTGAGCGTCTACAGTAGAGAGAGGGGGAGAGCAGCCGAGACCGCGAAGCGACCGATACACACTGCGGCGAAAAGAAGCGAGGTTCGCTCAAGATACATAAATAACTATTTTGCAACAATGTACGGAAAGTTCGCAGAATATGCACCAAAAAGAAGCACGAAATGGCCGATTCTTGATGAGTTCAGAGTGTGCGGAATCATCAAGAATGAACCATTTTGTGCTTGTTTGTTGATGCACAATCTGTATACTTTCCGTAGAGCGTTGCAAAAATGTTATATCTAAAGCTCCAGGCAAACCGCAAACGCATCGACATTAAAATTTACAAGATACATTTAGTTCCGGACATAGATGACACTGTTTTATTAGCAGATGCCCAATGCTTCCCGGTTTCAGAAGACGCATATGCGAAGATCATATAAATTAACTATCATAAAATTTTTATAAAAAATTCCGGGCGAATTATTGCATTGATCGGCTTGAAATTTACATCAGACATTGATTTTCGGCTGTATAATAGATGGCATTGTAATATCTGTAGATGTTTAGCTCTTCCCGTTTTAAGAATCTATATTCAAAATTTGGTTTGAACCACTTAATCAATCGCAATAAAATTTACAGGAAAAATTAACGAGATTCTAAATGGCATAATAACATTCACAAATGTCGAGCACTGCCAATTTAAAAGTTGCGTGCCCGCGAATATAATTTGTTTGCAACGGAAATGTATAACATGAGAAAGCATGGTTCACGCGGTTGTATCTCACGACAAACCTCTTTGTTCTCATTTTTTTAAGAGAAATAGATTACTTAGAGTCTAACGTTTCCATCGATATACAACAATAAAGTTAAGACTCATTGGTTAGATACGAAATAACAGCAGAAAACCAAATGGAGTTGTATACCACCTTGTATACCACCTTGGTAGTCCTGAGAGGTTCAGGAAACTTATTAGTTCCCAGAGGGTTAACACATATGTATGTTTCACAAAAAGGAATATATAGAGTGATGAACGTTTCAAATTATTGTTGTCGTACTCGTATATCTTATTAGGAAAAAAAAAACATTATTTATATGCGTTATAAAATATTTTGGATTTACTTGGACCTTTAAAACTTACATGTGTTATAAATAAAACTGAAGACGAAGAAAAATATATACTCACAATTTCATCCTTAATCGTTGCAGTTTTTCTCTGCAAGTCTGATATTCTTCTGCAATAAATGCACATATAATAAAATAATTGATATTCGCCATTGACGAGGTATAATTTTTCTACCAAAATGAATTACCCAACGTTATGCGTCCGTTGTACATTGGACAATAATTCTTCACAGGGGGCGTCCCTATCTACCTCACAGATGTTTGGCGTTTTATGGAATATTTTACTCGGATCTCGTGAATGATGTTGAAATTGATTTTGACTAAAAATTGAGAGGCGTTTTTGTAAATCGAAAATTATCTCCTGTTCAGCAACCATAGCTTTCGCCAATTTTTGTGACTTCCTTTGCTCTTGTTGAATTATTAATTCCAATTCATAAACTGTGTAACAGAGTGGAACATTGTGAAAAATCATTTGTTATCAGAATGACCTTTATATATACACTGAGTCAAGGAGACCTTTCTGCTGCTTTTGCGAAATTTCATTTTCAAGCTCACTAATTCTTCTATTTAACAGATGTTTTTCATTAATATCGTCCAACTTTTCCTGCTCTCGTTTTATACTTGACGTTGAATTCTTGTCAGCAATAAAACAGGACGCGGAAGAGCATATTCGATTGTGTAATTCCACCATCTCTTTCTGATTTAGTGACTGTAGTATAAGAAATATGGCAATTTAACACTGTTTACACATGACATTGTAATTATTATAGTAACTGTATACGCACTTTGAGCCACGAATCAGGGTCAAATGGATTTTCAAAATCCTTTATAATTTCGTCATGATCCCTTGTCATTCGTTTAATACTTTCGTTATGTTTTTTAACAATCGAATTTATGATGCAGTCGTACTTTTGTTGAAGGGACTTTAGCGAACTATTATATTTCATGGTCGTAGCCTGATTCGCCACAGTAAATTTAAAACATCAAATATTACAACGCTACTATGACTTTTTGTGGTTACATAATTTAATTATAACGATGAGCTGTAATGAGTTACATACATTAAGTTCAGCAGTGAGCTCTTCTTTTTCCTTAGTAAGAGATTTCACGTGTTCCATAAGAATCTTTATTTCCGACTTGATATGCGTGTCAGAACTCAATTTATCAGTTAAAATACCATCCTCTTGTGGGTCGTTTTCTGACTCTGTTTGTTGGGAAATATTACACGTTGACTTGTAAATCTTCTGTTCTTCCATTTTTCTTATTTTATTCTTGAAGTACTGCAATTCTTTTACACGTTGATGCAATTCATTTTTCAAATTTTTACTCATTCGGATTGTCTCCGTTATTCGTGTCTCTTGTTCGTATATCTGTAAAATTGTATCATAAAAGTGGAACATTCTGATTTCAATCTATACAGGCAATATTTTAAATATTTCACTTTTATAAGTTTAAGGTTCATCCGTAAATAGTACTATGTACAAGTTTTAGTTAGAATTATTTTTAAACTCACAATTTAAAATCTTACTTAATCGTTTTAACATAATATCTATGAATATATGTGCATAATGGGATTAATTGCAACCTTGGAAACTTGTAACTCCTCCTTTTTAAAGTTAGACTTTATCTAAAGCAAAGACACCTTAAAGCTTCCTTTTTCACCGGAATCATAATTAAGTATTTTATATTAAATGTAAGAAAACTTATGGCTTGAATAGAGCAAAGCAAATTGTGACCTGCTTCTGATATAATCGAGTAAGTTAATGATTTTATTATTCTAAATAGAAACGTACCCAATGACTTCCTTGAAATCTGGGGCTCATGTTATCACCGGATCGATCATTTATATTGGAATCTTGTAATATTCGTACGTCAAATTGACTTTTATCACTCAATATCTTATTATATAAGGTACATGAAGTAATAGATTCTTGCTTTTCGACAGAATCACTCTTAAGGACATTTAAGAAGTCGGACTTATTCACATTTTTCAAATTCATTAATTTATGTTCCAATTCTACATTTTTTTCATGCATGTCTTTCAATTCTCTTTCTAACTTTTCATTCGATTTTTCATATTCCAGCTGATTCGCTTTCTGTTTACTTAACTTTTCTACCAATTTTCGTTTACTGCCATTAAATTTAGAAATTTCTTTTTGCAGATTAAATATTTGATCAATTTTCTCAGTTTCCTTCTTAAAAATAGCATCTTTATTATTAAGCTTTTCTATTTCTTGTTGAACAGTTGTGTAATTTTCCTCCAGGCTTGATATCGTCTTTTTCAAGAGCTCTATTTCCAAATTTTTCGCCTCTATCTTTTCCTTATAATCACTTTCTTTAAAACTTATCTCTCTCGCGTAATCGTCAACCTGCTTTAACAATTTGAATATATATTGATTACGTTCCGTAAGAATTCCAGTTGAGTCTGTTACTAGTTGCGTAAGATTTTCATTCATTTTTCGCAACGGCATTGATCTACATTACAGAAAAGTATGATAAAATATTATGTTAATCAATATCGACAAGCATTATTTTTATGTCAAATCGCTAACTTTTGCTCCATTTCATTAATCTTCTTTTCCAATGCATTGATATCATCGCTGCTTGGCGATTTTGTGCGTTGTATTTCTTCAAGAAGCATAACAATTTCACCATCTTTGATTTGAAGTATTTCATCCTTTTTTTGACAGTAAGTCGAAAGTCTGATATTTTGTTCTGTTAAGTCATTAACTTGGTTTCTAAGAGACGTGCAGTGCTCATTCAATTCACCTACGCTACACTTATATCTCTTAAGTTGTTGTGCCAGATCGCAGACTTCAAGTTTTTTAGATTTAACTTCCTTATTTATTTCATCGAGTCGTAATTCGAGTCGCTGTATTTTTTCATCGTGTTCATTTGCATATTTTGAAAAATTCGCTATCTGCAAATTTAATTTGTCAATTTCAGTATTCCTCACAATAATCTCGTCTTGCTGTTTAACGATCTCCCTGGCAATTTCTGTACATTCATCTCCGGCGCCTGGAAAAACCGAATTTTATTAATTCCGTAATAATTCGAGTAAAAGGGTACAGACTGTAGCAACTTGTATAATACCTTTGAGTGCGGCAGATATATAATTTATTTTATCAATAGACTTTTTAACGTGAATAGCAAGTGCACGATCAACTTTATTATCGTCTGAAGTTTTTCTTAAAGTTTCTCGTAATTGCTCAGTCAGTTTTGCAACCTCCGCATGCGTCGTATCCTTTTGGGTTTCCTTTAGCTGAAATTCCAAATTTTCTATCTGACGTAAGTATTCCGAGCATTGTATTTTATATTTTTTTTGTACCTCACAGACACGTTGTTTCAAGATCTTGACACCTGTCGGTACATTTATGTTATGTAATAATGTCAACATATAACTTTTAATGAATTGGGATTATTAGTAGATACCATCGTCCTGAATATTAGCGGCTTCTTCAGCATCCCTCAGAGCGTCTTTCGATTCAATAATCTGCTGATACATAGTGTCACGTTCATTTTTATACGATTTCAACTTCTTCATAAGGTTTTTTATTTCCTGAAGAGAATAAGAAACTTTCTTCACTATCACTGCTTCCAGTCCTTCTTTGTTACCTTTTGCTTCACTTAATATCGCTTTCTCTGTGTTCAACTGTTCGATCGTGCACTCCATGCGTTTCTATAATATTTATAGTATTGAAAAAGTTTTTCTTTTCAATTTTATCTACTTATTATGGCTAGAGAATCTCATCAATTTACAGATCAGTGTCCACTATACTTACTAAAAAATAAATGTGTATATATAATACAGTGTAATTTATAATTATAGACAATGCTCATCACCTTTTCAAACTTCCAATCGTCTAGGTCGAGCAATGCATTGTTTAAACGATCAATTATTTCCTTTGATTTAGACGTAATATCCATCTTTTTGTTCATAGATAAAACGTTGCTTTCTTCTACTATATTTTTTACAGATTCACATGTTTCCCGCTGTCTTTCTAATTCGTCCAAGTCTTCACGTGCAAGCATTCGTTTTCTTATTCTCGAGGGGGATAGCTCACCTTTAAAATCTACACCTTTGAAATTGTCAATCCAGTAATCTATTGAATTCTTAGAAGAAAAAATAAAAGCTACAACAAATGTATAATTGTTGAAAAATGTATTAACCATCTCTATGATGATTGTGCTCATTGTCAAATCCGTGAGAAGGTTCAGACTGATTAGTTCTCAAATATTGTTTCTGGCACTTAGAACTTTGAAGTCCGATCAAAACTTCTTTAATGTCCTGGATTAAATCTTTTAATTCTCTCTTGTACTGTTGCACTGCTCCCATTGTCTCAAGTTCGTCCATGTTATTCAAACCGCCGTTAAGCTTGTCAGTGAGGCCGCTAACTTCTAGCTGCATGACAGCCAGCTCCTTTTCGCACTGAACAATCTTATTGTTCTTTCTCTCAATCTCGGCCTTCAAGTCTGCCAGAGCGTCCCTCATCTTCACCTGATTACGAGGAATAACTGTTTATCTATAATACGTGTATCTGAAATATCGGCTTTTCCTGCGCATAAATGGATCATATTTTTTTTCCTATCGGTGATTCGACTAATCACACAAAACTCCTGTTTCTTGGAGACCAAAGGATTACAACTGAAAGTATCGATAACGGTCAATTAATGTTTTACATTTTTTATTTTTATGGCGTCGTTATAGAACGTTATGGAAACAGTGCAGCACACAATGTTGTTTCGCGCAAAGATTCGTCTACTACAATTTAAAACGGTTAAACGCTGCGGAAGTTATATTTCCAATGACGGCAATTCTTCGTTCCTGGAAGTTTCTGCAATAAGACACACTGCTTGTTACTTACCACTTGGATATATGCTTCAAGCAGTAGACTGAATCGAAAATCTAGCACCGGTTTGAGCCCATATAACATCCAATTCCTTTGTTCTTCGGGATTGCCGACTGAAATGTAATATCAATTTCACCCTAGGAGATCCCACTGATAGAACTCTGAGGCCAATGCTGGATTTTACGAGAGCGCGTAAACACAGATTTTAAAGTGAACAGCCAAAACCGAATCTTAACCTGAGGATTCTGCTCGTTTATAGATCATAAGTTAGGATCTACACTGGACACCAGAAATGGGTCTAATATCTGTACCTCGAAAATAGGATCTTGAGATTCAACTGGTTAACTCAATCGAGTTTCCCTATTCCATAATCTTAATATCAGCCTCAATGTACTAGTGTAGAATAAATAGATTTAAACCGGTGCTAAATTTTCGACTCGGGAGATAAATATTTTTAAACATATTCTCCAATCTGTGGATTCTATTGGTCTTAAAATATTTCAGCATCCCCCTGCCCCTTCTATCTTCGACATCAGTCATGCGAGGAAATTTTAATTAATATCGCGGCATAGAGAATGATACAAATTTTCGACTTCTTTGAACAAGATAAAATATACCTGACGTGCTTCGTTTGCTTGAGAACTTTTTTCTACTAATCGAACCAGCTTCTGTATCTCCTCTTCTTGATCATGCAGCTGTCGTTCTAGGTCTTGATTTTTTATTCGTAAATCATCAAGCTCTTGCAAAGACGCTCTTAGCTTTTTCAGTGCCTTGTCACATTCCTCAGCTTCTTTAGCCAATTTTTCCATTTCTTCAACTTTTCGCTGCAAAAACAATATATTACTACATGTACTTGTTGCATTTTAGTTCGATTTATTCCGTAGGATAAAATTTGATGTTTTTTATTAACTCGTTGGGCACCATCGGGAGTGCAGAATGACCCCAGACCAAGTTAAAACGACAATAAGTCCGAGATAAGTAGATCGATTTGAGAGTCTGACATTTCAATTTTACATATATTAAAGTCAAAAATTATAATTAGAACGAAAGTTATATGCGAAAACAAAAGTTGGGATATAATGCGACCCCACATGGGGTTCGTGGATGCGACATAAAATGATGGTACATATATGTATGTGATCATAACCAAATAGTACTAACTCTAAGATATTCATTCTGTTTACGAATTTTTTCGTTTTCCTCCCATCGGAACTGTAATTCCTCAGCTTTGTTCGAGTGTGCCAATTGCTCTTTCCTTAGATCTTCCTTTAATCGTTGTATCAAGCGGTCGCGAATATACATCTGGAATATCGGTCCCGCAATATGACTCACATACGTCTTACATTAAGCTTTGAAATGTAACTTACTTCCTTCCTTAGATCTTCCAGTTTATGATTTTGTTGATCACCCATTCCTTGCAGTTGCTGTAAAACATATAGTAAATTAATTATTACTTTTCTAAATGTTATAATGTAGAATAGCATTCTATCATTTATATACATTAAAGTCTTGCAGCAACATATTGAGATGATCTTCTTTCATCTTCAGAGCTGTTTGCAAATCTTTCTTTTTCACCCTTTCGTCCTCCAATTCATATTCCTTGACCTGGACCAAACAAATTATTTATAATAATATGTCCAAGACTTTTTTAAAGCTACGTCTAATTTATTTATCATCGCATATTCTTTACTTCAAGTTGATTCTTTAACACGATTATCTCAGCTTCGTTTTTGATGATTGTGTTTGGGATCTCATCTTCCGTTTCGGAATCAGACGAAGATGTTGAAGAAATTTCACTGTTTATTTCATCGCCGCTAACAGATACTTCATAGCTCTCCGAGATGGATAAGTTATCGACGGGTTTGCTTAATTTCACTTTATCAAATGAATTATTGTCCATCTTTTTTTCCTTTGCATCATATGATTCTTTCGCACAGTATCTATTCGTTGCTGGTAACTTATCAAAAGAAAACGTAACAGCAGCAGAGTCATTTTCTGCCAAAGATATCGTACACTTTAACTTATATTCCTACTTACTTTTTATCTTTTTTACGAATTAATCTATTTTTATATAATATATTTCGTTACCTCCATCGGGATTGCTGTTTGTTTCATAAGAAGACTCATTTTGTGAAACTTCTTCACGAGCGGCCTCTTTCATTGCTTTAGAATCAAATCCGAACATATCATTGTCATACTGAGTAGAAACACACTTTTTCAGAGTCTTCGTCAAAGGAAAGGTCTGACACGAGCTCTGAATATATTGATTATCCTCTTCGTTTTTCCTTTAAAATTAAAAAAAATTACGCAATTGATCAATTGACAAGTACGGTCAAGTACCACCTCTTTGCAATAGAATTTGATTCATCATTCCTTGGAATATCATGAACCGGCGTTTCATTCTGAAATATACATGTCTTTGCATTAAAAATATATAAAAATCTATAAAAATATGGAAATGGAGACTTTAAACCAACACTATCATTATCTTGCAATTCTTTCAGCTGTGCTATAGTAAGTTTGAGTGCCTTATACTTCGCTAACTCTCGTCGACAGTCGGCGAGTTCATTTTGCGCCTGAGTACTTAGAGCAATCAAGTTGTCAATAACTACGTCAAACGGTACGATTTTTCCTATCTGTTAAACATAGATTTAACATTTTACAATAAAATATTACAGTTTTGTGGAAATTATCAGAGTTATACAGACTGCAGGGCTGTTTTCTGCGAGTTCACGAAAATAGCGGGAATTTTCTAGCGGATTTGTACACCAGGCTCTGACATCCGCGCACGAATCATACACCTTTAAGCGGCCCTCCAATCGTTTTTTTGGAAATACACAATCTCCATAGGTTAATGTTTCGTTTCCAGCACCGCCAGCCAAAAAAATTCGTGGTCCATGCTCCACGTATGACATTCTCACAGCCCGCTGCAATTCTTTTCCTATATGGTCCTAACATGTGTTTTGGTTTGTCACTTCCTTTGCTCGTGTGATTCAGAGAGTTTAAAACTTATTGGAATATTTATGGCTGGCAGTTGGGATCAGATTTTGTTATTTTTCGCCATGTCTGTTTGAATCCCATAGTAACGTGAGGCGACAGTCAAAATTTGAGTTATCTTCGTAATGTGCTAAGTTCTCTGGCGTGGGTATGAAACATTAGCAAGCAGCAGTTTTTGAAAATGTTTTAATAAAATATTTTGTTTTGTTATAAACCACAGTTAAAAAGACCTACATTGGTACAAGTAGTCGGTACCTTTATGATACGTTATTATATTGCTTTGCAATTAAAAAATTGTTTTCCTATCTAGATAAATATATCATTCATTTTATTGTCATCCTTTTACTGCAATTGGAATCCTTGAATTCGTACAAAGTCAATTAAAAATTGACTTTTAAGTAAAGATTATCTGTTGTATTTTAGAATTCCTGCTTTCCTTTTCCACCTTGAAGACTAATATGTTAATGTGACGAGACAAGTTTAAGTTAGGCCTTCTTTAAAAATGAAATGTTACAGTACGTTTATATGCATACGTCATCGATAACAACAAATAATTTTTTATACCCAATTTAAACTTTGTCATTTGAACTATATTTTTCTTCTTTCATTTCATCACTTCCCCATTATTCAATGTTCATAATTCCACATGTATGCAACGTGTAGTGAAGAATTTAAACAATTTTAATTGTGGGAGTAGAAATAATGTCAATATGATAAAAATAGCGGTAATATAGGTAGCATTAACATAGTTCCTTTATTTACATACATTGAATTCCGCAAATATTAAATAAGTGAATGTATGATGAATTCTTTAAACGAGATTACTTTTTTGACTTGATCTCAAAGATGTTCAGATAAGCCTAAATTTAAGAACGGTTAGATGTAAATGAATGTTTGCTAATTTGAAATTCACAATAGTATATCTGCAGTGTGAATTTGAGAATGGAATGTATGCAATAACATTTGATTCATTGAATTTAAGAAAGGAAAGGAATACGAAGGAAATATTTCATGATCTGCAGAACAATAAGTATATACGGAAGAAATACTGAAATTTATCTTAGGACTACAATTTTTAAAATACAGTACAACACCTACGACTCAATAAGACAACAAGTAACATTCATAAAAATGAGTTTAAAATTCGAAAACTTCAACGCTCCAAATATGCAGTGTAAAAAACAGATAATACACGAATAGGCGTGCGTGATAGAGTGAATGTATTATAAAAGGAATATTCAATATTTTCATACAAGAAATATTTGGAATGATTGAATAAGGCCACTCGATCTTTATATGTCTCCGTAACAATTGAATCAGATTACAGTTAAGGTACTCAACTCCCTTCCCTATTCATCGAGTTCATTAATAACTATTATTATGTACAATTATTTTCAATGAAGGTCGCTCGCAAGTATAACACTATTGAAGTACGTCCACTGGATTATATACAATTCGCCATTATTAAATTCAGCCAATTCCATGACTGGATTAGAAAGTTCATGAATCGAATGTTTGATAAACTTTTTTTTTCATTATAATATAAGAAATAGTCATCTGAGCTGCAAATAACAAATAGCTGTTATGAAAATCGATCGTGTAATCTTCTTGATGTATCAAAGATAACTCTAAACACCAATTGTAATAAAAATATATACATGATCGTCTTTCATATAATCGCTGCATTTTAAGTACACTTTCTCTTTTTTTAATTAAGTACTACTTAGTATTTGTTTAATTCCTTCGATATTTTGCTGCCTTTCATTAATACTTGGATTAAACGTCATTATTCGTATTGCTATTTTCTTCTCTGCTTTATAAATATGAAAACTATATCAATGAATAATAATTACTATTATCTATGTATTATCCTAAAATTCGTCAGTAAAATCGTCGCCACTTTCCGTAGGTAAACGTTTTAATTGTGCTGAATACAAATTCCCTCTAGTGGTCCAAGTTTACGACGATTATCCTGCTGCTACACTACAAGACAAATTTCCTGCTACACTTCCCACGCTTATTGTGTTTTTCCTACATTGAAAACATGTTCCATACAATGCACCATAAATGGTAAAGGTAGTTTGGCGCATAATACCAGGTTTCCCAGTATCGAAATTTCTTAAAAAATTCTACTCTTCCCTTTCAATATCGTAGTGCAGATTACGTGAAGGTACCATGGAAGCACCAGCTTACTTGGAACGCACTGGGATATTAAGTATACGATTTCTTCTGCTTTCAAATTTCAATTACAAATCCAAACATTATGCCTAGGATGTATATTCGAATTCAGTTTATACGAAATATTCGAAGGCACTATTCTCTTAGGTATTGTTTTAACTCGCGTGCATAATACGAAAATCTAAATGCTATAAATGCATCGAAAGAAACGATGGGGATCAACACTAAATCTCAAAATTTTTCTGAGATTTTCTCCCTTACATAAGAAAAACAAAAAGAAATGAAATGTAAAGGAGGTCACTCGACCCAAAGGTATAATTTCTTATTATCAACGATTATCCTAACATCTCCTTTCGACGTGGTGCATTCTTTTGAATCAGATTAACGGGAGCATTCTTTTAAATCATTATGATTAGAGATGTAAAACGCCTTGATCGCGACTAAAATGATTGTGGTGGTGGTGATGATGGTGGTGGTGCAAGTGATGCCCTGCTGATGTGGATGCATCATCGTGCAACGTGACACCTGTCAAATCGACGATCTCATCCGCATCATCATCTGCGTCACTGCCAGTTGCAGCACTTTGCGTTGACTGGTGACTTCCCGATGATAATTGACTGTTGCGGGAGAAGGAACCACGTCGTGGTGCTGCCAATGCTGCTCGTTGATTTGCAGGCTTCACTGTTATTATTAGATTCGACGAGTTGGCGATCATCATATCAGTAACCTGTAATTATATTGAGTAGTGCAAATAAATATATCTATTGTTTACTTTTAATGACGTTAGAACTGTTTAACGTTCTTTATCAACAAATATTACAATAGTGATTCTTACCTGATCGAGTGTTTTTCCAGCAACTTCAATTCCATTAACTTCAAGAACCTCGTCGTTCACTGCTAGGAGGCCCGTGCTTTCAGCCAGGCCGCCAGGAACAAGTCTACTAATAAATACGCCTGGAACCTTCTCGATGCCGCCACCAGCCGAGGGTGGCAGTGGTCGGTAGCTTTCACCATCCTTAATGTAAAATCCTAAAGGCTTATCTGATCCATGCTTCAATAAACGTACGCGACGGCATGTTTCTGGTAAAATATCCACGTCAATTATCGCTGAAACCTAATTTAACAAAAAAAAAGAAGATAATAAGGTAATAATTTTTAGGCATGACTGCATGGAACATGTGAGAATGTCTTATAAATTCAATATAGAAAGAAAGGATTATGGATAAGACTCCGAACTTATACGGGATATCAAGTTCCGTACATCGATGGAACCGCAACATTTGCAAATGTCAGCACTTCCGATTTCAATGCAACGTATGTCAGTTCTAGGATAATTTGCTGTTGTCAACGTGCACGCTCAAATTCTCGTGCAAAACAAAGTTCCGAATGAACTACTGAACCAATCAGGTTACCATTTACAGCAAATATCAAGTTTCGATTACAAATTGAATAGCAATTCTTACAAATATTGAGTACTTCCGGTTTCAATACAGCACAATATAAAAAAAACTGTGTCGAATTTGCGTAACCAAATATTTGGGCGAACCGCTCAACCATTCGGGTTAAAATTTGCAGAAAAAATCATGAGCATGGAAATACATGGAACAGTAACATTTGCGAATGTTGAGTATTTCTAGCCTAAAAGTCCCTGCAGATCAAACGGATATTTCAATATGTGTGAAAAAAGTGAACTGTACGATTTGAAAGTATATCCATTTCGAACTTACTTTAACGAATATTAAAAGCAAATTAGAATTAATTTAAATCTTCATAATTTATCCATGTTATTCAGTAATTCTAAATGTATTTTTCAAAGGATAGTTTACTGCAGTATTATCACAGATATTGAATATTTCTGTTCTTTTCTGGACTAAAATTTTGGATATGACTGTCGGGTGAGAGTCATATTCAAAACTTAACTTACAGTTACCTAACTAGTTTATTATTTCTACTACTTATTTTTATTTCAATATTTTTTTTTAGTGGCTTTGGCATATTAATTTTATACTGGAAATATTCATTTCCCAGTTTCGTAGATTCCAATAAAAATTTTCATACGAGAGATGTGATTTACTATAAATGGTAATTAAAAAAAAAACTCATACTAACCTGCCTAAAGTCGTGAGGATTTGATATAGCGAGTGATTTTGGTTTTCCAGGAGTTCCGCCTAAAATACTTGATATTAAATTTTTTGGCTTAACTGTCGCATAACCATTCATGTCCTCCAAACCGTCCCCTTTAAAACAAAAAAAATAAATATTACTCCAATAGAAGCATAATATTAAAAGCATATAGCTACGTAGTCTTACTGATTAATATGCAGGAAGCGTTAAATGAACAAAGTGAAGCAACTGAATAGAAACTCATGGAACACCGTTGATTCTTAATAAGTCGACAGTGAAGACCTTATTTGAATAAGTTATGATGGCCTGTCTATATATAAACTGTGAATACGTTAGTCATGACCAGTAAACTGCGTGCAATTGATTTGCTTGATAGTAGCAATAATAATGCTTAGTATTAGTAATAGAAATGGATAATTTCTCAGAGAGCATATTTTTTCCGTGCTATATTTTCAAAACGACAATTTTTGTAGATTTAATTAAATAGGCACTTTAAACGGAACGTCTTATATTGAAATAAATTAAATTGAAATTATAATTTCTTCGTTTAATGTACGAGGTTTAACATACATATACTATATTTGAAAAAAAATACAACTATAAATATATTGGGTAGACGTACCGCCTGTAGCCAATGTACTACTTTTGACTACACTTGGCAAAGCTTTTACTCATTTTTGATACTATTCATTTATTACATTTTTCATTTAATTACGAAAGTATACCCTAAATGAAATTTTGAATGAAATTTTTCAGTAGCTAATTGCCTAAAAATTTATTTGTGATGATTAAAGTGGGTTTGCCCCATTTTTAGCCATAGTCTTCATTCATAGGTATTGAATATGGTCAAAAATGGTTCATGATGGTCACATACAATACTAAGGTGACTAAAAATATAACATCTACCGTAAATTAGTGTCGTTCTATTATAAATTACTTTTAAAAAGTGGTACTGCAGCAATTATACAATAGTAGTAAATTTTGTTTAACAATATTATTTTAAAAGGGAAAAGGGGTGAAGTAAGAGTGGGAGGTTCGCAGTGAAGAGGCAAGCCAGGCCCGAACGTAGAGGAAGTAGTGTGTTCCACTGACTTGCAACACCATTTTTGTCACGAATCGGAGGAGTCCTGTATAAGAGCGTCTCCCTCGCTCTTAGCAACGGTCCCCTATAAGGCCATCTCCCTCATTGTTAGTGGTGACGCAGCAAGTCCCCGTATCGCGTATAAGTGGCTTACGCGCTTTCACCCTGCATATAAGAACGTCTTGCTTCGACTCATAGCCTGTATCGGCGCAACACCTTTGCCGGAGTTGAGGTATTGATAGAAGCGAGAGAGCTGATTGTTTTGAATGAGAGACTCGTTGACGCAGACAATAGCGCGTGAGTGAGACGTGGCTAAGAACGAGGGAACTCCTCCGACTCGTGACAGAAATTATGTCCCAAGCCGATGGAAAAAGCTACTCTCTCTCCGTTACTGGCCGCCCCACTCTCCCTTAGCCGTGCTTCCCCTAACTTTTTCCTGGGACGCCATTAATGCTGCTGAGGCTACCATGTAGATAAAGACAAACACACATTTAGTTCTTGATCAACTCACTGATAGATTAACTCATACTTCTATTACATTAGTCGAGGATCACCTTTTAGCTTCTCGTTACAAGAATATTCATTTTAATAGAATATCAAAAATAATATTTTCTTCGTTACTATACCAAATGAACAAAAATTTGCAATCTAAAAATTATATATAGTCAATCAAAAATGTTTGCGTTTTCTGGGGAAATATCTGTAGTTCATTATAAGGTAATACAGCGAATATATGTAACAAGTATCTCCAGTTTACAAATATACTTTTGTAAGCATTAATAAAATATGACATTGTCAATAAAATAATAAATATGTCATATGTGGAAGTGCATAGCATAAGCTATAAATGTATACTATTTAGTACAAAATAATGATCTAAAGTTATGTACTCTGAAATCGTTTATATTAATGGAGATTGCCTCATTAAATCATTCCTCTAATATTATTTCACTTAAATTTGCTTACTCTAAATTATTTTACTTGTACTCAAAGAAATTCAAAAAAATATAAATTTCTGTTTTCAGTACCAATGACAATTGAGATCAAAATTAGGATGGAACCCTAGTTGCAATCAGCATCAGCAATTTCCCATTCTCCGTTTTAATCTCAGCTTTATAGAAAACTATTATTAGATTATTATTACAAACATTAAAAAATGATTTAGACGGTAATATTATTTAATAATACATTATGCTTCTGTACTGTCATTTCTGGTCTCAATCCCAACCTAATCATAATCTTAATCGTGTTTATAATTTCAAACTCCAACCTTAATCTCCAACATAGTTAAGAGACATATGATGAGATTTGTGTGGTTTAGTTGTCCCACGAAAAAGGCTGGAAACGAGAAAACTTTGCACCAAAAATCTCGTAATTGGCCGTACGAGAGCAAATGCCAGTGATATGATATAAAGTTGATATGTGTAAAACGTTCCCTGCCGGTCCTTTTTTTTATTTTCGTAGGTGGTTTTATGCAACAGTATGATAAGTGTTGACTAGAGCAAAGGCATTATCGGATCGCCATGACAGATTCGTAGGCTGTCACTTTCGAGATTCAGTTAAATTTTGTTTTCTAAGTAATAATTCAAAAAAAATGCGGATCGACAGAAAAAGGCATTTTACCGGAGGGCTTTCATTTTGTTTAATAAATTAAATGGCAATTGGAGTTTTCTCTTGTTCAGCCTCGTCTATATAATAACTCAACTACACAAATAACTTACTCCATTCCCTCTCAATGAATGCTGAAGTACGATCAAAAACTTCAGTAGAGTGTACCCTGGTATCGTTCAATCTTTCTCATAATAACGTTGATAAAAAAATCCAAATTTATCTGCCAAATTTATCTGGAGTAAGGTTTTTGAAAACACCGCTAGTAGTGCTTCATTTGTACATAAATGTCAAAATCCTTGTGATAGATTTATTCAGAAATATTGCATCACCTAAGAGTGTTTCTACTAAGCAAAGTAAATGGGCAAACTATTTTCTATTGGCACAGAAATTCTCAATAACCCATACTTGGACAACCTATAATGTCTAAAAGTTTTTTAATTCAAGAGAATTTTTAGATGTCTTTAGAATTAAGTTATAGATTTATGTGATATCTAGTTATTTGTTGCCATTCACACTTATACTATTACGAAACCAAAATATTAAGAAATTGATGTTTACAATTATCATCCATTTTAGAGGACAAATATCATTAATGAATTACAATTATTGTTCTGATCTTTTTAACAATTACAATCCTTCAGGTTGTCTTTTAAAAGTTGTATCTAATTTCAGTTAAATTATTAAATTTTTTATTGCTTATAATATGAAATCCTTTATCAATCGCATCAGAATAAAATTAAATTGGGTTCAACTTTTTATATAATTTTCATATCATGGTTAATATATGTCATCATTTTGTAAAGAGTAGTAACTAATTCATCAATTAATTACAAATTCAATATCTAACATTTTATAATATTAATGTTTTGATAATGTATTAGTTACAATAATGTACACCAGTCTGCATAACAACATTGAAATTTAACTATGCAGTCTTAAGCAAGTCATTATTAACTAAATGAGATTTTTCATAATTGAACAGCAACAAAGAAAAGATAAAATATCATATGCAAAAGAGTAGAGGTTAAAAACTTTAGTCTTTTATGAAATCTTAACTGAACCATGTATAATATAAACTAATAAACATCTATTAATTATATCAAAGAAATACATATGAAGTATTTTAACTAAAGATCATTAGGTTTTAATCAGATATTTGTAACAAAGCAAAAAAAGATATCAGAAATATTGATTATACAACATGTGATATTAAGAGTAAACTAATCAAAGATTACTTACTATTAAATAATCTATTTATGGATTTTACAAAAAAAAATATATAAAAACTGCAATATTTTATAGAATGAAATAAATGCATAGTCAGAAAATTCTTACCTTTTCTCTGTATAAAAATTCTAAGAAGAGGTTTTGCAGCAAGTAATGCTCGTGCTAAATTGTTGTCATTATTAATTGGAAGTAAATCTCCATCGGTTGGATCGGTATACCAAATCAGAAAATTCAAATCCTGACCAATATCATGTTTCTCTGCCAAAAGCTTCCTGAAGTCTTCGTAGCTTATGGATTCATTACGATTGATGGAGAATCTTATAAAATCAGCGTCAAACTATTAACAATCATATTGTTTGAAATAAATTTATTATTGTAAACCATTTAAACCATCCTGCAACATCAAAAGAGATACTAACTTACCTTGCTCTTTACGGCAACAATGCTGCTGTCAACGTGATGATGAGGTTTGCCTTTTAACATGTTTGTTCAAGGGATAAATAGCAGCTTTTGAGAAATTTTGAAAATCGTGACGCGCACCACACCCTCCGATTGGTATTTTTGTATCACGATAATGATCTCAATTTTGTTACGAAGGATTCTTTATTAATACAGCCACATTTTGCAAAAAAATGAGCATTAACACTATTTCGTGACGTCAGGAACACCTGCTCACTGTGGAACGCCACTTGGCTTACTTGGCCTGGTCCGCAAAACCACCCTGCGAACAACTTTACTACCGTAATAATGCCGGAGAGCACTGTCATTCGTAAAAATTCAGAAACGTAACTATAATGGTCGTCTATCGTTGTATTGTGACATTCGCCAGTATACAATGTTTCTCAAAGCACTGCGCCACTCCACTAGCGCGGCCGCAACTACATGTAGATTGTTTTCACAATTCCACTCCGTCAATTTTCAGCAATCCTCAACCATTCTTACAAAATGCTCGCCGAACACAGATCAGCATTGCTCATAAAACAATAAAACTTTACGCTTCGCATGCATCGACACTACGTCGCGCTGTAAACCCACATGAAAATGAAATCATAACCTATATCAGCCAATGAAATCGATCGATTCCCCCCTTTCTTTAAGCTATTCGATATAGCTGATATATCTAAAAACCAAATATAACATTTGACTTATGATGCAGTAGATTTATGTGCTATATAACAAGACCCAAATATTACAATCATAATTTTCTTCGTTTCTCCCATTGACATATAGCATGAACTACGCACAAGCATAGGAAAAATCCTCGACTGATAGAAAAAGATGGCGACTGGTGGCGGCCACGGTCTTGGATACAAGTCTGGACATAGAATTTATACTCCTGGAAGGGGAATAGCCTACTCTAGCAATGAGTGGAAAGTGGCCCCAACATGTTGCGACAGAAATAAGTCTCTCTCTTCGTTCGTAACGTCAGTTCCTCTTACTGCGCACGCGCGCACTACATCATAACAACGGCTGCCTCCAATCGAATTCCTTCAGTCTTCATGTAATTCGCGTTTCGCGATAGATTGATTAGGTAATTAGGTTTTGTGGGTCCCACTGAACTATAAATATGCTGGAACGCGTATGGCAGTGATGGGGACGAGCAGAGAAAGATAGCAAGGGCACAGGTGAGTGTAGTAGGCTGTCTGTATCACACACTGTACAGTCTCTGAAAAAATTTCAGCTGAGATAAAGCAGTGCGCACGGGGAGGACTGAGCCAACATAGCGTATCCTGAAATAATGGCACATATATTTTATTTCGAAGACTGCTACATATTTTGTTATCGTTTTTACAAAGTTTTACGAATTTGGAATTGGTGGACTTGACCGCAGTAAAAAGTGATTTTAAATCACTCATCACAATTGTTATTTAATGCATAAAATTTTACAGAAATCCAGAAATGATTGCAAAAATTTAATACAGATCATACTGATTTAACTATTGTGAATTGCTCCAGACTTTTTAAATGATGAATTTAAAAATCGAGGGTACTATGTAAATAATAGACGTAGTTAGTCCTACTTTTATGTGATAAAAGAATAGCGAAATCATGAAAAAAATAGTTTTGCTTTTAGGGTAATTTGAATATGTACAAAACACAAAAATATAGTTTTATATGCTGAATTTTTTAATTATATTTGTTGTGTTTTTTTACTTAGTTTGATAGTAAAAATGTTATACTTGGTATATAATATTTACAATTTAATTATCATAAATAATTAGTAGTGCTAACTATTACCAAAAGGACAACCTCCTACACGAGGTGAATTAAAGTCCCTCTAGTAAGAGTCGGGCCAACGGTGGGACTTGTTAGTGATTGGCTCCGCCATATTATGGGCTCTTTCCGGAATAGAATGGGGTGTGTGAATACGTATATGGGAGAGATTCGCATTGTGTAGTGTGGGTAGCGTTAAGCCCTGTACGGCGGGTAGCCTGTACTTGGCGCGAGACTCGACCGAGTCTCGCGCAATGTCATGGTGGCGCCAAACAAGCCCTTAATATGGCGTCCCTTCCGGGTGTTGGCCGGACTCTTACTAGAGGGACTCTAAATGAGACAGTTGCGCGCTCGCCGAATTACCTTCGAATACAAGCGTATGCGTTCCAGTGTGCCTGTATTTCAGGGGTCCCATCCCATAACCCCTCATAACCTGATCCTGATCGTATGTGAAGTGTATGCTTTGTATTGTGCATAATAAGGGCGACAATTTTAATAACAATGCCGTCGTGTGCAGTGAGAAGTTGTAAAAATTATTTTAATTAGAAATAATATTTGTTACGACAGTTTTCAACAGTTAAAACTTTGGCTCTGCGCCGTGTTTCAAATTACGCGGCAACAATGGTGGAATCTTCGGGCAGCAACTTATTGGTCCTCTGCGACGTAGAACGTCAGAACATACCTTGTTTCATTCTACCATGCTTCTTACCACATGGACACATTGACATATTCACCCTCTGGCACATGTCCCCCATTGGGGATACAGCCATAAGGAAAGGAAGGGAAAGACATATTCACCCTGACACAGCCACCACTAACTATATTTGAACGACATTCACGTCCCTGAACGGGCCCTGAACGGGCCCTGAACGCTCAACATCGGGTGTTTAAATTAAACGCCGGGGTAAAACTACCTACGTGAAGTTAGCATTGTAACATTTACTTTTTGAACTTTTTTTGTTGTCAAATAATTGTTGGTTTTATGGTGGTTTTTGGTGGACCAGTTAAAAAATTTGGCTGTTGCCCATTTTTTTGGAAAATAGAAAATAAAATTTAGATTGTGAAGTTAGCCCCAAAAGTCTTATTTTTTATAAAAAAAAAAATTTTTTATGGAATCGACGCCAAATTTTTTGGCGGTCACGAATTACCTAATTATAAAATTTGTGGTAACTGGTTTCGTTAAAAACAAAAAAAAACAAAACCGTACGCACACCTGTGAAATGTGAATTAGCCCCAAAAGTGTTATTTTTCAAAAAAATTATTATTCTTCAAAAGCGAAGCGAAAACGAGCAATTCTCGAATAGGGAAACGTGGAAAATTGAAAAATTGAATAGGAGTGAGGTGACATTTGCCGACGAATCCAACGACCAGCTAACATCGGGGCAATTGTTTTTTTTTACGTAAGCTGTACGATGCACAGATGTTTCATTGTCAATTCCTAAGTTACCAAACTGACCTGCTTATTTGCACTGACCCAAGAATCACCCACTATGTGAAAACTCGCGTTCGCTCCGCTGTTGAAGAAAATAGTATGTGAACCGCGAGAGAAAACGGGCGTTTGTGCCTTGTATAAAGTTGAGGTTCCCGAGGCGAAGCGTCGCAGAAACGCCCGTTTTCGCTCTCGGTACACAATATACTATTTTGAGTATAATTCGATGCCAAATTTTTTGGCGGTCACGGATTACCTAATTACAAAATTTGGTGGTAACCGATTTCGTTGAAAATAAAAAAACAAAACCGTCCGCGCATCTGTGAAATATGAAGTTAGCCCTAAAAGTTTTATTTATCAAAAAAATAATTGTTTTGAGTTTAAACGATGTCAAATTTTTTGGCAGTAACGGATTACCTAATTACTCAATTTGATGGTACGCGGTTTCGTTGGAAAAAAAGCCGTACGTGAGGTATTCTTTTACAAATCGAACACTTTTTTCGACTGTAGAATTTAGATTCTCATGAAAATTTTTTTACAGCTTCTATTCAAGAAATAATGTGACTCCTGTATCACGATTTTTGAGAGAACATTTTTTTTTGATAGGTATATTTATTTTTAATTTCAATGATAATCGAAGAAATGATAATTACTCATGTATATAAAATTCATTATTTCTGGTTTTACTCATTCAATCGATTTCGTTTTTTTTTTAATTCCTTACCGTGTTATGTTAGCTCTTTAATGAATATGTAAATGATCTTCATTCTGTTATTTAAAAAAGTTATTAACAATTTTATTGTTTAAACAATTATTTTACATTTGCCCCCTCAATGAATAACATTTAAAAAAATACTATCGTGTGCAGTATGTTTTAATCTAAAAAACCCACACTTAAGAAATGTGGAGACTTTATTAGATCCGAAAATATTAAATATTTTCTAGTGCGCGGCGTGCGCGTCGCGCGTGGATCATAGCTTGACGTGCTAAAACGTTTCTGAGTCAAGCCGCGACCAGCGTTCCTGGAGATGCTTACGCGATTTGTCGTTCAAGAATAGTGGAAACTAGTTTATCGTTTAAATAAAGGTATATTTCTGTAGAATATTTTCACAAACGTACATCTGTGGAGTGTGAAGTTAGTCCCAAGAACTTTATTTAAAAGACAAAAACGGGTTTGGGTGCATTCGATGCCAAGTTTTTTGGTGGTCAAGGATTACGAGATTATAGAATTTGGTGGTAACCGGTTTTGTTAAAAAAAATAATGTTACTATACGCGCAATTGTGCTGGTGTACTCATAGATTTCTTTTCATTATTAATTAAATTATTTATTTAGTACAGAGGTATAGTTAATGCAGTTTTTGACCCGTGTATGTAAAAAAGGAAATTCGGTTCCACTAGAGTAGATAGACGAAATAAAACCGCCAATCGTCTCTGAGTAGATTATTGGATTATAGTTTCTGTTACCGATTAGTGTGTAAGTTGTTTAGCATTTCATTAAGACCATGTGAAATACCCGATTTACGCAGACAGGGATAATAAAAACTGTAATCAACTTTTTTCACGAACTTTAGCGTGTATGATAGAAGAAAAATTCCTCGGACACAATACGAGAATGATGAATTGCAGCATTGTAAGAAGTACTTGATTATCCGAATAATCAACTGTGGCAGAAAAATTTGCATTAATATCGTAATGCTCCAAGATGATGTAGAGAGAATATAAATAAGAACTAGTAAACCGAGTTCCCGTTCTCCATTTTTCGTGAAATTGTAAGAAGCTAAATATTTTTTAATACATCCGTATATACTTTTCAACGAATCGTGCGGCTTTCTTGAGATATCGAGGATGCAATTGGGGCTAAATTCACATTTCACAGGTGCGCGTACGGTTTTTTTTAATTTTCAACGAAACCGCTTACCACCAAATTTTATAATTAGGTAATTCGTGACCACCAAAAAATTTGGCATCGATTCCATACAAAAAAAAATTTTTTTTATAAAAAATAAGACTTTTGAGGCTAACTTCACAATCCAAATTTTATTTTCCATTTTCCAGAAAAATGGGCAACAACCAAATTTTTTAACTGGTCCACCAAAAACCGGTAAAACTGCAGTATACGACTCCGAACTGAACTTGGCTGCTAGTGGTTTTTTGAGGTAACGCCATCTGCCGGATATAATGTGAATAGCATGGAATAGTCACGCCACCTATTAGAAAAAAAATTAACCATATTTAAAATTATAAAACCAATTTATTTTTATTGGAATACACATATGTATCAATTAATGAAGATCTGAAAAAATATATTATACATAAATTTATATAATTTACTTACAAATTTCGAAGCTGAAACCTCTTCTTTCATCTTACGCAAAATATTGTGAATCGAGAAGTTGATGCTACGTCAATAATTGGTGGCTAAATAAGTGCCGATTTTTTGGGATTTCCTCCGTCAACGATTCCACTTCAAAATCCAGTTCCGCTTGCTTCCGCAGCGTCAGAGTCCTCTGCAGCTTCCACGTCGTTGGATGGAGGTGGAGGAACGCGAGCAATATCATTCAAAAACGTTTCAAAAGGATCAAGGGCATCTGTTCGCAAGCATCGGTACATAAACTCCCCTAAATATGAAGAGAACATGCCTTTGCTGCGATTGCAATCCGGCAGTTGCCGTTTTACCAATGCCCACAATCCTTCTATAACGTTTGTGGAAGCAGCAGTCTCGGGATCTTTGAAAGCCAATGAATGATTGACGGTCAGATGCTCCTAACTTTCTGCACCTAAGGATACATAGGCTTTTCAACAATCGCTAACAATTGTGGTGCCAGTTGCAATAAATTCCTTAATGAGAGGCACGAGCGTGGCCGCCGATCAATCATTCACTGTTGTCAAAAAACATCGATTACTGCCGCGTTCTATCCCACCAAATACCCACTGCCCTGTCACATGTTTACCTCGGTGGTACTTTCGCTTGCCGAACTTCGATTCGTCGATCTCTACAACAATACTCGGACCTCCAATTTGTCCACGTTCTTCTAGTACAATATCGACGCATAATTCGCGACAGAAATAGTACCAGTCGACCGTCGTGTGCGGGGAACATTGAAATTCCCACAGAGCCTGAATCTGGGTGTACTTATGGATCCAAAAATATGTCAATTGTAAAATTTCGTTCATTGGTAACTTCGATTTACCAAAAAACGAACCAGTTCTCACTGATCTCGTTATTTTGCAACTACGATATTGCCAACGATATTTGTCCGAAAGAAATTCAGCAGTGCATAGAATCATGTCCTTATCGCACACTGGACACTTGAAAGTCCGAGCTATGAGTCCGTATCTTTGTGCAAAGGTAATTCTCAATAGAAGGTTTCTCACCTAGTTTGAACAAATCTACGAACCGTATCACCATTGCAATCGATCACACACAATACAATTTAAGCAAAAGAAATAATAGCACACTTGTGTTACACGTTTTGCGAGTTACTAACGAAAATCATGCTTCTACATGCTTTACGAAAGCAGACGGTACATTGTAGCAAAAAAATCTCGAAGCAGTAGATCAAATTTAATGCTCAATGTACAACACAAGCTTGCACTTATACATACTTATATTTTTAAATAATATTATTTATATATTAAATATACACATATTTAATATAAAAATATGTAATAATATCTTCATATCAAAATATATGTATACATAATAGGTGCAAACCTGTGTGGCGTAGCACGAATTAAAATTAATTAAATTAATTAAAATTAAACGAAAAAAATCTCCAAACATGGAATATTGCGATTACTAGATCATATTTTGTGAAAATATATTTTTATAACAAGGTAATATATATGATAACAGTAAAAATATATTCATTTCAAATTTTTAAAGATAGTTGCGCTTTTTTCCGATCAGGAGGCGCCACTACTCTATGCAATTCGCATTACACTCGATAGATGGCGCTACGTTAAAAATCTAAGTCACTAGCAGCCAACTTCAGTTCGGAGTTTACCCAGCCAAACCCAGAGATGAGTGGGGAGATGTACAACGCTCCGGTTTTAGGCGATACCAAAAGCATGGCGCTAAATCGTAGCGGCGAGTCCGGTAGTAGGATTTCGTGATCATCGCCTCTGTCGATGTTACAGATTTCGCGTAGCCGCATGGGTCATGATCATCGTTCCAGCCGATATTGCAGTCAGCGAAAACGAATGGATTGCTCGGTGGTGGGGAAAAAGTTGCCGCCCCTCACAAACCGTTCTTGACAAACAGGCGGGGCAGCAAGGTCTTCCGTCCAACCGAACCCTAAACGTTTGTATGGACATAATGCGCAAACAAATGTGTATATCCAAATAAATTTCAAAGTTATAAAACATGCATAGGAATATTGGTTTTCACTCTTTACCAGTTATCATCCCGAAAATGAACATTAAAAATGAATGGCGAAATTCGTTGGTAAATGAAACGACCGAGAACAGTTCAAAGAGAAATTTTGAAATATCATAGATAAATATCTATAGAAAATTGAATTTAGAATTAAACGAGCATCGTAGCTGAGTCAATAACCTGTCAAGGTTCTTCTCTTTTAACCTTTCTAGATTGCCCAAAATATACTTTATTCTCTTGCGTTCGTCCACGTGGAGAAGGGTGGCGCGAAAGTTATTAACTGGTGTGCATCTTTATATTATTCTGCTTATATGTAAAGTAAGCGAAACGACAATAGTAAGCAGTTGAATAAACGATAAAATTCTAGAAATAGAACTTCCGAAAAAAGGAAAACAAACATATGTTTCTGGCGTCTGGCTAGTGCACCCGGTTATGAATCGGGAGGTCTATGGTTCGAGACCCCTCTATGGAGAGCACTTTCTTTGTACAAAAAAAAATGTGCTTTTGTAAATGGGATTAACAGATTAAAGAGTATATCAAATTAATTTATTTATATTATTACAATAAAGGTAAAACAACGACAACCTGCGGGCTTCCACATCACCCAAGAGGTGCCGCCGTCGATGCGTTCCCACTATTTAACGTAGCGGGTCCCCAGTAGGCCTATACTACGATCGTCCTATACTATTTTTAAAGTTTCCTGTCCTTCAAATTTTCTCGGTTGCCCAAACTTTATTTTAAGCTTATATAAAATATTTAAAAAAAAAGGTTGTCATCGGGATCGGAAATCATTTTCTATTAACTCACAATATTCTCTCTCGCAATATCCTTTATAGAAATAAAATAAACATGAGACGTGTTGCGTCTTGTTTCCTTATAACTATTGAAGAACTACTTACCATGATGCTGCTGCCTGTACGACTGTGAACGACCTGACGCTGCAGGCCCCAATGTGTATTGCTAGTCGCACGATAGTTAGGAACATTGTTGCAGACGCCCGCTCAGACTCGATCCGTCAGATTCATAGACTGTTGTGTTGAAGTCGCCAGTAAGTGATCTCAATAGACCGATATACTATTCTTCCCAATTGTCCTTTTCTCAATTTCTCTTACTTTTAGATATTTACACGCGTCATGTGTGTGTGAAATATAATGTAAAAGAATTGTCGTAATCATCTTCAATGAAGAAACTTTATATTTAAGTGCAGAACTCATATTATTAAGATTTTCTAATCGAAACCTTTTGATATCCTATTGCCATTCTAATCATCTTCAATGAAGAAACTTTATATTTGAGTGCAGAACTCATATTATTAAGATTTTCTATTCGAAACCTTTTGATATCCTATTGCCATTCGTTTATACTTTAATTACTTAAATAGATTGTTTGTGTAATATTGATATCGATGATCGTAGTATAGGCCTAGTGGGGACCCGCTACGTTAAATAATGGGAACGCATCGACGGCGGCACCTCTTGGGTGATGTGGAAGCCCATAGGTTGTCGTTGTTATGCCTTTATTGGAATAAGATAAATAAATTAATTGGATATACTCTTTAATTTGTTAATCCCATTTGCAAAAGCACAATTTTTTTTTGTAAAAAGAAAGTGCTCTCCATAGAGGGGTCTCGAACCATAGACCTCCCGATTCGTAACCGGGTGCACTAGCCAGGCGCCAGAAACATCTGTTTGTTTTACTTTTTTCGGAAGTTCTATTTCCAGAGTTCCATCGTTTATTCAACTGCTTACTATTGTCGTTTCGCTTACTTTACATATAAGCAGAATAATATAAAGATGCACTCCAGTTAAGAACTTTCGCGCCACCCTTCTCCACGTGGACGAACAATTACGGACAGAGATAATGCTCATTTCCATATTTACTTCTCAAGATTATTGATTCCAGGTAACGAAGTCAGCTAATTATTTTCTCATAGTAAATCTTATTGAGTTTACAGTGGGCGCTGGAACTGAAGATTGCAAATAAAAAAGTATTTATAAGATTATAAGAACCAGCGGCAGCAGTAACAGCGATAGCAGACCCCTCAGCGAGAGAGGATCCGCAATCGCTCGAGTTGCCGGTCGCGTGGCACGAGCGGGCATTTAAAATATTAGTCGAAACTGTCATAGATAAAATTTAAAAAAATATATATATATACTTAAAATAAAGTTTGGGCAACCTAGAAAGGTTGAAAGAGAGGAACCTTGAACAATTTTTGTAGTAAAATAAAAAAAAAGAAGATGAAAAAAGAGTTCTTGATGGGGGATCGAACCCGTAACCATCAGCGGTATATCTTGACAGGTTATTGCTTCAGCCACGATGCTCGTTTAATTCTAAATTAAATTTTCTATAGATATTTATCTATGATATTTCAAAATTTCTCTTTGAACTGTTCTCGGTCGTTTCATTTACCAACGAATTTCGCCATTCATTTTTTAATATTCATTTTCGGCATGATAAGAGGTAAAGAGTGAAAACTAATATTCCTATGCATGTTTTATAACTTTGAAATTTATTTGGATATACACATTTGTTTGCGCATTACGTCCATACAAACGTTTAGGGTTCGGTTGAACGGAAGACCTTGCTGCCCCGCCTGTTTGTCAAGAACGGTTTGTGAGGGGCGGCAACTTTTTCCCCACCACCGAGAAATCCATTCGTTTTCGCTGACTGCAATATCGGCTGGAACGATGATCATGACCCGCGCGGCTACGCGAAATCTGTAACATCGACAGAGGCGATGATCACGAAATCCTACTCCCGGACTCGCCGCTACGATTTAGCGCCATGCTTTTGGTATCGCCTAAAACTGGAGCGTTGTACATCTCCCCAGTCATCTCTGACAAACCTTACTAGTCGTATGATCATAGATTTGACGCTTCATGAAAACTGATGAAAACCCTAAAATTATTGTCAACACAATACTCGGCGATACCCGGCTAACAATAGATTAATATTGTTTTACGTTTCACTGAATTTTATTTAATTAAAAGATTTTAAATATATAAATACTGTTCGCGTCGCATCTGAACTTGGTTTTATCTGATGGTTAATTACAAAAATAGGAGAAAAGAAGAACAATTTCTTTTTCTACTATATCTGAATTGAAACAGTTTTATATAATTTTATAAAGGGCACAATGAGTACTGTTGAAGACAGAGAAAGATTAAGAGAAGGAAAACGGCGCACAAGTAAAATGGTATCAAAGCATAATTCTGAAGAAACTAATCCATGCTTTAAGGTACTAAAGTATTATGAAATGAAGTTTTTTAAATGATTTAGTTAACTATTATAATTTTAGGAAGCACAATTGTCTTCCCAGTGCCTCATGGAAAATAATTGTGATAGAGAGATTTGTTCTCCCTACTTCGCAAATTACAAAGCTTGCAAGAAATTTTGGGTAATTTAAAAATTGGCATGTTTTTTTTCTATAAAATATAATACAAGGATTCAAAACAAAATTTTACTTTTTAGAACGATGTAATGAGTGCACGTAGACAAAAAGGTATCACGCCTTACTTGCCACCCATAGAAGAAAGATCTCAAGTGGTAGATGATTATTTCAAATCAAAAGCCCAATTAAAATAATGTAAATACTAATTATTAAAACGTATTTATATTCGTTTCTTGTAAATACAGATTATTACTGAAGACATTGGAATTTAATGTATTCTGTCAAATATTTCAAAACAACCAGACATAAATATTTTAATCCCTACTTGTTACATAAAACAAGGTACTATATAAAATAAAGATGAAATTGTTTGGAAACTCTCAGTTAAGAAATTTATTATAACTAAAGTGTCTATGCAATGTTTATAAATATTATCATTATATGCTCTATCGATGCTTACAGTGAAGTTGCAGTATAAAATTAAGGTGTTTACAAAAATCAATTATACAAATCTTATGTATTTTCTACATTCTACACATCAATAATTTTAATCTGCTTATTTCTTTAAAACTGATTTATAAAAATTCTGGTGTTTTTAATCTTTCATACACAATTAACACATTTATAGTAATTAACTAAACTCTAAACAATTGATTAATTAGGCTAAGCAATTAAACAATATATATTTTATTTTACACAAATTGCACTATAAGTATCAACATAGCGTGCAAAGTTTTTGCTCCAAACGATTGCATAGACATATTTAGTTTGCATCAAATTCATTAACATTTAAATCCTTCCAATATTGCTATGTTTTGAAATTGACTGTCAGTTTTGCAAGAAGCAATGTGTCTTTATCTATGTACTTCTGAGAAAAACAAATACTCTTGTTCTAATGCAACCCAATTTCAAAACACTTATCATGTCATCTACGAAAAGAAAGATAAATCCACTAAATAATAACAATTATTAAATTACCTTTGGCAAACATCTATGTCTATTTTATTATCAGTTATAATAATAATAATAAATAATTAATTATGTTATCTTTTATAGAGTTAAGAGGATCTTGTATTGCGATGTGAGTAAAATCCAAATGAAAATTGTAAATAGTATGACTTAGACAGAGATTCTTTCTCTCAATGGAGTTGACGAGACATTCTGCAAAATTAATTCATTTAAAACTGAAACACAAAACCATCCTGAAAACTTTCACAAGTGTTCAAGTAAAAATATAAATTTTCGGATATTTTCCTTTCTAGTCTTAGATCTGTAGCATGCAATTAAAGAAATATCTTTGTTGAAATGCTACTATATACGATTTTTGTGACAGGAAACTATATAATTATTATCCACATATGTATGTCTTTTATGTATATATATATATATATATTATTGAAAATGACTTAATTTTTTATATACATGCATTTTATATCAGTTCACTGACAAAATGCTTAACGTGTAGATTTTGCAATCAATTTGTACATTTTTCTGAATTACAGTGTGATCACATTCACTATGCTTTTTACATTAATGCAGTACACAATATCTAACATCAACCTTCCAATACAAAACTAAGGTTAACGGTAGCGTTTGGTTAATTCACCATGAATTATAGTGGGTAATTGGAAAGTGCACAATGGCAAAGCATGACATGTTATATTATAAAGACAGACGTAAGGTAGTGCGTCTAGTCAGCGACATTGTACCAATAGTCATGGATCCTCCATAAAAGATCATATTTTTTTTCTCTTACCCACATCGTACGTCCGTAAGGATGACTGGTACAGTGTCGATGATTGGGCCTAAGACCTTATCTGACCTAAATATAAGAGTGAACTTCAGTATTAATATTTCCTCCTTTTTCGAGTCAGTATATTTTAATGCACGTGTAAGTAGGTGTCCAAAGAGAATAACTAGTCATGTACCAAAACGTCACAGGAACAGATCATATAACAAGAAATTGGTCGTTCTTGGGACATAATAATTTGGCTTTACTAATTTTATAAGTATTTTCATTCGTTTCGTTACACTGCAGTTGGCCAAAATGGTTTCTTTATGGTTAAATTTAAAAAAGGAGCCAAACTTGCAGTGATCAAAGATCGTCAAAGAATAAAGCCCGCATTAGATTTCTTTCTTTTCTTTAACGGTGCGCTGATAGTCATTATCTCACAAATAATAACTATTTACTAAGATGCAATCAATTATACAATGCTTAAAAGAAATATATGAACGCGAGCCTGAATCACTACGAAAACAGTAAAGTAATAAATTAATATAACACCCGAGGGACAATACATGGTAAAAACAGAGAGGTGCATTTTTTCTATCTATACCCAAGGCAGAACAAAACGAGTGGTAGTCAGATAAATCTATTTGTTTAAACAGAATTCCCAACTAGGAACAGAAAGAAAACCTAAGTTAATAGATGTACATTATCGAGATTGCTTACACGATATATTTAAGATTTACAGTAGTTCTCAATTATAGTGTAGAAAAAATAGTTTCGTCGCGATGTTGAAATAAATATATCACTACTGATAAAGTCGTGCTGATATTATTAGTAGAATCATTTATGGTGTAAAAGGAAATGCCATTTTGTAAAATATAAAATAACATCAGAAAAAAATGATTTTTACTCCGATTGGAGTTTGCAGAATTCGTAAAAAAAAATTCAAAGATTGAGCGACTTAGGTTTCCTGTTATTATCTGATATAATAAATTTTGATGGGATCTTTGTTTTCTATCACTCGCTCTATTCTATTTTCTTGCTCCATCACTCTCTCTCTCTCTCTTTCTATTTCAATGTTTTTAACATGCATCGTCTCCAAGGAGTCATTCAGAATGTTCTCTTATCCGGAATGTATGAATACGAAAATGATGGCACATCTGGCGTACCTGAAAGTAAATTAACATTGTGTAATAAATATGCAACTTCGGTATACACGTAATGATAAACAATATACTTACGACACATGTACCGTAATGTACGTGCGCTCCCAAGGCAAGAACAGATACAAAATACATAGTTTTCAGATCTAAATCAGGTAGAAGAAATGAAAAGATGGCTGCCCCAGCAACGGGAAGTAATATCCAAGGCAAAATCTCACATCTAGTGTTGCTCATTTGTGATACTATTAGCCGGCACTACAAAAAAAAATATGTAATAGAGTTTCAAGTTAACGGATTAAAGAATATTAAAAAATATAAACAGATGTTACATGCAAATGTAAAATTTAACAGTAAAGACTTACACATATGTTAGAAAATATTGTGCCAATGGCAAAATAAATGATTCTGGGATCCTTTTCCAAGATGTTACTTGGCGAATGAGTTACCCAAACTGTAGCGATAGTGAAGAATAAAAGTAAAGGCACTAAAGGCCTTACAGCCTCAGGTAGTGTCCGCATTTTACCCGTCTTATCTCTGTATGATCTAAAAGCATAAGATTGTAAATATAACATTTCACAATTGTTACAGTAGAAGAATCGAAATTTTTAAAATACGCGTTGTACTTACTTATATATGTTCCAAAGCACGACAGGCAGATTAGAAACAAGTGCACTAACATATAACAACATTTCAAACATAATTCCTGCAGAGATACCACCAGGTAGTTCAAATTTCCAGGCCTCGTGTCCTCCAATGCTTGTTAAAATAAACACTATAATTGTAGCCTACAAATATAAACAGATGAATATATAAAATACACTGTAAAATTTTGCAGTAAAATATACTCACTAGCATTGACGCATCGTATCCCCAAGGCAAAAATAATACACCAGTGTTGTACTTTTCCCAATGACTTAAGTAAAAGTTGATGAAAACATTCCAAAGAATGAAATACATTCGCAATGGTGAAACACTGTGATCTGTTCTTCCAAATACCGAGTACATGCAAACAGTTATCAGCATAGCAGTCCAGCTATCTAGACCATGATCAAATAACTCTCCCAACGGGCCAGATGTTTGCGTACGTCTTGCTTGTTTCCCATCAATGCCATCTGAGACATAATAAGATTCGGTGACAATGTTTAAAATCTATCAAATTTGAACTATGAACCTATCTCATTAAAAAATCTGTTTACTTACCAAGTGTATAAGCCATGAATATATTAAAAGCTGCTACAGCAAAAACCCATCTTGGTATAGGAGGATATTCTGGTTTATCATCACTCGATGCATAAAAGTAATAATCATAACTAGCGAACATTACAAAATTCAAAACGGTGAAGAGAAATCCAGAGAATGTCAATAAATTTGGTGCTACCCATTTTGGACAATACTGTAAATAATTAAATTATTACTATTCTTGATGTTTTTCATATGCACAAAATTTAATTAAAGTAAAAATTGCTCTCATTGCCTGTTTTTCAATCTTTTATTGATATTCTCTAAAATAAATAATCATATATAATATATCCATTCACTAATTTTTTTAATTGTAAATTTTGATTAGATAAAAACATTGAATTCAAATTTGTCAAGATCAAAAACAGGCAATGTGTAGAGTAACGTAAGAAACTTTAGGAATTACATATAGTTTTATACCTGCACCACCTTGTTCCAAAACGGATGCATTACATAGATGCTGAGAGGACTTGTATCCAATGAGCTATACTGCAAATAATATAATAAGGGTTTACATAAATTGATTGACATATATTCTCCTTCCGTATACAGTACCTGTTAATGACCATATGTATAAAAAAAATGTTTCTCAAATTAAACTGATATAAAATTACTAGTAACTCCGAAATTATTAACGATACTATATAAAATTAAATTTATTACCGGTTTAAAATTATCGAATATATGTGAGCCATTACTGTCAGGCAAGTATGGCATACACAGCAACTACTAGGAGTAATATACCGCACATTGTTCAAGTCTACATAGGATATAAAATTGACTTACTTTATAATTTGCGAAGCCCGTAAGGTGCTCCTGAGTCAAATATTCTGTCTCTAACTTCATTTTGGTACACTTCTAGTCTTTAAAGAAACTAACCACTATCAACTACACGGTAAACTTCCGACGTTAATAAATTAACAATATCCAGCTATCATTCACATTCAGGTTTACACGTGACACAGAGAATAAATGTTTGATTCTACCCACTATACAGAAATCCTATATTTAGCACACTTTTAATTTTATCGCGAATATGCCTTCATTGTAAAATTGAAGATCATAAGTTAGAATTGAATGTATTCTATGAAAAAACACGCGTGTCTGAAGATTCGTGAAAATCTTCCCAGGTCAATCATGCAAGTACGTTGGTGGGTGTCAGAGTCCTGATTGGCCGAATCTTACATGGATGAACGACTTTGACCAATCAGAGGTCTCGAGCTTTTATCCTCAAAACCGCCTTAATAGGGGTGCGTTCCGAAATTACTGGCAGTACTACCAATACTATAACCAACGCTGTCTCCTTATTCATCCATATGCATCTTAAGGCCATTCTACAATGCAATATAATAAGAAATAAGCAATGAGATCTTCATTTGCTATTTACGTAATTCCATTGGATCCTCCAATCAACAAGGAGAAAATCGTTTTAAAACCGAGCGTTTACTAACGGCGTGTTCCGATATGAACTGGCAGTGCTACCAGTACTGCAGATTTCATTCCGATATTGGAGTACAGTGCACTGCGGCAGTGCCTAGTAACTTTAATGACGTCATAAGTTTCTCCCATTTTTTTACTGTAAGCGCCTGAGCTCCCATGGTAAGGTACTCCCAGTGGTCCCCCACTCCCTACAATAATAGGCGGCAAAAATGGCGAAGATCAGTTTCATTGACGGCGGAACAAACATTTTATATGAAATATGTGTAACACATGATGAATCAGTATGGGCACAAAATGGTAAGTGATAGCTTTTTGATCATCTTATTTTTTTGACTTTTGTTTTGGTGCGAATAATCATATTTTTGGTATTGCCTCCCTTTGTTTTATTTTTGCAATTCACAAATTATTAACCGTTACAGATACTGCCTATGCCACAAAACTTTTAGAAGAAGCTAAGAGAAATTGTAAGATCTTCGTCGCTTGACTCATCTGTCGAAGAATCTAAAGTCCATTCGATAACAACAGGAATTGTGCGAATAAGATCCATTTCCTATTGCAACAATAAATACATCAATTATTAAATTAGTCTGTGCTTTATAACAATTATATTATGCAATTTTGCGTACCTGTTTCGGGTCCAATAGGCAATTTTGAGAATTTAACCTATTTGCAAGAAATGCTAAAATATGCAAGGTAACTGTGAATTATGAAAACATCCCATATCCTTCTTATATATCAATTTATTCTAAAGTTGATTACATATACATACCTTCTGTGAGTATAAAATTCAAAATTCATCAGTTACTGAAAAACGTTCCGATATTATTCCCAACCAGTTATAAACACTGGCGCTAACGAAAATGGAATGCTTCAACAGTATACTTCAATGACGTCACATATTGCAGTGTTCACAGGGTATATCGGAACACGCCGTAAGTCTGTACGATTTTTATGACGTCTTGGACATAGCAACGATACGGAAGCTGTTATGTCGCGGCCTAGTGATAAATAATCTCACTAGAATTGGGCGGCGAATTCGAATCAGGGATTATAATGGAATCACGATTTCTGTCTCCAAATCAAAATTCAATGCTTTCAAATACTCAGTCTGTCATTAACGCATAAATAAGGTATATTCTAAACAATTCGGAGAAAGCTTTCTAGCCGCTACACGTGCATAAACATATGGGCTACAAAGAATGTAGGCATGGGCCATTTGTTTATTGCTATCCTAACCGAGTGAGTTTCTCAGGAACTCTCACTCCTGGCAATAAATCAAGTCACTTGAGAAGATCGACGGGTTAGAGGAATGTTCGGTTAAGAGATGACGCTGTCCATGTGCTTCCCCAAATAAACTAAGGATAGGGTGTGCATGAGCCCTTCTTGCGTAAGACAAGGCCCTCGATCTTGGGACCGGACAGCAAAGCGCCACACGCTGGGCCTCCACAAAGGGTGTACATACACATGAATGTGTTTGAGTGCGGATGTTTGCATGAGAAGAATGAAGGACTGTATCCCTTGGGATCCAGAAGGGCAGATCGATTTCTGGTCTCGAAGGATGTACTTCGAGTCTATATCGTAGAGTCAATTAGCTAGATTCAGTTAAGATAGATTGATTTAGACTAAATCACCTTATAATTAAAGTAAATAAAGTTAGTTATAGTGCTCTCCAAAAGCACCTGCATTTTTATTTCTAAAGCCTTTATTCAGTTGAAAACCCATAACATCATCGTACCAGAAATCAACATATTGACAGAAGATTGAACACCGTTGGAGTGCTCATCAGAGCTTTGGTGGCTAACGAACCCACCTCGCCAGATTCACGCAGTCGAATCTACCGCGAAAACTAAACTGGCGACGATCAGGACGTCACAAAGCGGTTGCTAGGGTCTTTAAGGACTTCACGGAGCACAAAACGTGATGAGTAACATTGAGCATGCTCCGTTCCGTAATTTATAACGGCTTACGTTAAAAATACATAGCAACGATACGGAAGCGGTTGCTAGGGTCTTTAAGGACTTCACGGAGCACAAAACGTGATGAGTAACATTGAGCATGCTCCGTTCCGTAATTTATAACGGCTTACGTTAAAAATACATAGCAACGATACGGAAGCGGTTGCTAGGGTCGTTAAGGATTTGACGAAGCACGAAACGTCATTGTCAAATGTCATTACCTGTCACCTGTTATTACCAGCTCTATAGACGAGATCATTATCAATATCGTTAGAGAAATGAAATTTCTCTACGATAAAAGTCATTGTGACTTTAAAAATGAAGTAATGATTTACTTATCTGTATGAATAAACGCATACACATTTTTTTTTATATTTATATATTGACAGGTGACAGGTAATGACATTTGACAATGACGTTTCATGCTATGTCAAATTCTTAGCGACCCTAACAACCGCTTCCGTATCGTTGCTATGTATTTTTAACGTAAGCCGTTATAAATTACAGAACGGAGCATGCTCGATGTTACTCATCACGTTTCGTGCTCCGTGAAGTCCTTAAAGACCCTAGCAACCGTTTCCGTATCGTTGCTATGTCCAAGACGTCATAAAAATCGTAGAGACTTAGTAAACGCTCGGTTTTAAAAACGATTTTCTCCTTCTTGATTGGAGGATCCAATAGAATTACGTAAATATGAAATAAAGATCTTATCGCTCATTTCTTATTCCTTATTTTTTATTATATTGCATTGTAGAATGGCCTTAAGAGAGATGTAATTACTTTTACAGCACTGTCAGTACATTTCGGAACGCACCCAATGTCTGTCTCATTATCACTGAAATCTACCATACTGGAACGTGTACGACAGTGGTGGGGGAGAGCAGAAAGAGATAGTAAGGACACAGGATAGTGTAGCAGTCTGTCTGTATTACAGACTGTACAGTCTCTGAAAAAGTTTAAGCTGGGATAAAGCAGTGCCCACGGGGGGATTAATAGCCGTATTCATAGTCGTTCCTTGAGGAATAAGGGCTCAGTCAGACCGAAAGCAGCGGGAAGCGAGAAGCGAGCAGCTTGAAACTTTATAGAGATGAGCGGGGAGATGTACAACGCTCCGGTTTTAGGCGATACCAAAAGCATGGCGCTAAATCGTAGCGGCGAGTCCGGGAGTAGGATTTCGTGATCATCGCCTCTGTCGATGTTACAGATATCGCGTAGCCGCACGGGTCATGATCATCGTTCCAGCCGATATTGCAGTCAGCGAAAATGCATGGATTGCTCGGTGGTGGGGAAAAAGTTGCCGCCCCGCACAAATCGTTCTTAACAAACAGGCGGGGCAGCAAGGTCTTCCGTCCAACCGAACCCTAAACGTTTGTATGGACGTAATGCGCAAACAAATGTGTATATTCAAATAAATTTCAAAGTTATAAAAAATGCATAGAAATATTGGTTTTCACTCTTTACCTCTCATCATGCCGAAAATGAACATTAAACAAAGAATGGCGAAATTCGTTGGTAAATGAAACGACCAAGAACAGTTCAAACAGAAATTTTGAAATATCATAGATAAATATCTATAATTAAACGAGCATCGTGGTTGAGTCAATAACCTGTCAAGATATACCGCTGCTGGTTACGGATTCGATTCCCCATGAAGAACTCTTTTTTCATCTTCTTTTTTTTTTATTTTACTCCAAAAATTGTTCAAGGTTCCTCTCTTTTAACCTTTCTAGATTGCCCAAACTTTATTTTAAGTTTATATATATTTTTTTAAATTTTATCTTAGGCGAACAAAAGAGAATAAAGTATACTATGGGCAACCTAGAAAAGTTCAAAGAGAGGAACCTTGACAGGTTATTGACTCAGCAACGATGCTCGTTTAATTCTAAATTAAATTTTCTATAGATATTTATCTATGATATTTCAAAATTTCTCTTTAAACTGTTCTCGGTCGTTTCATTTACCAACGAATTTCGCCATTCATTGTTTAATGTTCATTTTCGGCATGATAAGAGGTAAAGAGCGAAAACCAATATTTCTATGCATTTTTTATAACTTTGAAATTTATTTGAATATACACATTTGTTTGCGCATTACGTCCATACAAATGTTTAGGGTTCGGTTGGATGGAAGACCTTGCTGCCCCGCCTGTTTGTCAAGAACGGTTTGTGCGGGGCGGCAAGTTTTTCCCCACCGCCGAGCAATCCATTTATTTTCGCTGATTGCAATACCGGCTGGAACGATGATCATGACCCGCGCGGCTACGCGAAATCTGTAACATCGACAGAGGCGATGATCACGAAATCCTACTCCCGAACTCGCCGCTACGATTTAGCGCGCGGCTACGCGAAATCTGTAACATCGACAGAGGCGATGATCACGAAATCCTACTCCCGGACTCGCCGCTACGATTTAGCGCCATGCTTTTGGTATCGCCTAAAACCGGAGCGTTGTGCATCTCCCCACCCATCTCTGCTACTATTCCTTGTTTTACGTAGCACTTTTACATCGCTGCGCTTGCTTCCAATAGTAACCAATCACAAGTAGGCACAGTCTACCTCGGCACCCCTCCCTGGACGGTTTCCCCCCCACAGGGTTATGCTACATCTATGTCTTTTCTATATCTATGCTTGTTCCTCGTTTCGCGTTTCATAGACCTTCCTTTATACTGGCACATCTCCTCATTGGAGGAGTCAGCCATAAGGAAAGGAAGGAACCATCTCTGCTACTATTCCTTGTTTTACGTAGCACTTTTACATCGCTGCGCTTGCTTCCAATAGTAACCAATCACAAGTAGGCACAGTCTACCTCGGCACCCCTCCCTGGACGGTTTCCCCCCCACAGGGTTATGCTACATCTATGTCTTTTCTATATCTATGCTTGTTCCTCGTTTCGCGTTTCATAGACCTTCCTTTATACTGGCACATCTCCTCATTGGAGGAGTCAGCCATAAGGAAAGGAAGGAAGGAAGACCTTCCTTTACAGAACAAGGAGCCTTATTGGCCTCCTTATTTCAAGGGAGGTCTTGAACTTCCTTGAGGATACCTTCTGCACTGTGATTGGCTATTTCGATTGATATGTTTAACGCCACAAGTGGCCCGAGTTAGCAGCTAGCCCAGCTCAGGCAGCAAAGATGTATCTTATCAGTTATTGAAATTGTCGGCTGGTTTTAATCATCAATTTTCTTTCCAGGTGTTGACCTTACGCAGTCACGTAAAATTATGAAAAAAAGATAGTGTGTATTTCTTTTACGTTTCGACCCTCATTGGGGTCATCTTCAGAAATTTTTTATTACTAGGTAAACATGTATGAACTGTTGAACAATCATTGGTTAGATTGTGTAAAAAATAGTAGGCCAAACCTAAAGCCATAGTTGGGTGCTTTCTATTTACTGGCACAAGTTGACACAAGTCGGCTTGTGTCGCCAAAAGTGCTTTCCATTTGATTTGTGTCGCTGTGTGTCGGCAACACAAGTCGACTCGGGAAGACTCTGCTAGAGTGGTGAGTTTACGAGAGTATCTGTGTTCTATTTATTCGTTTTCGAGAGTCGACATGAGGCGACACGAGTTGACACAAGTCGACACAAAAGTCATGTAAATGGAAAGCACCCGTTAATAGATCAGCTATGGCTCTTTTTAACTTTTGGCTAATACTGCCTCTACATGTAACACACAAACTCTTGTTGGTTTGGCCTACTATTTTTTACACAATCTAACCAATGATTGTTCAACAGTTCATACATGTTTACCTAGTAATAAAACCTTTCTGAAGATGATCCCAATGAGGGTCGAAACGTAAAAGAAATACGCATTGTTGTTTTTTCTTAATTTTACCTGGGCTGCGTAAAGTCAACACCTAGAAAGAAAATTTAAGATGTATCTTGGCTTGGCTTATAATATAGTCTACGCGATCCCTATTTCAAACTCTTTGAAAAAATGCCGCTCGAATAGACATAAAAGGGACTGAGGTGGTAGAGTCCCTCTCACGGTCTTACATACAGGTCTTGCAACTCGCCCCATTTTCAGCGGTGGGAGTACACGTGGTTTTGAAGCACGGCACATTTTAAATTTTAGTCACAAGCGTCGCTGTGATCGAGCGACCCCCTTATCTATCTCACTCTACAGTCAGCTGTGGGAGAGAAAAATAGGAACGGGCCCCTTATCTATCTCACTCTTCCTTCCTTTCCTTATGGCTGACTCCTCCAATGAGGAGATGTGCCAGCTCTATCTCACTCTACAATCGGCTGTGGGAGAGAGAAATGGGAACGGATCGCTTGATCGCAACGCCTCTTGTGGTCATGAAGCGAAATGAAAAATGCTTCTAAAAGAAGACTACCCCTTCCAAGGGAGTTGCAAGACCTGTATGTACGACCGTGGTCCCTCTAGTCAGAGTCCGGCCAATGGTGGGCCTCTTACTGATTGGCTCCGCCATTTTGAGGGCTCTTTCCGGAATAGGATGGTGTGTGAGAATACGTATATGGGAGAGATTCGCATTGTGTAGTGTGGGTAGTGTCAAGCCGTTCGACATACATATAGTACTGGACTGCTCACTGTAGCTGCAGAAAGTGTAATCCGGAATAGAAAAAGAGAGCAAATCGTAAGGACCGTTCTGTCCTTTTCTATTGGTCTATTGGATGGAAGGGGTTCAGAACTGTAATACGCAAAATAAGAACCATGTGAAAGATTACTCCGCACATCTAGAATGTATGTACGTTGTTACAGTCGAATCATGGAGACAAAAGCCTCCGTGAATCAAATCTCAATTGTCGTGATTACTTTATTGTAGTTGAGTTTATCAAAATTCAATATTACTAAAAAAATGGTGATTTGCTTTGTTAAGTTTGGGCTACCGTGAGACCTGTATTTTGAGTCCAATACGATAAGCTTTCACAACCAAGTAAAATGGAAAAATAACCTTAAATTGTATGATTAACATAAGATTAAATCAATTCTTAAACTTATAAAATATATAAATAAAGTTCATCATGAAACATATATTTTACTGCGCGGGGTTCCCTTATTCCTGATTTCGCTCCTGCCCAAGAGAAGGACAGCACGGTCCTTACGATTTGCTCTCTCTTTCCATTCTCGATTACACTTTCTGTAGCTACAATGAGCAGTTCAGTACTATATGTCGATGGATAAAATTCGTCATCTTCCACCAACCAAAATCCTGTGTCCGAGCGCTAGCGTCAGTATGAGGATTGATGAGGATCATGCCCAAGTGTCTGATTTCATCTTTGAGAAAGCAATTATCTAAGAATTCCACATTAAGAAACGTTTCGAAATAACAAATCTACGATTGTCTTCCAAAAGTTATTAAAATGGTAAGACACTCTAGAAACTGATATAAATTATATTTCTTTTAATTTTGTTTAAACGAATGTGAAGATAACTTGTATCGAGCATTTTGTTAACTCCAAGAAATCGAAAATTAACCACTGACGTTATTCCTAACCTCCATAATGCCGAGAGTGCACAAGGTACAAATTTCTCAGAATGACAGGTCACATATTATTCTTATATTTATGTAACTAAACATTTCCAATTAATATATCGTAAGTATTGTAGCAAATCTCTATTATTGTATATGATTTCCTCCCTTAACCTAGAAAGATAATTAAGATCCTACAAAATATTTGCTATGTAAATGTATCAAACGAATTATAACAAGTGTTTTTAATGAAATCGTAGCATTATCTCAATGTAAATATTTATGTTCAAATGTTACATTTTCTTTTAGACTAGCACAGCAATAGTTGCTGGCTTGGGCATCGCCCTCGTTGGCTATGCTGGTCGATATGTAATCAGATCGATGCCCATCCTCTCACAAAAAGTAGCAGAAGCGGTAAAAAGCATGCCAAGGCTAGATTCTCAGGTAAACTTAACCAAAATGAAATAGTTCAATTTTAATATTCTTTAAAAAATTGAATGTGTCTTCAATTTGTAGTCCCTAGCAAATAGCAGATATTACAAAGGTGGCTTTGAGCCTAAAATGACTCGTCGTGAAGCAAGTCTTATATTGGGGGTTTCACCAACAGCAAATAAGGTTAAAGTAAAGGAACACTTTAAAAAAGTGATGTCTGCAAATCATCCTGATCGTGGTGGTTCACCATATATTGCAGCGAAAATTAATGAGGCAAAAGATTTACTAGAAAAGTGAAATATAGAATTAATGTTTAATTAACATAGCAATGGTTAATTATGAAATAAATTTCGATGTACATACTTGCCTATTTTATGCCGTTAAGGTCGATATTCACAGTCAGTGTTTGAGATAAAGCACTGTTCTAAGATTGTAAACACCTCAGCTTAATACATGGCAAAATATGACTTAAGATCGTCTTTAAATTATGCTTAGAACAAAGTATTGACTATAAATACTGGTCTTAGACAGTGTATAAATAAGTTATCAATCGATACCGTCTTCTTTGTTCTCATGTAAGTAGTTTTACGAGTAATGTATATACGTATTAAAGTGAATCAGTGCCTAAAAACCCACTCGACTTTCTTTCTTAGGCCTGCCAAAGTAAACAAAACGAGTGTGAGCATTCGCAAACGGATCATTTTTTTGTTTTATTACCGTCGGAAAAGGATAATACTTAATACTGATTATTTCATAACTTTTTTGTTCTATCCATTTGTTCGATGCACCAGATCGGTGGTGCTGCTATACCACATTGTTTCGTTTCAAATTTACTGTTAGGTCCTTGTATAGTAACGGGACGCTTGTACGTTATATCGATTGACTAGATGAGGTCCGGTGGGATCATTCGTATTTCTTCTGATGTGTACTACCGTATGGATTTCACTTGTTTCTGTCGGGCGCGATCTTCTGCTATCCGAGACCTCAGCTTTGCTATCGTATTGCCTGGCAATGACCCAGGAACTTTAAAAATGCTCTAAAAGTATAACATGGAACGTTATTTTGATGTCCAGAAAATGATTTCTCATATAAACCTGATTTATGCGATGAAAAAAAAAGTATAACAGTATGTTATATTTTTGTTAAATTACCTGCATGAAATCGTGGCACTGCACGACAATGCTGTCTTTTGTAATTTCTTTAAAACATTCAGCGAGGAGTGTAAAGTCACGGCAGGATAATAAGTTTTCTTTGTTCCGTTTTATTAAAGTCAATCCCACTCTAAAAATGATTTTACTACCTTCATAGAAGAGGCAATCCCATATTCTCAAAGTTGTCTAGAAAATAAGAATCAAAGCATTAGATCTCCGAACTTAAACTTCTGAATAGTCTATGAATTTGGATCGACTTACTTCAATTGGAAGCACTTCTGCAAAAAGACATACAAACCACTTTGTAGTTATCACTGCCCAGGGTAACCCCAAGTTTGTAACATGCTGATAAACATCCGGCATTTTCATCCTAAAATAAATAATGAAAATACTTTAATTATTTATTTCTCTTATTTATATACAAACAATAACACGAAGCTATAATATTTTATTCCTTTAGCCTTAAATAACTAACTAAATTTGTAAGAATATTAAATCTCAGTAGTATCGAATTACCTAACTAGTTCAGCCAGTACGTCAATATCTGTGAGAAGGCCGTCCATTGTTGGTGTGTAATATTCCGGCAGAATTTTTTCAATTAGCATTTTCAGTAACCAAAAAGCAGTCTCCTCGTTCTTAGTCACAAGTAACAATAATCCTGCTATGTAGTTTAATCCCTATAATATATATAATATATCAAACAATAATAATACTCAAGCGCTATTAAATATTATATTAGTCATTAGTACTTTGAATCTGAAGCAATGAGTCGGATAATTTACCTGACAGTACCCAACTGTTTTATTCTGATGTGCAAAAGCCAATAATACATTATACAGTTGATGTTGATGGTTTTCTGTATTGTTGAAGAAGATATTATCAGGAAATGTACGTGGCAGATCCGTCTTTATTATGTCGGCTACTTCTCTATTGTGCGGACCATTTAGTAATCTTTGATAGAGGTCTGGTGAGGCATTCTTCAAGTCTTCTCCACCACTGACTGATAACCAAACCTGTGATGAATTTCGTACATTAAAAGTCCAATTATGGAATGTAATATAATTTTATTCAATAATACTTAAATCTTTGATTTTGCTAATGACTATAAATTGTATAAAGGATCAAGATGAATTTTGAATCTCTAAAAAATATATTTTCTGCACTTCAAAGTGTACATTGTTGTGGAAGGATATAGTATGGTAGTATATTTGTTTAGCTCATTATACGTGAAACAAGCAGTAATTATCTAAATAAATGAAGGATCATTATTTTTTTATTGTAATCTTATACTTCTTCTATTATTAAAAAACTGATTGAGCTTAGTTCATCTTTATAGAAATATTATTTATAACAAATTTCTTCATAGTATAAAGCAAGAAATTAATAAGCTGATTATTAAATATGTATTGAACATTGTTGAACTGTTGTAATACTTGGGAATTATGTAAATATTTCATTACTTAGATATTATGTTTCAGCAATTTATTAATTAATGCTCATTGAAGAATGTTAATTGAGCAACTGTTAATAACATTTTTACATAATTGATCTTAAACGATGATAAATAATCAATTGTTCTACGAAATGAACATTTCCCTCAATCTAATTACTTAACGGTTTTTCGAAATAAACGATTTTCTGGTTGATATGAATCAATTATAGAGAGAAAGTCAAGCATTTCTGTACATTATGCAACGAAAAAAAGTTTCTTCTAATAAACGACCAGAGTTGATTAACATTTGACAATCGCGCACACTTTTTATCAAGAATTTACGTAACACACCTACATCGTGATAGAGTTCCTAAAAATTTCCAAAGATGATTTAATTTTCACAATGCTTCTGATGAAACATAGAACTTAACTCTTCTTTAAAAAAAAAGACCAGGACAAAGTGACAATTAGAAAAACGAGGAAGTCCAATAAAACATGTAAACTTTTGTATGAGTCCTAATTTGAAATATGAAATGGAATCTCATTGCCACATGTAAATTATTTTTATTTCAATTTAATAATAATTGGTTGCATGATACAAATAGCAAAAAGTGATTTAATATTTGTATGAATCTTGTGCAAGTGCATATACTTTTGTGCCATCAATTTTTCAAGAGGAACACTTTGTATGCAATATTTTGCAAATTAAATTATCAGGATATTTTATTTTATGCTATAATCTATTAAACTTCAATAATTATGGTATAATAAAACTGCAAATAACTGTACAATCTTAATCAATTTTGGCTTCAAAACTGTCATCGGTAAGACATGTTTGTTTACACTTTATATTATGAAGAAAATATATTTAATAGAAGGTATAGAAAATACAATAAACATTAAAGAAGAATTATAAATAAAAAATAAATAATTGATATAAATTACCATTCCCCTGTGTTCCCCTGGAATTCCTTTACGTACATATCGTTTAATTGTGATACTGCGCTGCAACGATTTTCCCTCTCCGATAATATTAGACCATTTCTTAGCCCGTTTTGCCAATACTTTAAGGTACTCTGACATGAATTCTTCATAAGTTTCATAATCAAAATTACTGGGCCGCTCAAAACCATACTCGTCCACATTGCTAAAAATATAGTACATTGTCTTAAAAATTTCATAACATGTATTTGCAATATTTATTTGTCTATTATTTTATAATTTAAAGAAAAAAAATATACAATTAAAATGTAGGATACACATAAAAATCTGGAATTAATTTCATACAACCAAAAAAATTAAAATTAAAAGTTATTTGAAAATGCTTATAATGAATATTATAAGCATTTAGAATGCACTTAGAATGAATATTACTTTTTATCAAATATATGTGTATATGTTCTTCTACTCTCCAAAAACAACTGATATTTTTGTAGTATTTCACTCTCAGATACTATTTTAATACATTTATAAAGTTTAAATTTAAAAAGGCTCAGTATAATTGACAAATATAATTTATCAAACATAAATATAATTGTATTTATATTTTAAAAAATTGGTTTATATAAATTTGAAGTAATGTTGTAATGTAAGTAATCCCATTGTTGTCATGTTTCATTAATTCATAAACTTTCAAGATTTAATGGAAAACACATTGTTTAAGCTGGTGGTTGACACTTTAAAATTTATATATTTTAAAATCTTGAGAATCATCAATCACTAATAAAAAAGTTGATTTTTTTATGCAATCAGAATTATTTTTAATAATAACTCTTCACTTCTGTAATAATGCACCCACTCAACATACATTTAAGGGACAATTTTAGGAAACACTAGAAATTAGGTGAAGTCAAAGACAAAGAGTTATAACGTATCTGAAGGAAATCAATAAAAAAAAATGTTAAACAATACTTTGACTAATTAAAGATTTAAGGAAAAATCATACTCTTAAATAACTTGCCACCATATTCAACATTTATACAAACAAAAGCATATTACTTTGGTTTTAACAATCCAGGAATATTTCCAAATGCTGTTTATCATTGAATTCTCAGAAAACCATTCAAATTTTAATCGCATCATTTACCACTCTATTTAAAGCGAAACTGATAATTAATATTTTTCCAAGAAATTTCAAGTAAACACTGCATTAATACTAATTCACGAAAGGTTATAGAAGTGATCGAAAGTTTAAAAAAATGATAAACGAATATAAAACAGGTAACACGACATAACAAGTATTTGAAAGCACACATTGAGATGTTCGAATTTTGACAGTTGGACCGCGATAAATAGTGTAATGAAGGTTTCAGTATAACATAACCTTAACATAGCAAGACGGCGCGAAATGAGAGGTGACGGTGAAAGCTTTGTCATTCACAGATGCGAAAGCAAATGAATTGTAGGTACGACGTTAATAATGAAGTAACGTTCTGTTTTCGTTTTACCTAAAGCATGAGCTAGCCATAGCCGAAGTGGGGCGAGTGGTTTCATTTACAAAAGAACACGATCCGCCTCGTTTCCTCACGATGAATCTTGGCCATTGCCCAACACTCCGATCAACTCCGGTCTATGTGACACTCGATACGGCGCCAAATATAAGTACGCTGCAGAACGATACAAAAACACAAACTGTGTTTTCAGACCAAGAGATCGCTCACAAATTACTTCGTGTACAACCGTACAAGAAATATATTCTTGAATGAATGGGAATATTTTTAACGCTGCCATATAGAATTAAATTGTATATTCGTATTTTGATTACAAAACAAGGACATAAGAAGAAAACTAAGAAACGTTAATATATAAAATTTTTAGAGTAGCAAGAAATGTTCAACCGTAGAAACAGCCGTATAATTCTTGCTCCGTATTGGTGATTATAAACTTGACTAAATGGATTAAGTCGTTTTAAATTATTCGGTGTATATGTTACCGTGAAAGACCGAAATCTGAAGAATGTCGACTTTCACCGGTGAATGTCAACATTCACATACTCGCTTGGTGTATGTTCGAAGTATTAGCTAAATACCCTTATTTCTGACTTACACCGGTGAAAGTCGATATTCTCCAATTTCGGTCTTTCACGGTAACATATACATTTCAGATTCATTCGCGACTCATAACATTTTATTACGTGACTTATAACGGACTAACGAATTTACTGCTGAAAAACACTATTTCGCCAGGAAAATTGGGGAAAAAAATTATGAATAATGCGATTCAAGAACATTCGGAAAAATTCCATTTTTTTCGCAAAATGTTCCTATTTATTGAAAAAAAAGGAGAAAATTAAAGTATTTCCATGAGAAATTCGGGAAATTTTGTAATAACAACGATAATACCAAGCCTACTGTAGATTCGTTAGAGTCGATGATAATATGATTCATGAATTATCATATCTCTTGTGATATCTCTTAAAGACTTGCACCCTGAAACAAATTGCAAAATGAAATTGCGTATCTTGAAGGACAATGTTCAAGTATTAAAGAAAAAAATGTTTACCAGTTAAAGCAAATGCGAGACTAATTTCTTCTCTCATTATCTGAAGAACTTTTGTGACACCTTTCTCCCCGTCATGAGTTAAGCCCCACAGTACGGGTCTCCCAAAAAATACCTATGTTCAAATAAATATATCCTAATAGCATTGAATAAGTTTTATGAGATTAATCGTATTTTTGATGTAATTTGTAATGTAATATGATTTACCATACGAGCTCCAATGGCTAAGGCCATGAATACATCAATACCTTGCCTAACACCGCCGTCCAAGTAAATTTCCACTTTATCACCTACAGCCTTCACGATTTCAGGCAAAGCTTCGATCTACAGTGAATTAAACATAAGTTGGAAATTACAAATATCTATATTATTTTTTCTCCTGTAATATTATAAATATTAAAAATAAGCATTGGAAGCGTAAAACGTTTAGTTACCGTAGAAGGGCATCTATCCACTTGACGACCACCATGATTCGAGACTAAAATTGCAGAAGCTCCGTGTTGTACAGCTAAAATAGCGTCTTCAGCCGTAAGTATACCTTTTAGTATGATGGGGAGTTTCGTAATGCTAAAAAATCCAGATTTGTTAGTTTTATTTCGAGTACAACAAGGACAAGACCTTCGTTATTTACTATTTTGTCAATTTGATCTAACCTCTTAAGCCACGCGATGCCCTGCCAGTTGAGAGTTTCATCTAGCATAGTCGCAACATATTCGGTTAGGGCTGAAGATTTTACTGCTTTCTGAATTTGGTTAGATAAAACACCCTCCAGATTGGCTAATCTGTAATATATGTATAAACTGCAAATTTCACTGCTCCTTGTTATTTTATATCTATTTTAAAATCCCTCAATTCAACGTCGTCGCGAGTAAGACGTAAAAGAAAATCGTAAACAAGAAGATTGTGACAAAAATTCGTTGAAAAAGCGGAATTAACTCCAAAACGAATGAGTAGTCCGACCTAAAAATTTTCACATGATTCAAGTTCATACCAATCATGGGATAGGATGCTTTCTTCAAATTTAAATATATATCTTGTAGAATATTGTGCAATCCTATACATTTCCTACGTGCAGTCTGCAATATCATGCAGGAATCCTATAAAAATCTTGTGAAACGTTGCAATAACATTTACATGTCTTACGCGAATCTTATATAATGTTAAAATATAACGCAGAGTTCTTGTAATAGTTTTGCGAGATTTGGTCGTGTCTTACAAGTTTCCTCTACCCAATATGCGCAAGGCAATACAGTTTTATTGTGGTCGAACATTTTTGAAGTTTAAAGATGTTTCATAAATGTTAAATTGATATTGTAATCCGATATTAAATTAGTACATGTTAAAAGAAAGTGAGTATTTCACGAGTAAAATGTTAATGAAAATCGTAAATAGCTTGAATAATTCTAATATATACAGGGTGACGCATCAGTATACAGTGGAGTCAGGTTATTACGACGCCGCTTTTAACGATCGACCGCATATTACGTCTTACTTGCTCTCTTAAGTTTGGTTATAATAAAAATACATCGCTACATATTTTCATGTTGCTTATCGTGTACGTCGTCCGTTGAGTACGACGTCATTTCTCTGTCCCTTGAATGTCGTTATAAACGGACTCCACTGTATCAGTAAATAGCGTGATAGGTATAGTTGAATTCAATTCGTTGTGCTCTATCGGTTTAATAAAAAAAAAGAAAAATATAAATCCCATTTAAAAAACGAACTTGTCCTTGAAATCTCCCTGAGGCCTTCACCTATCCCGTATCCTTTTTGCGTTATTCTAACCTCCCTTTCGACTTCGTTCAATATACATAGATTCATTTATTTCAATTCTACGTACTTTCCGATATCATCAACTTATAGATTAAAATGGGTCATCTTGTATACTATATGTATATGCTAACAGGGACATAGGGATAATCAAGTAAGTAATAACTAACTAACCTCAAGTGATTAGGAAGGGAAAATTTATTTCTAACGTCTTCATGTCTGTTGCCCAAAACCGGAGTATCGACAGTGACAACAAGAGCTTTAAAGCCTGCCTTCTCCGCTCGTTGAATCAATTGCTGAGTGACGTTTCGATCATTATAGACGTACAACTGGAACCACTTGATTGTATTAGGTGCAGCTTTAGCGACTTCTTCGATGCTACTCGTTGAAAGTGTGGAAAGGATGAAGATTGTTCCAGCAGCACCAGCAGCTAAAAATTAAATAATTTTTATATACAGGCTGATTCGTAGGCGACATTGATCATTCAGTGTGTTCAGGTTGAGTTGGTCCTTCCAGTTGGATCAAGCCAAAACAAAATCAAAGCTTTCAGGAATATTGGTAAAGCGGCTTGATCATTGCTCAAGCTAAGCCATACCTGAATCTGTAACTTCCCATGAACCATCCTATACAATATATTACAGTAAAGTCTCTTTATTCGTCGTAATAATTCTTTGAGTCAGATAAGACTAATTTAGAATTTTTCTCAACATTTTTGTTTTTATTTTTCTTATAAGCAAATAGTTTTAATGGTTTTAGTATTATAAATAGATTGGAAAGTTCCATCCTTATACTGCATCATTTTTCGTACCATCATCCTTCTCTATGATGGATATGTCAGGAATCCAAACCGGTACTTGAAATAATCGCTAAATCAATTAGTCGAAATTAAAATATTAAAATAAATATCAAATGAAATCAGACCTTGACAGATCGGGATAGCAAAAATCGTCATCCCCGCTAAAAATGACGCATTCTTCCGGAGGATATAAGCAGCGGCTTCCTCGATAGAAATTCGTTAGATCCAAATCTGTTCTAGGACAAGTGTACACCAAAAGTTGGCAAGGAGCAGTTGAAACTTGTAACTTATAATTGTTGAAAATCAATTAGGATCGATTTCCAGAGCAAACCGGTGAACAGTATTGTACTGCAAACTGTGGGAGGTCATCCTTGGCAACTGCTGGTCTCAGGGAGCATAGTGTCTCATATAAATATCAGAAACTCTGCTAGCCTTTCTAGATTTTACGCAGATAAGTCATCGTGCCGGCGCTATCAGAAATCAACCCACTTATCAATTTGAACACCTTAAGAGTTAAGTTCCAAACGTCATCATTAGTAGATGTCTGAGCTCTTCACAATCCGCTCCGGGTCTAAGGAATCATTGTGATATCTCTTAGTATCAGGAAGACCTAAAAATATCTCTATCAGCTTGATGTGAAGTTATTTTAATAGAAATGGCAGGAATACAGATCTACCTCGTCACCGGAAACATCGTTTGCTGTACACACCTGTATTGCTAGCTCAGCTATTTTTTTCCCTCTTTTAGAAACTAGTATAGAAGAAGGATAGAGATATATACTCACTGTCGCCTGCGGATTGACAAGAAATACTACACAATTTATAAGAGCATGTGAGAGAGTGATATAAAATCCCTTGTCAAAATTTCGGATAGGACACTTTCTATGTGTCTGAATCCATTTTATTCCGAAATCTTTAACCAAATGAATCAGATATATTCCGAGCGGATCCATGAAAAATAGGAATCGTATCTGACTGAATTCGAGCTATTTCGAAATCGATGATGAGAAGTTTGAAGTGAATATTGACACGTTTCGTGACTTTTGAGGGGTTGGAATCTCGAAAATTTTTTGGAGGTTTGTGCACTGAGCAGGCGTCTTTATAGGAAACAAAATTTGAGTTTTTTAACATAAAAATGTTTGTGATATATTGTTTTATAAGTTACATGCTAGAAAGTCACTTAATTGCTATCTCACTCTCTCACAAATTTTTATGATTGTTTACAGTGTTTATTATTGTACTGCAGACGACTAGGAGTGTATGTCTCTATCTTTTCCGTATAATTATCTTTATAGGAGAGGGAAAGAGATAGCTGGAACTGCAATATGTAATGTAATTATACAATGCGTCCGGTGACGATAGGCCAGCTGAGGATAAGGATGATAATGGTTCAGAACCCACAGATGATCACAACGATCCCCCTTTGCTGAACTTATTATCTTTGGAACGGTTTTGAACTCAGACAGCTACTAATCAGAATGACGTGGGAAGCTGAGTCTTTTTAGATAGATTATAGTGAGGTAGATCTGCACTCATGTCAGTTCTATTACATTAACTTCACTGCAGAATTATGCAGAGGTCTTTGGGATGCCCTTCCTGATACTAAGGGGTATCACAATGATTCATTAGACCTGGTAAGGACTATGGGGAGCTCAGAAAGTTACTAATCACAATGAAGTTGGCAGTTGAGCTTTTTAACGATTAGTTTTGGTGTTTGGTCGATTTCTGATAGCACCAGCACGATGAGTTTGCTGCAGAGGGTTCGACAAGAATAGCAGAGTTTCTGATACAGAGACGAGACACAATCCTTCCTGAGACCAAAAATTGGCAAGGGCGAGCTCTCACACTCACAGTTTGCAGTATAAAATAACGTTCACTGGTTTGCTCTAGAATACAGGATCCTTAATACGTTGAGTGCCACCCTAGCAAAAATTTATTCCGGCGGGGACCGGGCCGTATCAGGCTTTCCTTAACTGATAATCCGGCCCAGATCATGCCGCTCTTCCGACCCTGATGTGGCATGTAACGGCATTTTTGATCCGGCACTGATCAGTCAGAAGCTTTTATCATACATCATCCTTTTATCAGCTTTTGTCATCCGTCTCCTATTCAGAATTTTATAGAGTTTGGAGCTTATCGGCTCATTGACCCACTTTTGCTTGCGGGTATCCCTGTCCCTCTGGTGGCCGGTGGTTGCATTACATGTATATAGTTTCATATTAGGGCGATTTCAGTGTTGCCTGATTTCACACTTAATACGGCAGCTCTGAATAACGCCTGACTACGGCCAAGTCAGATTTTCCATAATAGGGCTTGCCATGAAATTGCCTGATGCGGGCCAAGTCAGGCATTCCGTAATAGGACTAGCTCTGACATTGCCTGATCATGGCCTGATTCTGGTCAGGATCTATATTTCAGGCTGATCACATTTACAAATATTGTACTGATGCATGATCAGGGCAGGATCTGAGCCTCATCCGACTATTCTGATCAGGCATGCCATACCGATACCTGATCCGAACCTGATACGCCATCAGGCAGCCTGAACAAATTTTTGCTAGGGGCACGTCAGCCACCAGTGACTGACACTAACACTTCTAAGCAGCGCGCGTGGCCTGATGGGGATTTCCTTATAAATTCGTGTGGTACTCAACGTGTTAATTGCTTTTTGCAAATTATTCTTTTCAAGCTTCACCTGCACCTTGTCGTCTTTTGGTGTACACTTCTCGTTCTGATCGATTAATGATCTCCTGTCGAGGAAGCCGCTGCTTATATGCTTCGGGAGGGGTACGCTATTTTAAGTGGGGATAATGACTTTTGTTATCTCGAGGTGCTAACGTCGAATTTTGATTTTATATTTTCAATTGACTAATACGATTAGCGGTTTTTTCAAGTGCCGGTGTACTGGTGTTTCTATTGTGTTTGACGCGTAACGGTTAATAGCGCTTGGGTACTTGTTTGTTTTGATTCCAGTTACACAACTGATTTTTGGATTCTTGGAATATTAACGGTAATAATCTCTAATATTATTTCCTCATGATTGTCGCTGTGATTAATTTCAAGGAAATTATGTAATATTAGGGATTTAAAGGTCCTATTTTCCCTTTCCTTTATCGGCGTCGCTGTGAAAGGTCGATAGGAGATTTCGGGAGTTCTAGAATTTGAGGAGTTCTTTCAGATACAATTATGCACATCCACAGTGCGCTAGCACTCTTATGTGGGGCTCTTGACGTATCCATCATCGAGAATGGGTGGTTAGAAAGGAAAAAGGATACAGGATAGAAGCTATAAGAGCGGATCGGTACAATATATACACATATATTTATAATATATTATATTATAGTAATATTTCAAAATGGTGGGTTTGTGAGTTTGATTAAACTAATTGCGATTGTATTTTAACTATTGGCACTGGAGATGTTAAGCAAATCAGAGAAAAAATGCGCCCACGTCATCTAAAACTGCTAGAGACATATATGTACTATCGAAATTATGTTTAATTAATTCTACGAGAGAGTCGGCGACAGCATGTTCCTAAATTTTATAAATAACTTTGTCGATTTTAAAGCGGCATTTAACAGTGTAGGTAGAACACTGATGCTGAGGAAATTGTGAAAAAAGAGAATAAGGGGAACGAGGAGAGGTGTCAAATACGAGTATCCATTAGCCCAATACTATTAAACATAGTTTTGTATGATGTGGACAGAAGATGGGAATGGAAGACTGAAGGGGGAACAAAATTGGAGAGTGTAAAGATCTATGGTCTGACATATGTAGACGTATATCGTATAAAACTGTATATAATTAAATCCAAAATTTGTATTTATTTGATCAAATATACAAACGATACCTAAGTATGATCTTACGCAGAGTTATTCCTAACCCACCCCCTATCGTATATGTATACATGTATATGTATACATGTATATATCGACAGTTGTCACTCACACTTCTGTGAAAGCGAAAGCCAGGTAATCTTTCCTTAAGATATTATATTTACTAATGTCACGTATAAATCAAATAGCGATCATGCGCCCCAAGCGTGACGTGAAAACTATTGTATCAGGAAGGGGATACAAAAACATATAGGAGAGAAAAAAATATGAAGAATAAATTCAGCCTAGTGCCCGAGTCTGATAATGGATCATAGGTCAATCGCAAATCGAAGCCATCAAAGAGTTGTGAATCATATTTATTAGAGATCAGTTCGATCCCAGATCAGTTACGGGTTAGAAGTCATAAAGATCAGTCAGATGACACAGTAATCCTCTCTCTCTAAGAATTCAATTCAAGAAAATGTCTAAGTCTAAATTCTAGATTCAAGATTTGATACTTAAAATCCTTCTAAGTCTTTTGTTGCCGATTCCAAATTCGAGAATTCAACTTTTGAAAATCATATTGGTAATATATTTTAATAAATGTAAGTTACCTTATTTTACCTTTAAATTAAAATTTTTTGTTGAATCCATTGTTACCCGTTAGTTTTTAATAAAAGTTACCGTGTAATTTTCTATTATCAATCCTCCTTCAATCCCTAAACCAACGCTTGTCCTCGCTCAACAATCACGTAAATTCCTTATTCGTGGCCAAGTGCACCATATTGTACGTAAAAGTTCAGTTTTATAAGTTTTCTTAATAGTTTCCAATTGTGGATTTGAATTTCTATCAACCATCGGTAACAATTCATTCTGTTTAATCGAGTCTGATGACTATCAACGAAATAGGATGCAAGTAACAGGCCGAATTCGGGTGAATTTCCGAAAGGTTAGATCCTAAACAGGCCATTGTGACCATCCTCCCGACGTTAAACATTGCTTGTAAATATCCGTCGGTAGAGTGGAGTCAGTGCAAGATACAACTGACAATGTTATGCATTTGAAATCTTATAGTTATTTTTTCTATTCAGAAATTCAAATTATTAAATCTTCATTTATTAGTACTCAACATGCTACAAAGAATGCGAATCATTTAAATGAATATTGCATAAAAGATACGTCTCAAAATTCACTACCGGTGCTGGGAGCATCGTTGTATCTTTATTTATCTACGTGCATCTGAGTGAGACGCAACTATGTTTGCAATATCAAAACGTCTCCAAGGGTTTACATGTGGAAATTTAATAATGAGTCAGTATTACGATAAAATTATACATGAATAAAATTGTCACAATAAAATAGGATACATATAGAAGTAGAAATTAAAGAGGTAGACATTTATTTGTCTTATATTACACAAAATTTGTGATACATTGATGATCCATTTATAAGTTATCATTTTGAATAAGGTACATATACTTGATGTTAATAGCCAATAAGATATCATATTTTTGATGGAGCTATGAGATGTGACCAATTATATTCCTCTTTCTATCTGTCAAATGTAATTTAACAGAAAATGGCGACAAGATACAACTTGTCAAGAGAACAAGAAAACTCCGTGACCGTGTGCTGTAATGTTAAGTTGTTAAATCTTATCTATCGTGTTGTGATAAATGAAAAAATGTCAGAAATGAGGCAATAAGTCGTAACATTGCCAGGTGTACAAGCTGCGAAATGAACGAGCCGTGACAATGAGACGGAACATCGTTAGTCTAATAAAATTCTTCTTTCTGGCCGTGTGTACAGTTTTATTGACCGTCATTATCTTTCGATACATTCGTGGCACTCGAATTAACTCAAATCTAGTTCAAGCAGCTGTAATTAGATCGCCTGTTTTGGAAAATGACTCAAACATCATTCAAGAGGTAAGGTTATGAATTTTGACTTTAGTTACTTGTATAATAAAACTTTTCAAGTATATATTTGCATGTTTATCCATAACGGTTTAGCTGATTCCACAAGTATCTATTGTGAGGACAAGTACGAAATGTAGAACTAAATTGATTTATAGTACAGCGTGTAAATAAACTTATAATGTATAGAGTCTAGTCATTAGTAGAACGTAGGATATAAGGCATTCTTTTTTGTGAAACTCATTCTAAGCGGGTCTACCAAAACCCATAATTTTTCTAAACAGACAATATATTTCGATGTGATACTTGTATTAATTTAGAACATAATAATCTAACAACTGTTTTAAACATTAGAGAAGTGTTGGAAGTTTTTAGGAGTGTGGGTATAAGTACAAGCTTGTGTGTCTAGTGCAACATTGTTAACGATGAATTATATATTAGTTAAAAATTGTATTTGAACTTTGAGAAAAATATAACGAAAAGCTTCTTCCAAATAGTTGTTAGATTATTATGTTTTAACCTAATATCTCATGCATTTTCTAATATATTAAATGTATTATATTGTAAAATAGTCTGTGTGCGATTATGTCTTTGATACATTACATAATTGCAAAGTAATATTTCAATTTCACTATAGGATATACAGATTAAGCTTTCCTTTGTACAAAGATAATATGTCATATTCTTTTACTTCAAGGATATCAAAATTGACTGGCACAACTATGAACACATTGCTGAAGAATCAAAACGAACTGGAACAGGCGAACATGGAAAACCAGCATTTTTATCACCATCAATGAAAAATGTCAAAGAGAAGCTATACCAAGTAAATGGTTTCAATGCTGCACTTAGTGATGAGATTTCTGTGAATCGATCAGTACCAGATATTCGACACTCAGATTGCCATAAAAAGAAATACTACAAAAACCTTGACCCTGTATCAGTAATTGTATCTTTTCATAATGAACACTTAAGCACATTGCTACGCACTTGTTGGAGCATCGTGAATCGCTCACCACCAAGTTTACTTAAAGAGATTATATTAGTCGATGACGCGAGCTCCAAGCAGGAGTTAAAGTCAAAACTAGATGAATATGTTGCACAGAATTTACCCAAAGTTAAAATAGTACGGCTTCGAAATCGTTCTGGACTTATACGAGGCAGATTAGCAGGAGCAGAAATAGCTCGTGCAAGTATATTGGTTTTTTTGGATTCGCATAGCGAAACGAACGTTAATTGGCTACCCCCTTTACTTGATCCAATTGCAAAAGATTATCGAACATGCGTTTGTCCATTCATTGACGTCATTGCATATGAAACTTTTGAGTATAGAGCACAAGATGAAGGTGCTCGAGGAGCTTTTGACTGGGAACTTTATTACAAACGTTTGCCTTTGCTTCCGGAAGATCTTAAGCATCCTTCTGAGCCGTTCGCAAGTCCTGTAATGGCTGGTGGTTTGTTTGCCATTAGTGCTAAGTTTTTTTGGGAATTAGGAGGCTACGATCCTGGTCTTGATATTTGGGGTGGAGAGCAGTACGAACTCTCTTTCAAGATATGGCAATGTGGTGGACAAATGTTAGATGCTCCTTGTTCTCGTGTAGGACACATTTACCGAAAATTTCCACCATTTCATAATCCAGGCCGTGGTGACTTCCTTGGAAAGAATTATAAGAGAGTCGCTGAGGTGTGGATGGATGAGTATGCAGAATTTATCTACAGAAGACGACCGCATCTCAGGGCTTTGGATCCTGGTGATCTGACAAAACAGAAGGCACTCCGAGCAAATCTTCATTGTAAACCGTTCAAATGGTTTATGGAAAACGTAGCCTTTGATCTCGTTGAAGTTTATCCACCGATCGAACCGGACGATTTCGCTTTTGGCGAAATACGGAACATCGCAGCACCAGATCTCTGCCTCGACAGTAAGGGGCGAAAACGTGACGAAAGTATATCAGTGGATTTGTGTCGCAAAGATAATCCGAAAATATATGGAGAGCAGGAATTTCGACTGACATGGCATAAGGATATAAGACCCAAAGGACGAACTGACTGTTTGGACGTTTCCAAAGGTGAAGCAAAAGCACCAGTAACCCTATATCCCTGCCATGGGAAACAGGGTAATCAGTTATGGAGATACGATGTCGCAAAACAGTGGCTCACTCATGGATATGCATCGCGTTGCTTAGATTTGGACCCCGCAGCCAAACGAGTCTTTGTCGACTATTGTGACTCAGCTTCAAGTACACAAAAGTGGCGTATTGAAAATGTTAACATGAAAGCTATTAACGACTGGGAGAACGTCGGTCCAAAAGTGCGCTAAGAAGATTTATTTCATTTGTTGGTCGTAGGAAGAACAATGAAATACTTGAGATGATTGCAGGATTCTTGTTCAATTAAGGAGTAAATAGACGATTTTTTTGGTAATTTCTGATACTTGATTTTCTACTTTTCTTGCATGACACGTAATTTTTTTTATAGTAATATTCGCACTCTTTTTGTTCGAGAATAATATAATTTCATTAGTACTATTTTACTCAAGGATTCAAAGTTCAAAGTAAATTTTTCATAAGAAAACCAGTTTAAAGACAGTGCCACGTCGATACAAGTGATGCAGGGTCAAGAATGCATTTTCAAAAATGTAAAAGGATTTTACAGTTTTGCTCAACTACGATTACTTTTCTATTTCTAATTTTAAGCATTGTATCGATGTCTCGTACAACCGATCTGTGAAAGCTACCTTCCATTTGTAAACAAATTGTGCTACTTGTAATAAGTTTTCTTTATTGTTAATTGTACTAATTGCATAATATTGCATCCAGTTGAATACAATTCGGCATAAGAAACATTTTGGAGAAAAAAATGTATCGTATTGCCGTCGAATGCGACACAAATCATTATATAGGATTATCAGTGATTATGCGAAGGCAACATATTTCTTCGTTTGAGCAATAAAAAGGTTTAGAGAAAAATATCTCATGCTATAAATGAGTGATATACTTTTTTATGGCTCGTAACCTTTGTTTAGAAATAAATTGCTATTTATTCATGTTCATTATAAGATTTTTACATTAATATTATTTTCCTATGTTTAATTGTTGATGGAGTAAAGGAGAAAGTCAAATTCTAGAAGCTTAATTTGCAAGTTTTGTATACAATTATTTATATCTAATCGGTTTTTTGTCAATGGTGACTTGGAAGTGATTCGTTTTCATTTTTTTTTCTTTTTTTTGTTTTTTTTTTATTAACGAAAATGCCACTACGATGATGAATGATTTTAATTTTAAAAATTAGTTTGCGATATCTATCAATGTCAAAATCTACGTTGAACTTGTTTGGCTAGAGTGAAGAAAGTTGCTACTATTGGCTAGTCATTGGTAATAATATTTCAAAGGATTCGTACGAGGAAAAACGAAAATTCGTCATCCGCTGTGCCTTAATGTTGTTAATTGTCACAAATGTCATGGGAATATTAAAACTAGTTAGAATAATTTCTATTTAACATGAGACAGTTTATTCATGTAAGGAAACGCATTTGTATTTAAGAATTGATAAAAATTAAATTTTATTGTTAGATGTTAAACACAAAGTTAAACGTTCTTCTTTTATTATAATATTTGCGTTTTGGCTATTCGCACTGTATAAAATAAAGATATATACCAGAGTGATTTATGGGAAGTTGCGGCTTCACTTGTGCGTCGGCACCGAGGAGACACCAATAAAGAAGGCCAAGCTTTACCGGACTTTGTGTTTGACTTGTGGGCAGTGGGCATAATTCGCAAGGGAGATGCTGGAAGCGGCATAGAAATGTTGGAGGAGGTTGAAATGCCATATAATTCATTTCAGACCCGGAATACAGGGGGGTTGGTTGTTACAAATATCATCTCGGTGGCGATGCGAGTTGAGGTTAGTAATTAAGGTAATTGAACAGTGACAATAACGTTCGAGCTAGACCAAGTCAAAACTGTAAAGAAAGTTATTGTCAATGCGGTCAATGAGTTTCGTCAGTCTACAAGCTAAGTCATACCCGAATTCATAACTATTCATGAATCACCATGTATACGAAAACAATTGACATAAGCAACGAGCTTTATGAACAAGTAGATTTTGACAAGTTTCTGCCATATTTGGAGCCATAAATTATACGTTTATATAAGTATACATATTATATAATATTGATATCTGTAAAGATAAAAATGTAAAGAACAAGTGAGAGTAAAAAAAAGAATTCAGCCAGCGTACATCTGTGTAAATTATAATATACACTTATAAAATATAAGATTTTAAAAAATGTACGCAATATTTTCATGATCTAAACAGTATCACTTTTTTTCAAGTGCAATCTTGCCGTTACAGTGCAAACCCAAGTGTTTGTAGCCGAGTATGTGATTCCCTATCATTTCTATGCTAGTCACTTTTTATATACCTACAAGTATATTGTTATTTTCACGAATTACAGCGTAAAGGCAAGCGACTTATAAGTAGTTAAAAAGTGACTACCATAGAAAGGATAAGAAATCATACACTTGGAGTTGCACTGTAAACAATCCATGTTGATCTATTAAGTGATAATGCGACTTGGGTAAATAGACTACATATTTTTATAGCAAACTATGTAACGGTATAAGAGGTTATAATAAATTTTTAAGAAAGTCAAAGAGATACGTAGATATATAGGATTATCCAGAAATATTGGACCAAGCGAAATTAGCCCGTTTATTCGAATTCTATGGTAAAACCACTTTTAGATGGTGCAATACTTCTGAATGGCTCTGTAGACTATGCTTAAACAATAATTTCTTTAAGAACTCACCCTTTGCAGACGCACATTCGCCATCGGGATGGGCCATTCTTTGCATCGCGGTTGGCGAAATTCCAAGTGGCATAGAAATCTTCATGCCGAGAACTGTGGTGCAAAGATCACGATTCGAAACATCCCTCAGGACTCTTGGTCTGACGCGATATCTGCGCACATTGAATGGAGTAATTGCTCCATAAGGAATCTCAATGTAAGGTTATGATGGCAATTATCTGATAAATATAAGGACCACCCGAGCTTGGTGAAAGTATAACAAATGATTATTCGCCACAAAGTAGAATTTACTGTTGAACAAAATTTTGCTAAGAATTTATTAAAACCAATTAAAAATTGTTAGTAGGAAGGAATCAAATTTGTGTAACGGAAATTACTTTTCAAGTGTTATAGACCTGTACTACTGATAATTAATAAAATTCTCATTAAGTCCCTTAACAAATTTATTGTTTATGGGGTTCAGCAATGAAATCATATTACACATGATAACCTATTCGTTCCGTATCATTGTCCAATTGTAATTGAATCGGATAGCTATTGATTTCTACTGATTTTAAGCGGCTTGATTAATCCATTGCATTACGATTTAATTCGGAAGAAGCCGTGCCCAAGTGATGCGGCGGAGACTGAATGTCGAAACTGTACCACGAAAATGTCTCCTAGGTAGTACGTGACCTGCATTGGGACAAAGCATCCCATTCGAGACATTCATATTTGGCCCGAGATTAAGACCACGAAATCGACTCGTGATATTTATGATTGGTCCGAAATGTCGATTACGAGTCAGAATCGTGATATTCACGTTTGATATGAAATTAGATAACGAGTCTGAATGGTGATATTCAAGTTTGGCCTAAAATTTTCATTACGAGTCAGACTCGTGAAAATAGTGCAAGGGGTTAAGCAGGGATTACGAGAACAAAATAAAATATGTATCTAAATTGTAGACCAACTGAGAGCGTGTAAGCTCGTCCTTTTACTACCTAATCATTAGCCCGCAGAAATATTAATGAACAAGACTGTTATAAGCAAACAAGCACATGTGCACCGTTGTCGAAGTAACGAAGCTGTGTAATTTATTCGAATGTATTGCACTCACCGGGAATATAGAATGTAATCAAAATAAACAATAATACTAAAAACACCTATTAAATAATTATTACTTAATACCTGATCGATAAAATCGGTAAAACTGAGAGAAGTGCGACATAAAACTTTATTTTTGAGCTATTCTATTCGTAATAGTCTCCCAATCGAATTCCAAAGATCGAGGTCTGACAGACCTCACCTCGTAAAGTATAGTCCTAAAGTCAGACCTGTGTAATTAGGCTTTTATTCTGCAATTTAATAAAGTGTGATGTCCGCTTGTTGACTGAGTTTAATGAGAATCATTTATCGGTGCAATAGCTTGATAGCGTGATACTGACTTCACTATGTTTCAACTAATGTATAGAACCCAATGTTGACTAGTTCCGTATGTGGCCATCAAATAGATCCAAACGTGGTGCTCTATTCGTTACAGTAGACTTCTGTCTACTTAAAGGGCGTTAAAGGAGCAAACATCGATTTAGTGGGCACCTCATATCTATAGGTGAAACCCTTCAGATTGCAGCTAGCTTTTGCTTTATACCTATAATTACGTTTTTCCAGCGATATGAATATTGTTAGATGAGCAGCATTAATAGCCAATCGATCTAATCAGCAAAAATAAATTTTTGAACAAATAAGTTTTAAAAAGTTTCGTTTAAGATTGCCTTTAGATATATTTGAACTACTAGTTCCGTAGATAATTGAAAAAGTTAATAGATCAATAGTACTAAAAATGAGTAAAAGCTTTGACAAGTGTGGTCAAAAATGGTATATCTACCCTATTGATACTTTCAACTTTTTCGAAAGTGTATTAACTTCATGATTTACGACAAAACGGCTGATCGAGAAATTGTAATATTTACTTACGCTTTGAAAGCATTTCTATTGAGGTTTAAAGTTTGCTCATCTCCGGCGCCACTTTTATAATAGTCACAAGCATTCCGTGGCAGATTCTTCAACGCGTAGTTTTCATAATCGTTAATGCACACCAATTGCGACATTACGTACCTTTTGAAGGAAATAAAAAAGAAGTTCTAAATTAATTATATTATCTCACACGGATAACAATAATAATGAAAATCATTTACATCAAACATCAAAAGCACAAGTCGTAAGTGTAATACACATTATAGATTTTCCAAGGTCACAATGATGCGCCTTATCTTAATCTATAATGGAAATATTATCGACTAATAAAAAATTTAAATTTATTTTCATACTGATATAACAAATTTTTTGCATACCCAAATTTTTAGCTATCATCATATTTTATAATATTTTGTGATTCTTTTGGAAGATTTATGATCTGATAGTCGTACGAGCGTTTACGATGGTCAATTTTATTATTATTTATATTAAGTACGTTGAAGAATATTAAAAAATCTCTTGGCTCCTCGCAAGAGTCGTCCATTTATTTAGTGTATTAATTTAGTACAAAAATAAATTTCTACACGTATACAAATAAAAAGGAGGTTCTGCAACTGTAATATTCTACTCGTAGTAATGCAATGTAAAGGTACTAATAGTTAATAAAAACACAGAAACAGTGAAACGCACGTTAACGAAATTATCCGAGGTGACATACAATGACAATAGATTACTCTGTTGGGTACAATAAAAAATGAATAATTATAATTGAATAATTACCAAGGGTAATTACGTTGCAGAAAGGTCGACGGGTACAAAACCAATAAATGTGTGCCGCAAGATTGTCATCGAACGAAAATGAAGTGTGAGAAGACTGGCTCAGATCTTTTCCGATCGATGTAACTTCGTCGGTATTCGAAGATCTTGTGTGACGAAGCAAGGCATTGCGGTACTTGTAGTAGCCGAGAAAATGACAGTAGATAACCCGTGGGGCAGCAGTGCCAAAGCGTCATTGCGATCAACAAAATCATCTCCGATCTCTGTTTTTAATTGAATAAAGACAGAAAGGAGGGGTTTCGATAAGACCCTTTATCGGCCGCCCTGAATTTTCTTCTATTTTAATATTGTGTGTATTGGACTATACTTAAGATTTACAAATATATTGAGTTGGCATGAAAGTAATGATACACTCTAGAAAACTGGACACATGTCCTTTGTTAAATTAATTGTTTTTGACCATATTCTAATATGTTGTAGAACATTTTAGATACTTCCGCTCTGTGGGTATATACAATATAATATGGTCAAAAACAATTAATTTAAAAAAGGATATGTGTAGAGTTTTCTAGAGTGTCTCATTACTTTCATGCCGACCCAATACATAGCATTAGCCAATATTCGCTCTACTTTTGTGTTTAAGGTAAATGCTTGATTTACAGGTGATGAGGATAAAGTGGCAAAATATACTAATTAATATCATAATTATCGGTTTTATTTTGGCAAAACAAGATTATACAAGGTGCACAAAACATTTTTATATTACGTAGAGTTCTCTTCTTCTTTATCTGATCATCCAACTGCAGCATCTTCGATGCAATCTTCGTAGTGAGAGGAGTACTTTATTTGTTGACGCTTCGTATGCCTATAATAGCTAAGGAACCACAACACCGAAGCTATGTGAGCACAACATCCAACAACACGTGCTCCAAGCTTGCACTGGCAATACCAAGATGTAACTCCAGTGTGATTATATTCTATCCATAGACTGTATATCAGATATCAGAATATTCTCTGTGAAAAAATAACTTATATAGTTTTTGATCATCAACATGCTCAGTAGTATACGAATTTGCTTGTTTCAACTGATAAACCCTTAACGTTAAATGTTTTAGTTCATGGATGGTTAAATGCGGAAATTCTGATAAGGCATTGTCTTTTACTTCTTGCCAAATAACCCTTTTTCTTGCCCAGTTTTTCCGTATTATTCTATTTTCTAATTCATTACAATACTATTAAAAGAAGATCGGGGACTAAGTTGAAGTTTTGGAAAGAAAATATAGCAATATCAGTCAATCAGTACATTATCATATATTATCCAAAAATCAATTTATTTATTTTTTTCCATAAGCGTAATGTAGTATATTTTTATGTAATTGTGTACCATATATGTGAAAATCGTTTTGTATACAAAGTAACTATATAAATATCGCAAAAACTACAAAAATGAAGTATTTTGCAAAACAAGCCAAGTTTAGCGATTATTATCATAAAGGTTCTATCAAGTAACACAAAAAGTATGTTTTTAAAAACATATCTTTTACATTATAAAAATAAACCGTCGCAGGATACTTGGTAAATGTGAAACATCAAGATTATATAACACTGGAAGAATATAATGTGGAATATTAGGTATTAAGAATGAGAGCAAAAAACTTCCGAATTTTGTTACAATAATTTGTCATCTGGACAGCGTCGTCTCACCATGTTGGAATATAGACGAGTCAGGCGTGCGAGGTTAGGGGGGATGTGCAAGCGAGCGACGCGCAGATTGAAATGGAGAGGAGCGCACACAGTCGAATAAACAGTGTGGCGTCATCTCAAAAGTGCTGGCTCACCACGTTGGAATATACCTAGACGAGTTAGGCATAAAAGCGTCGTCTCACCCACGTTGGAATATAGACGAGTCAGGCGTGCGAGCTTAAGGGGGATGCGCAAGCGAGCGACACGCAGATTGAAATGGAGGGGAGCGCACACAGTCGAATAAACAGTGTGGCGTCATCTGAAAAGCGCTGGCTCACCACGTTAGAATATACCTAGACGAGTTAGGCATAAAAGCGTCGTCTCACCCACGTTGGAATATAGACGAGTCAGGCGTGCGAGCTTAAGGGGGATGCGCAAGCGAGCGACACGCAGATTGAAATGGAGGGGAGCGCACACAGTCGAATAAACAGTGTGGCGTCATCTCAAAAGTGCTGGCTCACCACGTTGGAATATACCTAGACGAGTTAGGCATAAAAGCGTCGTCTCACCCACGTTGGAATATAGACGAGTCAGGCGTGCGAGCTTAAGGGGGATGCGCAAGCGAGCGACACGCAGATTGAAAGAGGGGAGCGTACAGAATTGCACACAGAGATGAGCGTCGCCTGAAAAGACGACGTCTCCTTTTCTGTGCCCTGCACAACGCGCTATTAGATGTTTCATATTATAAAAATAAGAAAAATCTAGATAATAAACTTCAAAAAATACGATTTAGGGGGGCCGATAAAGGGCCTTATCAAATTTCTTAGTTTAGTCAGCATAGCTGTGCACGCGTTACATAACAGCGATAATGCATGCTTCCAAGATGCCATGAAATATTTGTTTGAACAATTACTTGCATCCGTTTAGCTCTCTAGTTTATTTTCAATATTCTCTGAGAGATTATTGATGAGAACAAAATATAAGGATTGTATGAAATGATTAATAACAAATAAATATTGTAATTAATCAGGAGTGGAAATTGATTAGCTGTATAACTATCGATAAGACTCGAATCCTTTGAATTCTTTGTATGTTGATTTTCATTGATGTTGTTTGCCTCTCTTGTGCGCGGACTACTTGGCAGTAGTAAAGCGATTGCTGACAGTGGGGGGTAGCGACCGTTGGCAGCCCTTACCTATAGCTTCGTTAAGAAATCTTCATCGCTACACGACCTTGATTCCCGCTCGCTTCCGAGCCTGGAAGTTTGATTACTATGTCTTCCATCTACGGGTCCCTAGGCCATTTTTAGTTGTTACGCATTTTTGGAGCACCGAAGATCGGAGGACTATGTTGTAATTTACACACCGAAGGACGAAAAGAGTGGTAATTTGATGTGGAAGTTCTGGGGACGAAATAAACGGATATTTGTCGTGATTGTTATTTTAAAACCCTATTTTGAGATACGTTCTTACTTCGTGACTCAGAGGTACTCATACTAACGCGAGGAACACTCTGAGGTTTAATCTCTTGTATTTTGGAACCTGAAATTACATGGAAACATCCTAGTTCGACTCCTTACATGTTACAGTACAATGGAACGAAATTTGATTATCTGAAAAGGGAGAATAAAGAGCATCGATAAGCTATCGTTGTAAGTTACCATAATTAAAAGTCTTTCGCATAAAAATAATTCATTAATTACTTAGACGAAATTTATTAATAATCTTACTACTTGCTATAGAGAAGTACCCAAGCAGAAATTTATTCCGGCGGGGATCCGAGCCGCATCAGGCTGTCCCCTAACTGATAATCTGGCCCAGATCATGCCGCTCTTCCGACCCTGATGTGGCATGTAACGGCATTTCTGATCCGGCCCACATTAGGGAACATATGTGGTCCTCTGATCATGCCCTGATTGGTATTATATCCGGTTGCCTGATATTGATATACATTAGATACACGTATAGACGTTAAAACGACAAACAGGTAACATTTTTTAAAAATATCGTAGGTAGGGAGTAATCCAGTGTGACGTATTAGGCCTTGCTTTCGAGGGGTAGGAGAATTCCTGCAAATTATAAATTAGTTTGTTGATTCTAAACAATTTTATATAGAACCAACGCGATGGATTGGACTACTAGGTGCTGCAAGTTAGAAGCTTTTATCACCTCTTCGTCTCCTATTCAGAATTTTATAGAGTTTGGAGCTTATCGGCTCATTGACCCACTTTTGCTTGCGGGTATCCCTGTCCCTCTGGTGGCCGGTGGTTGTATTACATGTATATAGTTTCATATTAGGGCGATTTCAGTGTTGCCTGATTTCACACCTAATACAGCAGCTCTTAATAACGCCTGACTACGGCCAAGTCAGATTTTCCATGATAGGGCTTGCCGTGAAATTACCTGATACAGGCCAAGTCAGGCTTTCCGTAATAAGGCTAGCTGTAGCCTGCTCGGGACCTGATCCTGGTCAGGATCTATATTTCAGGCTGACCACATTTACAAATGTTGTACTGATGCATGATCAGGGCAGGATCTGGGCCTCATCCGACTATTCTGATCAGGCATGGCATACCGATACCAGATCCGGACCTGATACGACATTAGGCAGCCTGACCAAATTTCTGCTCGGGACGGAATAAGGGCAGATTACGACTTCTCCTGTCCCTTGATTTGACGATTGTTTATACTTATATTTTTTACGAGGAACAGGTACAATTTCAAATTAGAGTTCTACATTATTACTGATCCTGATGGTGTTTCAGTTAAAAAAAATCGTCCTCATTCGGCCACTGCTGTGATGGGCTTCTAATAAAAGGTTAGACTCGGATTATATTAGCTCACAACTATACTTTTCTGATTGCTAGTGATCATGATAGTCGTTTAGGTAGATAAAAATTGTCCAACCACACTCGGGTATATAATACATACCTTTTAAAGTAATTGAGATATGGACATTTACCACTCTTTGATTTTTTATTGACATTCACTACTCTCCGGTCCAGAGATGCTAAATCCACAGTCAAACCTTGGCGCCACGGGTATCGTAGTATTGTCCACGCCACTGCTGATCGCTTCTTTGGAATTAATCGATTTCACTAGTGTGAATTGCCATTACAAAGTTTGATGTCATGCCAATTAGAGCAGTTAGTGTAATAAGACTGATTCTTTATTTTGTTCTTCTTAAAAAATACAACCTTAAACAATTGTCAAGTCAAGGGGCCGAAGAAATCGTAATCTGCCCTTATCTCTTGTAGAGTCACTCCGTGTAGCGTTAACCGCATACAGTTATTATTTTTATATTAAGTACCGTGTAGAGTTGTAGAGCCGTGTAGAACTGGATTCCACTCCAAGCAATTAAATTTTATAAGTTTCAATAGTCGGTAATGAAGTTACCATATACGGCTGGACGGGACAATGAACCCAAGATCCTCTGTTGTACATTTTCTAATAAAAAAACATACGTATTTCAAACAGTCGATATGGTTTATCACGCTTTCCCGCGCGGCATCAGGTTAGCGGATGGCATGATCAAATTCGCTTTGATACGAAGCAATGATTTTTTGTAGAAATTCACACGGAATTCTCGCGGTTTATCATACAAACAAAGGAAAGCATCTGCAGTTACTCGTGTAAGCAAAATAACATTTTAAGAGCTATATTATTTTTTACATAGTGCTTTTATATAAATACGCTTTACATCGTTGCGTTTCTACGAAATCTGAACGAAATGTCTGTTACCTTTCTGCAGTGTAATTATCTCGAAAAAAGTGGGAAATTAATGCAGGATACTTTTACATTAGCAAATTCAGTAGCTACAATCGAAATTTCATTAGCATTGGCATATGTGTATTAAGTCCACCCGTATGTATTTATACATATACTATGTGGCAAACATTGTAAATTTTTCTTATCCATTGCATTCCGAAATATCCGAGAATATTTCGATCGACCGCAGTGTTCATTGCTAATAATGAAATGCATACAGTTTTCTTCGAGTTTCTCATGCGAAATTCGCTGTTTACAGGGTGACTTTGCAATATTGGTAGAAACAATGAAAATGGCTCTCTTCCGTGCACTACCTTCGTTAGAGTCCGTGACTTGAGGCCAGTCTCTCGTAAAAAGTGTCTTCGCTCCGTTTCTGGAGGTTCTGTAAATGGGAGAGGATGACTTGCTGCTATGAGAATTTCAATGTATAATATTGCTAGTATATATCGAATTAACATTTTATTACATTCGTTAGAAATAATACACAAACGCTAAGGTCTCGTGTCCGGTTCAGGAGCGAAAACCTTAATGAGGCCGGCCGCGCCGCAACGGAGAGGACGTCGCGCGTCGAACTTTTCGAAAAGCCCAGAGGAATAAGAGAGCTCGTGAGTCGGCTCGAAACGAAGAGAAGTAAGGATAGGAGACTCGCGAGAGACACTTCGAAAAGTTTAACGCAAGCTCATTCGTGAACTTTCTGAAAAGTTTGAAAACGAGCGTTGCCCCTTTTGAGAAGATTGGATTGCTGTTTGATCTACGTGTGTGCTTGAAAGGGCTTCGGAAACGTCGGCCTTTTCATGAGGCTCGAAGCAAGCATCGTTTTCTCGAGAAATTCGTAAGACACCGAATATGCGTGTGTCTGTGCACGATGATCTCAACGGTAAGCTTTCGACGTGCTTGCGAGTTCGGCCGTACGAGTTTATCCAGGCAAATAAAATGCATACATAAATGCGCTATTAATAAATATTACAAAAAGAGACGACTTTGCTCTTCCTCTTTCTCTCACTCTAACTTTGTCATTATCCCCAGTTCTGTCTCTTCGTTCAACTTTTCTTTGCGATTCTTTCTTGCGATTAGTATCGCATATTAATTGCGCCATGGCCTTTTACTGAATTGCATAAGAAACGCGTTTCGCCGTTCTATCGGTACAAGGCGTTGGAAATTTTGTATTACTTCTACAATCTTTACTTTTTGGTATTATTATTATTATTAGCCCACATTGCGTAGAAGCTGGTCATTAGTGTGGGTCAATAGTTATAGTAACGTGATCGATAAGTTTAGACCAACGATGGTCGAAGGCGGATTAACAATAGTAACCAAAACGTATGACATTTTATTAGGTTAGGTTTTACTACGAATTATGAAATTTAATTTATTTGCTAGCATCACTAATCCCGAGCCATTAATTATAACACTATTATTATTATCCCATACGCTTTTGTTAAAATTAATTTTCGTACGGGATGATAATAATTACTATAATTATAATAATTGTAATGCAATAAAAATACAGGTCGTAAAAATAATAACAACAACAACAATAATAATAATAAAATTAGAAATAGAAATAATACAATTGTAAGAATGCTAATAATGGCAGCGTAATGGATGGCTCAGGACTAATAGTATTTTGAATCGATTAATTATAGGCAAGTTAATTAGTAGATCGTTAGGGATGGAAAACTGCAGGACGAATCGGGAATAATGACTTGCCCCCGATCTGTCAAAATGAATAGTCGCAATTAGTATGGAATAATAATTATTATTTAATTGCAGTCTCGTAAGTTGAGGGAGAATCAGGATCCGGTATAGGGCGTTTAAAAAACAGTCAATTGTCCCGATACGTTAAACGAGTAAAAATTAGTGTGGAATAATAATAATAATTATTATAGTAACAATGTTTAATAGTAATAGTCTCGCAAATTTATAGGCATCTCATAAATAGTCAATTATCGCAATCCATTAAAGTAACAGTCGAAATTAATATGCGACAATACAATTGGATTCCCTATTATGGCGTTACAGCTCATTTGATTCGATAACAAAATTCGTTATATACAGCACAAATGAAAGGTTTCGCCTAAGGAGATCCACAATCATCTCCGCACGTATCAGAAAAAAAATTAGGAAAATTAGTATGCGACAATTCAGGCTGGCGCACGATACAGGGCAACTCACACAACAGACTTCATATTTACAGCACGAATTAAAAAAGAAAAAACGGAAAGAATGGCCAGACGGGATTTGCTCTTCCGTCTGTGTTACTTTTCGGTGAAATCGAGCGAAAGACTCGACACTTTTCGCAAAGCAGCGACCACCGACGTCACACGAGGATCTATTTGTTGTTCGACACCATTCGGAAGTGATCCTGGTTTACAGGAAAATACTCGCAATTATTCGAATGCGTTTGGCGATTTTCGATAGTGTTCTACGTCACTCGTATTTCCGGTGCTATCGCTTCGGCACCATTGATAACGGCTGATTGATATTGATGAACCGATAGCCGATCGATTACGGAAATAATCGAGTGGATCCTACAGTGTGGCAATTTAAAAATCATGTATTACAGATAACTCCCGTCATTGTATTAATTAATAAGTAGAAAATGGCATCCAGAGGGCGACGCGGTCGCGAATAAAAAATGCCGAACACGCTTCGCTCCAGTGCGACGCGAACTCAAGCTTGTATTATAATATTATTACAATATTCAGGTATTATATTAATTTTTTATTACTCATAGTCCATGTTTCAACCCTTCTGCACCCATTTTTCCTTCAGGCTTTCTTCTTACTTCTCCTCTTATTCGTTTTCAATTCTTCTCTCAGCTTACTCTTTTTCCTCCTTCCCCCTCTTCTCATATTATATCGTTTATGTACATGTATTTGATTTTCTACAGTGCAGTGGCGCTTTCACCCTTTATTCGCGGCATTTTAATTTCGCTCTATCCTCATTTCCGTCGCCGTTGAGTTTCGAACACTTTAAAAAGTAGCCTCGGGTCGCCATTCATCTCCACGAGCTAATGTCTCCAAATAAAATCCTGGAGCATTTTCTTTTGTCCTTTTCTTATCGACTGATATAACTACTATCAACGATACTATCAAAAAGGCGCTAAAAGCTCGAACGGAGTGTCTGGCAATTTTTCTCGGTTTCGATACGAAGCAAGCTTTTCTGTCATTTCTTTGTTTTGAATTGGTAACGAAAAGAAGTTATCTCTTTTACACATATGCCGATACACCTTCGTTAAATTTAACTTTGTTGCAATACCACGAAATCCTTATCCATCTTCTTTACTTTGTCCGTATATATGTATTCCGAAGACTTAAAATTTGTATAGTTTATCGATTTTTCATGGAACCAACATATTGTTTCTGTCCGGCAGGATACATCGACGTTAATTTTTTTTTTAGAAAGCTGGTTGCAAGAAAAATACGAGTTCGACAAGTAGTAAATTCTGAGGTATTTGCTTTTAGGATCAACGATGATCCAAACTGGCAATGGTTAATCCCTCGTTAAAAAGAAACCTTGCATGCAGTATTCCTGCTTTATAATATTCCAGTGAAAACTTTTTTTTTATTGAAAGAAAAGGAAGAGAAAAGTTATGACTACAAGTGAAAATGACACTGGAAATCACAACATTTTAATTCACATCATTTTTCTCTCCTCATTTATAGTGATTTCAGTTAAGACTTTTCGTATGAAAGAAAAGAAAAAAACATTGTCTCTCCAAAGTATGAAGAAAACAGAGATAATGGTGAAAATAGATATAAAATTAATTACAATGAATCGGATTAGATCTAGCGATTATACGAGCAAAGTATATAATCTCTTAAGAAATGGATAAAAATATAAAGTGAAAGTGCCGAAGCTAAACCGAGAATAATAGGTAATAGCAGTCTCCCGTATACTCGATTGATGTGTCATACAATATATGATATACAATAATTTTCCTTGGTATTCATCACATATAAAAAGCAGTTCTATATGTACATATTTCGTCACGAGTCTCTAGGGAGTAGGGCGGGGGCGCGCATTTGTTGTCTAAGCGACTAATCAATCGCTGAGAATTCAATTAGCCAGCTTGACAATGAAACAAACTACTCGATTAAAAACCTCCAATTAACTGACGGACTTTCCATTAATTTTGCATTGTTTTTACTCGAATGATGCATTGTCATCACTGCTGGATTCTCCGATAGTTTCTATGATTTTCTAAATTTTTACCATTCTTTGCACTTGCCCTTCCTTTCCCTTTCCGCTTTCTTTTTCTCTCTCCCCTATTTCCTCAATCATACTTCATTATTTTTACCTTCGAATGGGTCTAATAAAACGGACGAACGGCCATTTTATGAAAATTTTAAAATAGGGCGGAAAATTGAAGTGACAGGTTATGGCATTGATCTCTATTTATATTCAGTTTCAGCACTTTTACCTCCTTTTACCCTCGTTCCTTTATTTGGGCCTGAGTTACGTATGAATATTTGGGTTTCTGTTTGTTCGGTTATTTTTTTCTTGTCTCAAATCAAATCCAGTGTTAATATTCTTGATTTATTTTTTTCATTCTTTCACTTATTTCTCATCTTGCTGTATCATTGATTTTCTTAATTCCATTTCGTTTGATTCGCGTCATCTTCATTCTTTATGTTCAATATTTCGCTGCTTCATCCTTTCTAGAAATATTATTTCTCTCAACAAAGTTCTGACCCGCAGTCGACTTCTCGAAGGAATCTCATGGTAACGATTCAAGATATTTATGGACTTAATGGAGCTCTCGTGGAAGCGATTTCCGGATCGACGATTAAGTACACTGCCGATTCGTGATATCCGAGGTCGACAATCAATGGGAACCATGATTAAAAATCCTTAGAGAAATTTGAGGCAACGACGGGTTGGAACACGTGCACACAGCTGCTATACATTTATACAACCTCTCTTACCATTACATCCTTTAGCCATTTTTTTGTATGCAGTACTGTAACTTTCAAATGCCGCCTTGTTTTCCTTCGACGTTTTCTTACTCTCTTCGTAGTCCCTTCCAGTTTTTCTTTAATTTTTAACTAGAAGTTAACGAAAACGAATTTCTCGAAGAAAAAAATCCACGATGTACCGACGGATTACGTATCGGAACTCGACTGCTATACATTTATATAATACATAACCTTAACCTGTCCCTTATGGCGAACCATTCTAATTGGTATCCTTTCGAAGCTGCCGACGAACGAATGATCGCTTATTTCCATTTCCTTTGAGTCTTTTTTACTACTTTACTTTCCTTATTCTTCCTTTGTGTCGCAGTAAGATAAAGCAATTCCAGTCGTCGCGAGAGAATAAATAGACTCTCATCTTAGATTTGGTTTATCCATACACAAAGTGATGATCCTAAGCTGCAACACCGGCTTTCGTAGACGATTCTCCGTAAGGCGCAGCACGTTGATCAATCAGTTTCACCGTTCATTATGAGTCCTGATTGGTACCTTCGGTGCATCGGAATTTAGTCTCGCAGTTTTGTTGTAGTTGCTGTACATGCTGCGGGCTGTGCACCGGTGATGGGCCAGCGTGTTGTACTTGTTGTAGTTGTTGAGGTTGTGATTCATCCTGTAACTGCGGTTGCTGTATTGGCAGCTGCTGCTGCTGCTGCTGCTGCTGCTGTTGTTGTTGTTGCTGCAGCTGTTGTGTTATCGTCCCATCCGGTTGTACAGCGTAACTGAAACACGCAGTTAACATTGCCATCGGTAATTTAATTGGATAAATCTGAACCGGAATTTACAAAATAATCTCAATAATAATGGATACATATTTTTTGCTTGTTTTTCTTGTTAGTTAATTACCGTTCTTTCGATCTCCACTGTACATTTAATCCACGCTTATTAAATCTGAAGTGAGTTTGTTGCTGTTCATACTTTTCAGATTCTTCTACGCACTCTTCACTAGCGTCCTCTGCTTCCTGCTCGTCTTCGGGACACAACTCGTAGGCACGCTCTAAAGTCTTCTTAGCGCTGTTGCTGCGCTCTAGGAAGTAGCCATTAGTTGACTCGTTCGACTGAGCTGGCGGTGACCAATTATTGTATGCATGGGTATATGGTGCTGCTGAGGTATACGGCCTCTGTAGGTTTAGAGAAATAAAATAACCGTAATAATGACTGCACTTATTGTACAATATGCTGCCAAACAATTCAGATTCAAGGCGAAATATATGTTCGCAATGAAAAAATATTGTTGTTAAAGTTTTAAGCGAAATCAAATAAAGGACAGTGCCAAACCTTATCCAGCTCGTCTTGCAACCAATCGATGGCCAGCATCCACTTGCGTCGAAGATCCGGACTATGGTGAAGCAGCTGATGTGCCGGCCGACATTTACTGAAGAGTTGTACCATACACTTGATGCACTGATACGCTCGTTTTTGGTAGTGGCTCTTACTTCGCTGTATAGTCTCGAACAAACCTTCCCTCTCGTCTGGTACTCCTGGATAAATTGTTCCCCATATATTATGGTTATCCATTGTCTATAAAGTGAAATCTGTGTGCAATTTGCAAGGAAAACTCGTAATTTTTTACTCTCCAATTCATTTACGTTACGTGACACATCTTGTAGATTATTTAAATAATTTAATGTCCATCGATGCTTCCGATTTCTAATAATATTAAATTATGCAACGATTGAAAAATTATTCGTGTTCAAAGTCCGCTTTTAATATATGCGGCGAAGTAGAATGACGACAAATCCTTTATTTGAATATAAAGGCGTGAAGTACAAGACGAATTAAAATAATTGAGCAATATATAAAATAAAACTAAACTGCATGGAAGTTATATTATAAACATAGCTGCGTTATGGTAGTAATCATGCACAAATAAATGAAGTTTTAACGATGAAGTAAAATAAAAAATTAAGTAACTAAACTTTGCAAAAACTCTTACAAATGTTTGTAGACAATGAAAATATAGAGGAAAGTTATCTATTGACTAAGTACCTTTGAGTGCGTTGTGAACACGATGCGTTTGCCAAGAATCCTCCATGAGCAACATAGCTAGTAGAAGATCTGTGTGATGTCGGAGCTCGTGCGTGTAAGCAAATCCAATCTGCCATAGAAGTTCACTAAGAACTGTTCGGGATAAATGTGGATTTTCCCAACAACAGTACTGAAGGAGCTTGACAGTGTCTTCGGTAACGTTTGCATCTTCTATCAACTTCTTCATGTAGCTATGTTATCCAGTAAAAAAAAGTAAAAGTACATTTGACCATCCAGGTTATTCATTCGGATACAATTATCAAATCTTTACCAAAGGTAGGTATATTTTATACGTTCCTATGCACGTATAATCAGTTAAAATCGTGAATTTATACATACCTAGTTCGAATAAAGAGTATCTCTGCCGCCTGGGGCTGAATTGGCATGAGGTAGTCAGGTTGACACGTAGGCTCCCCATAAGGATTGAGCAATGGTGGCACCCCTGTCTGTGCATGACTCGATTGCGTTCTTGAAGATACATCACAGCACCGGATTAGCATACTGACAACTTGATGCAATTTTGTAAGTTCCGGATACTGGTATTTTATCGTAGGTCCAGGGCCCTCGTCAATAGCAACCAGCATAAAGGTTACTGGTACGTTAAGCTGTATCCAAAAGTATGTTATTTATTGTGCCTTTTAAAGGTCAGGGGCACAATTATAATTCCTCTCTGGATACTTACCTTCAGAAGCTGAGCCTTTTCGGCAAGACCCAGCGAAGCATACATGTGGAATAACGAAAAGTAATGTGGAAGATGACGGCCATGATCGGATACTTCTCGATGCAATAGAGAAAGAACTGCATGCAATAGATGGTCACTAAGCGTTGCCGTGGGGTCCAACAGAATCGCTACAATGGAATGTTTTTTTATGAAGCCAAGTATATATACCACAGTTTAACATTTCTGAATATTATATTCCAATTGATCACTGTTTTTGAATTATAAACATTGCAGCATTCGTTTAGATACACGTGACCTATAGTTCAATTTTTTTTAAATATATTATTTTTAACATTTCTTATGCTTTCAACTCTTCATCGTATCTTTTTTATACTTAGTATGACTTTAGTTAAGTTTATAAATTCTTTCCGTATGGACTCTATTTACATGAAGGTAGTATTTGGTGACATCCTCAACTATTTAATTGCGCGGATATTAGAAGATAATGCTTAAATGTATCCAAGCATGGGGTGGAAACACAGGAAATTCAAATGTCTACATACAGGGAAACAAATATAATAATGTTCACAAAAGGACGCTTACTCGGAGCATTGAGACTAGGAGGCACGCAGGGACCATCCTGCAGAGAGAAATGGGCTAGGAACACCAGTATTTTTAAGAAGGCGGTTCTGACTTCTGTGCTGGGGCAACTCAATAAGTATTCACAAAATCTGAAAAGAAGTAACGAACATTATTTCATATTGATTATTGACCATTGAACAAGATAGCAGTGGTGACGAATTGAACGTATTAATCTGTAACACACGTACCTGTGTGGATTATTGAAAAGAACGTTGTGGGCGAACCACGAGCGAACTGCTTTGCTACAACGCAAATGATGACAAAGAATGTCGTACCAATCCGTAGCTGTTCCACGAAGTGTTTTTTTGGTATGAAAACCAGTGTAAAAGAGAAACCTTGAAGCCAATTGTACTGACAGCATGGCCAATTCTTCAGCTTCTGGGCTCTGTAAGCGAAGATAAATATTGAATACCGATTCACAAATTACACGTTTCGTATCTACTATTGTATTAACAGTAAAGAAGACAATTCAGAGGACATTCATCTATAATATACATACGATAAATTGAGACAGCAAGTACTGTACCAGTTTCTCATTAAGGTTCTGTCGATTAATAGTATGCGGATTACAGGAGACGAGTTTGCGTACAAATTGGAAGTATTCGGCACTGAACTGGTTGCGGTTGTGCATGAATTTTATGTTTTGTTTACGCACGCTGTACTCTATAGCCGGTGGCATCCTCATCACTCCGAGCTTTGTGTCTGTGGACATCAACTTTTAGTGTTTTTTCCAATGCATACGAGAATGAAAAAGAAAAAGATTCACGGTATGAAGACTTACAGAGAGAAAGCTCATTTACGCTCTTCATCAACGAATTTTCCTCAACGTCCAATCGTGTATAGAAAAGCATATAAGCGTTCCACCAACGTTTCTGACGACGGTAACTCATCCGCTTCAACATGTGATCGAATACTTCACCCATGTAATCACCACCAAAACATTGTGATTTCATTTCTTCCTCCTCCTCCATTTTACATTCTGTTACGTCACCGTCATCGAATTTGTACCATTTTGCTGTGCCGTCATTTTGCCTAAAACGATTTATCATGCCGAAATCAATGTATGGTTATGAATAATTTTAATGATACGTATAAATTGTGTCAACCTTTTAATATAAATAATCGAGACATTTTCTCGTGTTGAGGAATAACGTCCTAACAATAATACTAGTTTAACATACTACAAATTCATACCTGTGTAAAATGTAGGAGTAGTAATGGCCACCGCTGGCCTGTCCACTGTGAACCACGATACCGCTTAGCTGATACTTAGTACACGTTCCCTTGTTTGCTTCCTCGAAGTCGCAGTCTATTACTTCTCCTTCGAGTTTCGCTAATCCTGAGACTGTGTAGGGCTCCATGTCCAGATCTCGTGGGAATTCAAAGTAGTCGTTGAATTTTATAGCGCAGACCCGTTCAAAGTCGTATTCAAAACGCTTCAATTGTATTGCCAGGATTGGAGGTAGTTTCTTCACGCAGAGCCGCTTCACCGTCACGACCTGCGTCCAGGTTTACATATTAACTTGAGTTATCGTTACGTTATATCCACCCAGTACATGCTCATAATAATTAGATTTTAATAAATAAAGTTTTCTTATATATGATGTGTAATTGGAAATGCAACAAATAGACTGACTGACATTAAATTGACAATACGTTTAGGTTCCTGGAGTATTGCTCAATAATATTATGTATTTTCTTACATTGACGCATCAAATACGATAATGTGATAACATTATTTTTTTCCATTACGAATGCTGAGAAAGTTGTGTTATATCGAGAAATTTGATTTCTTTCAATAAAATTGAATAATTTCGTCACTGTTAAAGATTCAGTTGATTCCTTGAACTCATTCGCTTTGAATATCTGACAACTGAACTTTCAACAGCAGAAGAAACACAGTTTTCTTTCTGTCAATACGAAGCAATGACTAATGACCTTTTATTGGTTACTATTTAATTATTATACCAAGGCAGTGACATCAGATTTAAAAATTAACTATTGAAAAGGATAAAATACATCATTAATTCCTATGATGAACTTCGATAGGTAGATAGTATACAGGATGGACCAATAACTTTTTCCACCTAGAATATTTCTGTTATTTGTAATAATTTCAAAAAATGCTTCATATAAAACTTGTACGGTGTGGAGGGGGACATAATGTAATGTTATTATTTTTTTGTGAGGTTGGAGGGGTAAAAGAGTTTTCAAGGTCAATTTCACTTTTTTAAATGGGATGCTACATTTTTTTCGTCGCTATGTGATAACCAGTATTGAGGCGATTTCAGCAAGCTACTATAAATGTCATTTAAGTTCAACTGTGGTAGTAAAATAAACTTATATTGTATAAACGCAAATGGTCGATACTTTGATCATCTGATGTACGTAAGTTTATTTTACTATCACATTTGAACTTAAATGACATTGATAGTAGCTTGCTGAAATCGCCTCAACATTGGTTATCGCAGAGCGACGAAAAAAATTTAACATCCCAATTAAAAGAGTGAAAATAACCTTGAAAAATCCTTTACGCCTCCAACCTCGGAAAAAATAATATTACATTATGCCCCCCTCCATACCGTACAACTTTTGAATGAAACATTTTTTGAAATACAAATAACAGAAATATTCCAGGTGGACAAAGTTATTGGTCCACTCTGTATAGCATAAATTTAGAAAACTGGTTATCTTTTATAGTCAGAAATACACAGTGATATCACTACCAGTATCCTGGAAATGTTTAAAAGCTGTACGAATTATGCTTTTTATTGTTTGTTTAAGTTGAAAGGACAGACGTCCCGTCAAATGAGAACGTTGCTTAAAATGACTCGAAAAAACTAGCGAAATAATACAAGTAAAATATTAAAACAACAAGCGTACTATATTACATTTTTTTTGTCTTATACAAACAATTAATACCTACTGAAAATAATTGTGCATTAAGTTTACAAAATTACATTATTATTGATATTATACGTCTAAGCAATCGAGGATGTTTTAAGCAATGACACAAAGACAAAAATATTAAATAATTTGCCGACTAACATTCAATGTTCTAGTTTTATATTCGATCAAGATTTAACCAGTCGAAAGACACGCGACATGAAGAATAAAGTTTTCTTGTGCAAATAACAGATCTAACGAATAACATTTAGAATTCAAAATGCTTCCGCCATCTCTTCATGCGACAAATGTTAAGTCTTTCCAGGACTATCTAGTGCAACATAGACAAATCTAAGTTATCATATTCAATGAATATAACTAACCTTTTTGTTGCACTTGTCACAATGGTAGGCGTCGGCACCCTCAAGTAACTCTCCCTTGACGTATTGCTCGAGCGAATCGAGGAGATTGCTGTGGTTGCGAATGTCCACGCTGATAACGCTGAACGGCTCCTCCTTGGAGTACCTATGGGTTTAGGATAGCATCTTGCTATTATTGTCTACTGGGTAAGCCCGGGGCAAGGAATTATCGGGGTACCTATGTGGGCAACCTTTGCAGATCTTCTGGTCGCTGTAAGAGCCACCTAATATCTTCCCCATTATTTGCTCGTGCCCAAGTGCCTTCAATGCTTCATCCAGACTTTCTACGAGACTCATGAAGAACTCTACAGCATCCTGTTGTTCCCTTAGATTAACAGGTTCCCCTTGAAGCCTGTAAAGTGATTGAAATATTCTTAACGTTCTCAATTGACAACAGCTATCAATATGTCTAACAAATCATGATTGAGGATAACTTCAATATTTTTAAAACCTTGATATTATTGTTATAGTACAACATATTAACAGCATTAGTGCATTAACAGAAATATATTAAATAAAAAAAAGAGTAAAAAGACGATAACAAATTTAATTGACTTACTTGAAGTGTTTCCAGAGTCCTCGAGGTATGTAATATTGTAATTTACTGTAAGCAAGGTGCCCGAAGATAGCTTGGACCTGTTTCAAAATTCCTATATTGTACTCCTTACGTGACTCATCAGCGCCACATTTTTCCTCATTCGAGTCATTATCGTTGGCCTCAATGGTCTGCTCGCCGTCGGCTCTTTCCTCACCAGAAAAGTCTTCGTTGAGATCAGTAGCGGCACCTTCGGCAGCCAATAGGCCAACTCTAATGCTCTCAACCATATAGAGTTGTTGGAGTACGGAGTTCATGTAACAAGTAGCGCCAGCATTTTTTAAACCGACGAAGCCTTTCATAGGGCGCGGTCCAACCGGTGGTAAGTAATCCCACTCCAATAGTGGCTCGTCACGTTCCGAGTAGAACATGTCGGTCAGCATCGTCACTAACAATTTCATATTTGGCACGCATCCCACACATAAACCAACTAATAAATCAAAGGCTGCGCTGGTCGACTGTGGCGTTGTGCAGACTGGGCATGCTTGAGATGAACTCAGTTCACCTGTACTGCGTAATTGTAGCATAAGCCGTGAAGCAGAAAAAACAAAGTCCTGGACCAACTCCTGAAAATTATAATTATCGTTTTTAAAAATTAGAGAATTCTTTACCGTATGCTTACAAATTATTCTGTCTTGAAATATTATGTCAGATAAATTCTTACTTTAATGAGATTGACTCCACGTTTCTCGTCCGAGCCGAGTTCGTACTTCTTACTAGAAGGAAGAAATGCTAAAAGTTCTTTGGTAAGTCCGAGGTGACCCTCGAGGACAGCTTCTTCTACTTGTACCTCGCCGCTTTCAGCAACGTTATCCCGAACCTTTTTGAGCCACGCAATCTCGATGTTCAAAAGTGTTTCCGCAGTGGACAGAGGACAACCCGAAATATGAGCGAAGTTTAGTAATCTGCATAGAAGCTGTATAAAGCAATCGTGATATTAATTTGCTATATCAATATATAGTATATGGTATACAAAAGTACATAATAATAATAATAATTCACTGCAGTAATCCATATAACACGGCACATAATAATGTATGTTAGAGTAATAAAAGTTCAATTGTTTTATATAATCCTCAGAATTAGTCCTCACTATAATAGGTGTTATGCTCTGGGACTTTATATTTGGAGAAACGTGCAAATTGCCAATAGTATATATGAGTTCGTTTAAATAACCGTAAAAAAAAATATTGTACATAGGAATAATTTAATTTAATAAGATACATCTATGACAATAAAAGGCGTATTGAAATTAATGCCCTACTTCGGCATGATAAGTATTACAATTTGACTGAAGAACATGATAATCTAGTTTGATACTGCGATTAATAGATTAATGAAAAGTATTTTATGTTGTAACTGATTAAAGTTTGAATAATGACTGTTTGTGAATGATAATGGATATCAGATATCTTACGAGGATGACTCCTGAGGAATGTAAAAATAAATAAAATGTTCCAAAACCAGGTAAAATGTCTAATAGTTAACATCTTTAACAAGAGTTCTCTAACTCAATGACTACTATATTTGAATCAAGGCTCACCTGAAAATATTCATGACTTTGCTTCGCATTTTCCATAACAGTTGTATTAAGAACCGTAAAGAGCAATGTAATAGAAAACTGCAGCGGTTGATGTCCGCTGCTGCACCACGTGGAGATCAAGAGAAATTGTTCGGCTGCGGCAATTCGTACTGCTCTAGCCGTACTAAGAAGTACAAGGTCTATGAAGAAGGTGTGCCATATTTTATCCCTTGTAAGCGACTCCAGAGCAGTAGGATTTAAAACCAAGGCTATGGTTAAAACTTCCAGGGCTTCCTTGCAAACTATCACAAAACATAAAAACATTGATGCTGTAATATACATCTTCAAATTGTATGAAACGTGTTCTGCATCAATTTTGTCGAATTAGATTTGCAAATATTTTCATATATAGTTAATCCACAAGCAACACGTAAACATTTGGATTTGGTACATTAAATGTCATAAGAATATAGCTCTTCAAAAATTGAAAAGGTGATGATTTCCCAGAGAATATATTCAATTCCATATATTCCAGAGGTTATTCAAAACTAACGCGTCACCTGACGGCTACGATAGCAATCGAATGGACCCTCTAATTTCAAGTGTTACGTTAGCCCTGAATAACACTAAGTGTATGATAATGTAAGAAACTTTGCTGTTAATGTCGTAACAAACTTAAGCGTTTAAGATTGAAAAGATATACCGATGTAACGTTAATTTTTAGTCGAACGACAATATAACGTCCTCGTATCAGGTAAAAAATAGAAAGTAAAGGTATTAATTTACCCAAGACATCATCATTATCTGGAACACGGTGTTCTTTCTGGTTGATTTCATGAACAGTATGTAAAAGATCGGCGGATGCGTTGACGTTATTAAGATTTCCAGACGAAGCAGCCCAAGCGAGTCTGATAATGGCTCTTATAGTGGCCATATCAGGTAGCTCCCACGAGAGAGCTTGAACAAACAATTGTCTACACCGATCTGATTCGGATCCTCCGGACAGCATTTGATTTGCCAGATACTGAGCAAGTTTAGCTGCTACGCTACGCAGCATGTATTCGGTATTCTGATTCGGTACACTATGCAAGGCTTGTTTCAGAATAGCAACTGGCCCACGATTGTTGTGCAAATGATTGTCGTGATTCTCTGGAACAGATCCAGACTGTTGCTGCACCTCGTCCATCACGCACGCCATTACATTTCCCACTATGGTTAAGAGAAGCTTGCAGAGTTTCAAAACAGTCAAGTATGCAGAACGTTTTGTTGACTCGTCCGCGTTTGGTAGGAATTTATTTTTCGTTAGCATGTCCAAGATGACGCCTGCTTCGCCACTTTTTATGAAATTATGTTGAAATTCGAATGCACGATCTGACATTGGATCCAGCGCTGGCATTAGCAATGTATATAAAACCTGAAATTCATTTTATATTGTATAATAAGAGAGTATTCCTGACTATAATTGAAAAACAGAGAGTGAATAAAATTGAATAAAACGTTGTACTTGTATAATAAAAGCAAATATAGAGTGGTACTGCTGTAACATTGTATGTCCCATATGCGTACCTCCAAGTTGTATAACACCTGGCTAGGACTGGCCGTAAAGAAAAGTGTATCAACACTGGTATTTTGTTCATTGCAAACAGGGCTTTGGGAAGGTTCATCGTCTCGCCAATGACCGAAAAGCCATTGCAATCTTGTTACAGTCAAAGTGTCAGGCGGTACAAGTTGCAATAAGTTTCGAGCTCCATCGCGCAGTTGCGGATGCTGGAGGTTGCAGCCAAGATCGGCCAATTGAAAGAAGAAATTTGTATACTCCGAGCGTTGCGACATAACCTAGAATAAAATAAATTAAACAAGTTCTATTAATATTACTTCAGACATTGTGACACTAAGCGTAGAATGCATCAATCTCAAATATTTCGAATTGCGATCTTAAATTTATTTAATTAGCACTTTAAACATTCCAAATCCATTGTTTCCTTACTAAAAAATTAAAATATAAGAATAATTCGGGTGAACCTGACTGTCAATCTGTACTACTAATGAATCCAAAATTTTAGTTCTGATAACAACAAAGAATAATACATTTCGAACAATATTTATTAATTATAGTACTCACCACTCCTGGCAAACTGTTTTCAGCTTCTAAATTTGGCCCATCGTACGGATGCTGTGGTGAACTTGTCGAACTATCGGAACTGCTGTCCGGTGAACTTGGCATATTGCTGTTCGCCTGACTGAGTTTTGCCGATAATAGCTGCAACAACAATACGATTCAAAATGTGTGTAGTAATAGAAATTAAAAAAGAGCATGACATTTGTAATGTAAATGCTGTTTCATCCTAAAATAATGTATATAATAAAAGAATGTACAAACCATCTTATCACGCAAAGGAATCTGTGACAGTAGTTTACGATCATCTGCCTGTTCCAAAGATTCGCCATTAATAAAAAGATCGAGTTTGACGTTCGTGCCGCTGGCTTTGATTCTACGAAGAATCTGTCTACGCAACGAGGCCAACGTATCGTTACTGTGTGTAAAGATGTCAATATCATCTACATTGCGTCCTGGACTTGCGAATCGGATCACTAACGACAGGTGCTTGCCTCGAGCTGCTCTGTAATTTGATTCATATACACATTTACACGCACTTTAACTAGTCGGAGAAATTTTTCCCAGTTACCATTATGTTAATTACAATAAACATATAATACACTTATGAAATAACCATTCCGTGATATATTACGCTACATAACAAATCATTCGTAGAGGTATCACAATATAAGGACGAGAGAGAGTGGTTCAGGTACTTTTTTGTTCTTTCCAATTTAACCCATTTGACCGACATTTTTTTCTCACACTTGCTGTGGACGCTACGAGATTAGCTCGTTATTTCGGCTGAATGGGTTAAGATGCCTAAAAATTATTTCTTTCTACTTATCACTTTTATTATTAAACGTTCAACAGATTAGCATAGTGTAGTGAATATTAATTTAATTCTCTCAAGAACCTCTTTTAATAAAGGGAGTTTGTATTAATGAGAATGTCGATAGAGGAATCGATACGTCAAAATCCCATTACGATTTTAATCCTAGGATGATCGAGGTAACAGATCAAATCGCCCCTCACCTGTGTAATGGAAGGATTTTTCGTTCCCCAGGAAAGGCAGTGTCGCATTCGTTAATATATTCCTGAAGAACCTTCATGACTCGACACATCTTAACAGCCTCCGTTCGAATTTTATTGGCCATTTGGTCCTCCCGATCCTCCTTACTGTCCAAGTAAACCTTGCTAAGCACGGAAACGGTATCAAAGTGCGCTCTCAGTCTGTCGATGCACTCGTCGATGTAAGTTGCATGAAACACGAGGACTGTGCTTTGTAATCGTGGCCCAAGATTCGTGTTAACTTCTTTCAGCAGTTCGATACCGCGACTAGCAATCTCTTCGGGGCCGTTTGTTACCACCTATTACAATGTAAAGTTCATGATAGATTTATACATGTTTCAAAATATTTATAAAGAATACATTTATACTTTTTTAATAGGAATAAAAACAGGGGTGAAGTACTGTCAAAATAACTCGTCCAATAGTAGCATAAGATTTCTAATTTTTCTAAAAATCCCTCCGAAAGAACTGAGATGCAGGAATGGTAATTTTCGGTAGTAAGATTCTTATAAATGAGCACTATATTGCTAGACACTATTAGAAAACGATAACTTTGTTTATATATATTTATATACAATAATCATCCTTTTACTATATTAATAGCACATATAACATTTTTGGCGAATCAAAACACCCTTTCTATATGTATTTTTTAAATGTTGTGATAAATCCTAAAATTAATCTTAATATTTTTGGTCTCTATGATTTTTGCTTTATAAGTATTGCTTAAAAATATCGTATAAGAATTCTGTAACACTAGAAATGATTATATTGGAAACATACCCTCCATAGATAGTCGGTCCCGATAAGTTCGACATCATCCATGAGAAAAGTTCTTCGCTTCAATTTGAGTTTTCCTTCTTTTGAATTGACAGCCTTAAAAAATCTTTCATAACACTTAATTCCACTTTCAGTAAGTAAGGTTGGATCAAGCTGGAGTATATTATTCTCAAAGAAATCTTTGTTAATTGCTGGATCCAAATCAGGCTCTTCTCCCATTAGTTTTGAAAACCACTTAAAACAAGCTTCACGGTCCGAAACAAAAACTGCCTGTTCTGCGAGGCATTGCCAAATTCGCTTCGCCTGGTCAGCACACAACCACAATTGGCCATCCTAAACAGATAAATAAAATTAGTTAAATTATATTGAATGAGAATCGTGTCAAAGTATTTCAATGCAACTCGAAAGATAATAAGGGTTCTTTCACATAATGACTTTAAGTAAATCACTAAATCATTTAAGCAAAAGTTAAGATTACATATTATAATTAATATCACATGGTCAATAAAAAAGCTTTAAAAATTACAACGAAATATAAAGAAAGATAAAAAAACTCGTGATTAAAGAAAATGATAAACAACTCACTAGTACATGGCTGTTTCAATATGCTTTATCCATTTAAAACTCACCTTTAAGAGAAACCTGAGAAAGTTAAGTCTCTCTTGAACTTGCATAATGTGATTATACCGACGATCAGGCATAAATGTATTTGCATCAATATCGGGATTCTCTTTGACCAACTGTCGCAGTTTGTCCATGTAATTAGTCAGACTATTCGTGACTAGGATCACTACCGAATGTTGAGCTTGTAACCGTTCTATTACTTCTTGCCTAAATTTAACATCAGTCAAAAATCATTGTTGGTTATTTTACATACAAAAGAATAATTATTGATAGATGGGACTAACAAAAATATGGATAATTGTCTCGACTGTACGACAAACTATTTGAGAGTGTGTAAGCTGTACAATGATTATGAAATACAACTATCGAATTTGTTATCGTAAATATACGAGTAGTAATTCCGTATATATATCTTAACTGTACCTGTAATACACGTGATGACTCCTTTGGCTGTGCCCCATGTTTGGATTTGGTTCGTATAAACAACAAATTTCGCGAATTTGTTTTAAAGCCGGAAGGGCCCATTTGTCATCATTTTTTAATTCTTCAACGCATTTATCCAACCAGATCGTCTTTTGAGCATCCCGTTCTTGCGAACATGAATAGTCTAGGATTTTTACATGGGCATTTAACGCCTGATCCATTATTTCTGTTGGCACCTCATCCGAGTGCGCCAAATTCCAGAAAAGAGTAAGAACCTAGTGAAAAAAGTTGTGCATATTTTAAGACTGCCTCGTGTTTCAGTTATTTACTTTTAGTTTAGTTATTAATTTTTACTACATACGCGAATAATTATTAGAAGTTTCTGCTTTTCAAGTTTTTAAGAAATCATGAAATATGTAAAAAAAAACTGCATGAACCGAATTTATTAGAAAGAACACTAATAAACAAGCAAACACATTTTATTGGCCAAATTTTATAACTGCGTAAAATTGACTGTCAATTAACTAATTAAATACGGTTGCTTCCTCAGCTTTGTTTCTGCTAAATATAAGCAGTATCAGGGTTGTTGCAACATACAACTGTTATTTTGCCTTTATCGCAAGTGTGAATCTGATATAAAGGTTGATTAATTAATGTATAACATTTGAAAAAAAGTTGACGCAAAAATAAACAACACTCTATGAAGTCTTACGACAAATGAATCTTTAAAAATTCGAAAAGCAGAGCGTATTAAATTTTTCTTATTGGGAAATGAAATATGATTTATAAAATGCTACGAACCTTATGAGCCATTACACCATCCTTGTCATCCTCTGCAAGTCTCCGAATGAGCTCCAACAGTTTTTCTCTTTGCTTCTTGTTTGCAGTCTTCCAATTTGACTGAAATGATATAAATCATACAAGGTCAGTTGAAATTCTATATGGAATATCACACTTCATACTAATGAAAATACCTGAAAGCATTCAAATAGATGGTCCAACTGTTCTGGACTAAAATCCCAGGCGAGTTTTGCGAGAAGGTCATGAACATTCTTAACAATGGCTTCGTGTTTACCAGCCTGCGCAGCCCATACAGCATCCAAATCATCCAAAGTTAATGCTCGCTCTTTAATTATGAATCGTAAAATCTTCTCTAGCTTCTCGACATATTGAGGTTGGTGCAACGAATCTCGAAGAACGATTTCCAGAACACCGTTATCTTTGATCCATTTCTGAAAACGATAAAGCGCTTGTATTTACAGATTTTAAATACTTGTCTACTTATATGCCCAATGCATTACATAGAAATGGCAACAATGAGAAAAAAGGCAATCAGAAGGAAAAAAGATTTTGGACTTCCCTATACTGCGCATTATTTTGTCAAAACATTATCATTATTATTATTGTTGTTATTATTATCGATCCACGAGTATGTTTTCTTTTGAGAGTCAGTAAAGTAATTCTTAGTACATTACACATGGCTTTTCATAAAATCACGAAAGCATATGCTAAAATGGAAAAGGAAAGTTTTAGAGGGAAACCATACATATGCATAATTTGTGTCCAAAATTGTATACAAAGCCGCGTGCGGTTTGCCAGAGACGATCTGTCAAAAAAAAAAAAAAAAAAAAAAA